CGATATACATGCACATGTTCACTATCGATATATCAATAATGAAATCGTAGAGTTCCCCTCTCGATATATCTGTAGTATTGAAATCGTAGAGTTCCACTCTCGATATATCTGTAGTATTGAAATCGTAGAGTTCCGTAGAGTTCCACTCTCGATATATCTGTAGTATTGAAATCGTAGAGTTCCACTCTCGATATATCTGTAGTATTGAAATCGTAGAGTTCCACTCTCGATATATCTGTAGTATTGAAATCGTAGAGTTCCACTCTCGATATATCTGTAGTATTGAAATCGTAGAGTTCCACTCTCGATATATCTGTAGTGTTGAAATCGTAGATTTCCACTCTAGATATATCTGTAGTATTGAAATCGTAGAGTTCCCCTCTCGATATATCTGTAGTATTGAAATCGTAGAGTTCCACTCTCGATATATCAATGATATTGAAATCGTAGATTTCCACTCTCGATATATCTGTAGTATTGAAATCGTAGAGTTCCACTCTCGATATATCTGTAGTATTGAAATCAGAGAGTTCCACTCTCGATATATCTGTAGTGTTGAAATCGTAGATTTCCACTCTCGATATATCAATGATATTGAAATTTTAGAGTTCCACTCTCGATATATCTGTAGTGTTGAAATCGTAGATTTCCACTCTAGATATATCTGTAGTATTGAAATCGTAGAGTTCCCCTCTCGATATATCTGTAGTATTGAAATCGTAGTTCCCCTCTCGATATATCTGTAGTATTGAAATCATAGAGTTCCACTCTCGATATATCGATAGTATTGAAATCGTAGTTCCCCTCTCGATATATCTGTAGTATTGAAATCGTAGTTCCACTCTCGATATATCTGTAGTATTGAAATCGTAGAGTTCCACTCTCGATATATCGATAGTATTGAAATCGTAGAGTTCCACTCTCGATATATCTGTAGTATTGAAATCATAGAGTTCCACTCTCGATATATCGATAGTATTGAAATCGTAGAGTTCCACTCTCGATATATCTGTAGTATTGAAATCGTAGTTCCCCTCTCGATATATCTGTAGTATTGAAATCGTAGAGTTCCCCTCTCGATAATCTACATTATTAAAATTCATGGGTTCCACCATCCATATATCTATGGAATAGAAACACAAGGATTTCACTTGTGATATATCTCCAGTACAGAGATTAAAGCAATTTTAAGCTGTACTTCTGGTGTCTTTCAAGATATCAAAGTTTTCATAAATTTAGATAAGCATCCATTTTAGCAAATAAACTTGTAAAATATGGACGCTATATTTAACCATGCCCAGATCATCGTCCAGAGCATGTGTACATTCTAATGGTAATATTTCCTTCAACATCTTTATTTTAGATTTATCAACAAAACAAAAACCATGACTACAGTCTTTAGGCCAGAAGAACAAATGTTACCGGGTTTGAAAATATCATCAAATGGCTTAAAGTTGAAAAAAAATTTGATTTCTTTGTAATCAAAGTCTGGTTGTTAAAAGTAATGATTTAACTATGATGTAAAGGGTGGTGAGAGCTGAGGGCTTCATGTGACACTTTCGTTATTACGACTTTTGGTTTAGTGATACATGAAAAAATACATATACAAAATTGTATGTCCACAGCTATTTGGGGGAGGGGGGAATTAAATGAAATATAAGATTGTCAAAGTCTTATCGTAAAGAATGAGAGGGAAAATATGTGTCCATAGTTTAATATTGAATGTAGTAAGCATGAAACTATTGGTGTTACGAAAAAAATATTTCAATATACATGTATCAATAAGATATCAAGGATTGGTATACTCTAAATATAGTTACGCATTTGATACGTTTGTCTTCACTATCTAGATTTCAGTTATACTTTGACAACCTGCAATGAATTTCCATATCTGTAACATCACAAAATCAAATATAAAATGCAAATTACTTTAAGTTAAGTCATCTCGTCCGCTGAAAGGTCGAAAGGCCAAACTAGTTTGACGTAAATCCGTTAATTAAGTAAGTGAAGTCATATAAAAACAAAAATTTCGAAAATGTGAAGTTTGTACAGGTAGCGTGGCCGAGCGGTCTAAGGCGCTGGTTTTAGGCACCAGTCTCATTGAGGCGTGGGTTCGAATCCCACCGCTGCCATGATTTCATTTTATCACACCACAACACTTTTTTCTGAATTGCAAAATCTGATTGAATCATTCTGAGAATTGAACTCAAAATGGATTCAAAACAGAAAAGTTTCCTGTTATGTTACCATAGGTTTTTCATGAGCCTTTATAGAAAATGATCACATGATTTGACATTTTATCAACATTAGTTGAAAGTCAGCAGCAGGATGCACAGCCCAACTTCAAAAATGCAATGTTCATTAGATACATGAACACATACACAATTGGCATTCAAAATGGGCACATCCAATCAATATCAATCCAATTCTACAATAAAGTTAAGCTTCTGACACTCAGCTCTAAACATTAACAGTTATGAACTGGATTATAGATGTCTTTTCTTGTCTTCTCTCGAATTTTGTTTAGCTTTGACCTAGAAACACCTTTCCATCAGATACAATGCTTCACAGACTTTCAGTTTACCAGAAGAAATCTTTGACAAATTTGACTCCTGTGGCAAATTCACGTTTCATTGTTTCATCCTATCAGTCAAATATTATGGCTCTAGGCCTATTGGTTAATCATTAAATCATTGAAAGGCTTCAACGAAATTGATCCCTCTGACCTTGAATCTCAGTCGTTAATTTTTTTTGTAAGATGTGTTGGATGAATAAGTTGTTCAGATTTCAACAAATTTGATGCCTGTGGCATTGATTATGGGTCCAGATATTTCTTTTCGCAAATTTTGTTCGGCCTCATCCAAGCATGTCAGCCAAACACCATTACTTTGAAACCCCTGCTTATTGAACGGAAGTCAAGGACATTAGACAAACAGACGGATCACAGACCATGAATGTCACACCATGACATAAGCTCACTTTCAGCCAAGAGAGCTAATAACCCAATGTGAAGGGTATTTTTGTGCTATGTTAAAAGCTTCACTGAAATTTGACCAAGGGTTGTAACTCAATATCTAAGACATAAACCACTTGAATGCAGGGCATGAGGGCATGGTAATGTTTAAAGTGCTATGGAATTTGGCAAGTTTGAAAAGTCTAGAAGGAGTTCCAGCAGACAGATTGTCTGATTTCAGTGAAACACCAACTTAGTTGGGGAGGATACGCAAAGTATGGATATCTAAACAGACTCGCAGCCTCATACCACATTAAACACCACAACAACATTCGGAGACTCCAAATTAATCTTTATTAGATCTACATCAGAACTGGGTGAGAATTAAACATATGACATGTAGTGTAACTATAGTGACATTCACAACTGAAACCACTTTAATATCATATGCAAGGTGTTTTGGTCAAAGATCCATATAGATTTATGTTAATGTTACATAGATCTGTGATTGATTTTGTTTCAATTTATTTCAACATTAGCAGCATAGATAGGGTGCATGTACAAAATCATTAATTAACATCATATATTGTACTTTGAAATCTGTAGCAGTGATCATAAAAGAAGCAAAAACACAGATCTCGGAGAGGTAACCTGATTCATACCTTTATTTGTTAGGACTGTTATTTTCCTCATACCAGAGACACGCATCTCTGGTTTTATAATATTCATCTAAATATTAGTCGAATATTAAAAATGCAGAACTTGGTTCTTATAAGAAGGCAACAATTTAAACATTGAATACTTGTCACCAGATCACTGACATTCATTGGTGAGACAATGCCTTATGAACTAGTGAAAATTAATAATCCATTGGTTTTGTAAAAGTCCATGTATTATAGTAATTACAAACCAGTGTGACTTCTAAATAAGGGCGAGTATCCTGTCCTATAAAAGTGACACAATCAGAGAACGCATTAACATTCTAGGTAAGTATTCATATAGTGTATTTATGTAATATATTCTACTTATTGGTGTCATAAAGCACAAAGCTACAAAGCAAAATATGTATACTCATATAGTACATCTTCATCACAACACATCACAAATCTTTGCCAAACTGTTCTTAAATTAGAGTTTGTAACATACTATAAGATGAAGTAGAGGACACAAGTAAAAACAGAAATGCCTCCCACCCACCCCCCAGCCACATTAAAATAAAATAACATCTCAATTCGCAACAAATCCTTTAAAATAGAATCCTGATAAATGACAAATGTCAATATTATCTCTTAGTAATATAGGGTACAGAACATTGCACTATTCCTAAAGCTAAATCATAAACGAATCTAATCAACATTATTTTGGAGTCTTTTTTTTTCCCCACTTGGGTCAGGCAAGTCCAGAATTTATAATTAATATAGGACTACCATAGATGTTTCATCAGATCACAGCCACACAGATCACATCTCTGATACAGTCTGACTGTCACAGTGAAACAGTAAGATCATACAATCATATTACAACTTCAAGACAAACTGTCACAGAAGAGCCATAAGACCACATCTGTAACACAGAGCGGTCAGATTAAATCTGTCGCTAAGTCCAACCATATGATCAGATCATGTCTCTAACACAGTCTGACTGAAACAGTAGCATGGTCAGATCATGTCTCTAACACAGTCTGACTGTCACAGTACAAGGTCAGATCATGTCTCTAACACAGTCTGACTGTCACAGTACAAGGTCAGATCATGTCTCTAACACAGTCTGACTGTCACAGTACAAGGTCAGATCATGTCTCTAACACAGTCTGACTGAAACAGTAGCATGGTCAGATCATGTCTCTAACACAGTCTGACTGAAACAGTAGCATGGTCAGATCATGTCTCTCACAGTCCGACTGTCACAGCAGAATGGTCAGATCATGTCTCTCACAGTCCGACTGTCACAGCAGAATGGTCAGATCATGTCTCTCACACACACAGCAGAATCTCAGATCATGTCACAGCAGATGTCTCTAACACAGTCTGACTGGTCAGATCAGATCATGTCTCTAACACAGTCTGACTGAAACAGTAGCATGGTCAGATCATGTCTCTAACACAGTCTGACTGAAACAGTAGCATGGTCAGATCATGTCTCTTACACAGTCTGACTGAAACAGTAGCATGGTCAGATCATGTCTCTAACACAGTCTGACTGAAACAGTAGCATGGTCAGATCATGTCTCTAACACAGTCTGACTGAAACAGTAGCATGGTCAGATCATGTCTCTAACACAGTCTGACTGTCACAGCAGAATGGTCAGATCATGTCTCTAACACAGTCTGACTGAAACAGTAGCATGGTCAGATCATGTCTCTAACACAGTCTGACTGAAACAGTAGCATGGTCAGATCATGTCTCTAACACAGTCTGACTGAAACAGTAGCATGGTCAGATCATGTCTCTAACACAGTCTGACTGAAACAGTAGCATGGTCAGATCATGTCTCTAACACAGTCTGACTGAAACAGTAGCATGGTCAGATCATGTCTCTAACACAGTCTGACTGAAACAGTAGCATGGTCAGATCATGTCTCTAACACAGTCTGACTGAAACAGTAGCATGGTCAGATCATGTCTCTTACACAGTCAGATTGTCACAGTACAAGGTCAGATCATGTCTCACACACAGTCCGACTGTCACAGCAGAATGGTCAGATCATGTCTCTCACAGTCCGACTGTCACAGCAGAATGGTCAGATCATGTCTCTCACACAGTCTGACTGTCACAGTAGAATGATCGGATCATTTCTCTCACACAGTCCGACTGACACAGCAGAATGGTCGGATCATTTCTCTCACAGTCTGACTGTCAGAGTAGAATGGTTAGATCATGACCCTCTCACAGTCTGACTCACCATAGTATGTTCATATCATGTCTTTAACAGTCTGACTGTCACAGTAGAATGGTCAGATTATGTCTCTGACACAGTCTGACTCACTATAGAATGGTCAGATCATGTCTCTCACAGTCTGACTCACTATAGAATGGTCAGATCACAGCTCTCTCACAGTCTGACTCACTATAGAATGGTCAGATCACAGCTCTCTCACAGTCTGACTGTCACTATAGAATGTTCAGATCACGGCTCTCTCATAGTCTGACTGTCACTATAGAATGGTCAGATCATGTCTATGACACAGTTGGATTGTCACAGTAGAATGGTCAGATCACAGCTCTCTCACAGTCTGACTGTCACTATAGAATGTTCAGATCACAGCTCTCTCACAGTCTGACTGTCACTATAGAATGTTCAGATCACAGCTCTCTCATAGTCTGACTGTCACTATAGAATGGTCACATCTCTAGCACTGTCAATATGACAACTATACTAGAAGAGATGCCTATGTAAAAACTGCCAACCACATTCCAAGCGCATATATAATTTGCGGAACACATCACAATTACGACATTCATTCAGATGAATACTTAATTAAGTAAGCTACTTGGAGTTGAGGACACCAGTGATCAACAACCTCTGTCAGAACTGGTAAGTCAGGTTGAGGAAAATATTGATCAGTGAACTCAGTTAAGACTACCAATAAAGTCAAAGACACCAGCTAGTGGTTGTGACCTCAGTTACAATCATCTCGTCAAGTTGATGATACAAGTGATCTGTGAAGTCAAGTCATGTCTAACCAATCAATTTGAGGAAACAATAGATCAGTGACTTCAGGCAGGACCAATCAAGTCAGGGTCACAGGAGATTAGTGACCTCAGTCAGGACCAATCAAGTCAGGGTCACAGGAGGTAAGTGACCTCAGTCAGGACCAATCAAGTCAGGCTCACAAGTGATTAGTGCTCTCAGTCAGAACCAGCCAATCAAGTCGAGGACACCAGTGATGGCGCTCTCAGTCAGAACCAGCCAATCAAGTCGAGGACACCAGTGATGGCGCTCTCAGTCAGAACCAGCCAATCAAGTCAAGGACACCAGTGATGGTGCCCCTCGGTCGGAACAAGCCAATCAAGTCAAGGACACCAGTGATGGTGCTCTCAGTCAGAACCAGCCAATCAAGTTGAGGACACCAGTGATGGTGCCCTCAGTCAGAACCAGCCAATAAAGTCAAGGACACCAGTGATGGTGACCTCAGTCCGGACCACATATCAAGTCAGGGACACAAGAGATTAGGTTCTTCAGTCGGGACCAGCCAATCAAGGACAGCAGTGATGGTAACCTCAGTCGGGACCAGCCATTCAAGTCAAGGACACAAGTGATGGTGACCTCAGGCCGGACCACATATCAAGTCAGAGACACAAGAGATTAGGTTCTTCAGTCGGGACCAGCCAATCAAGGACAGCAGTGATGGTAACCTGTCGGAACCTGCCATTCAAGTCAAGGACACAAGTGATGGTGACCTCAGGCCGGACCACATATCAAGTCAGAGACACAAGAGATTAGGTTCTTCAGTCGGGACCAGCCAATCAAGGACAGCAGTGATGGTAACCTGTCGGAACCTGCCATTCAAGTCAAGGACACAAGTGATGGTGACCTCAGTCAGAACCAGCCAATCAAGTCGAGGACACAAGCGATGGTGACCTCAGTCAGAACCAGCCGATCAAGTCAAGGACACAAGCGATGGTGACCTCAGTCAGAACCAGCCATTCAAGTCAAATGATCTCCTTTCACAATTACTGTTTGTAGCTGCATTTCTATGTAAATAATACCAGTTGTACAAATTTCTCCCCTCGGTAAAATCTATATATCACCTCTTGTCTACTAATAGAGAATTTATGTACAAATCACTGAAAAAAAAAAAAAAAAAAAAACCCTGACAGATGTATGCGATTCTCCTCCCCATTGAAACCTTAAGGTTATCTAAATCCTGCCAAATAACGTAAATATATTGTAACCAGTTTTGGCTTGGACCTGTATTCACATGTCTACTATATCAGTAACAATAACATGATTAATAACATAATCCTTTCTGCTAAACTGTCTAGATCAAAACAACCAGCATTGTTAAACTAGCTGAAGGCATCGCCCATTCTGATAAATTATGACTGTTTCATAAGTTCATTCTGACATGATGAACATTTCAACAAACAAACATCTTAATCTTCATTTCGATCAACACATCTTCATAGAACTTAAAATCCATTTAAACATGGATAAAATTGTGCATTTTACAGGTAGCACTCATCTAGTCTCAAGAAAACATGTCCTTATTGTATACATGTGTTGCTAGACAAGACAACCTGCTCATATACAAAACTGAACTGTCCAAACAGTTAAGTGTCTGCATTGGTTCATGTCTGCTCCACCTTGACACGTTTTTCTGGCTGTCCATCAAGCTGGTCGGCAGAGCGTTTGTTTTGGTTGTTATTCCACATCTGGTCGAAGGTTACAATGATACATGTCATATTGTCACAGCCAGTCCCATCACCAAGGGTGTTTGGTGCAAGGCAGTAATCAAATATCTGTACAACACAAAAAGCAAATGTCGATTGTTTAATGATAGTATATATCATAGTCAGTGAGCAACCTACAATTTATTTTTATGAGTCCTTTTCAACCTTAATGCTAAATATAATGGGCTACTCTGTTACACTTGAGTTTTTCAAGAAATTCTTCTGTAAATTTTGAGTATTTCCAAAAATTCTTCAAGTCTCATAAAAATTTTATGATAACAGGACTCACATGTAGATAAATCACTGCATAGTGCTATAAAATCCATGCAAGAGAAACAGATCACATAATGGTACAAAAATTTATACAAGGGAAGTAACTCTGGATAAACAACTAGCACATATAACAAAGCTAGTAGAATGTTACCTTAACTACCTGAGAAATAGATTGCAATTTAACACCAAGCACCAAAATCAATGAATTTATATTGATCTAAATTTGCAATGTAAATACTGTCATAAACTATTGGCACATCAATTTGTCAAAGATATATTTAATACAGTGTAACACCTTCAGCATGTTACTTAAATGCATAGTAGTGATAAATACATTAAAGTATAATATATATACCTCTTCACAGATCACAGATGGTTTTTTCTTTTTCTCAGGATCCTTTAACCTCTCAGAAACAAAATCAACAACTTCCTGGCTAGTCATGTAGTTCCTGAAATTTAAGGTTTTACAGTGAATCAATACTTTATACTTTTAATTCTTCCAGGCAATGTTTGCGAAGTATATTCACTAGTTTTTCACTATCAAGAATTTTGGTTCATGTTAAATGAAACCGATCATTTGACTGCGAAAATGAATTAATTTGAAATTATATAATGATGGTAAATGGAAAGAAAAATTATCCTTTGCCATGCAAGTGTTAATTGTAAAATTGACATCAAATGATCACAGAGTATCATAAATGTATTACAGGGAAGTAACTCTTGATGCACAACTGGCATGTGGGACAAAGTCAGCAGAATGTTCCCTTTCCAGCACATCTTATCTATTACTGACATCAAAATCACATGCCACAAAACATCAAGGTATCAGTCATTGTGTTCCATTTTGAATCATACTAACTTTGATATTAGACAGAGTGACTTCTAAAATAATACAAAACATTAGTTTATTTGGTGGCAATTATTTAGTTTTTCATTTAAATAGGAGAAGTCATTTAAATACTGACCATATGCCATCACAGGCAAGCACCATGAACTGGTCGGTCTCTTGTAATGTAGTGCACTGAAGATCAGGTAATGCAGTAATCATCTGTTCCTTAGCATCCTTCTCCTTGTTCCTCTTGTAGAAATGGTCGCCTGTAAACAGAGAAGCCTGAATTGACAATGCTCATCAACCTACATCTTCCTTTTATGTAAACAGGAATAAAGACTTGTTATTTATAAAGAAAACATATTTGCTTTCTTCTCTGACATTTTGTTGTACATGTATACTATGAATTATAATTTCTAAAAATCTTAAATAAATTAAATTGGATACAAGCAGTTTATATCATCTGTATCCTTGAAGAACATAAAATCATCAATGTGACAATGATTTTTTTTTATCTATAAATGGACAAATTGAATACTGCATGTAGCTGGCATTGCTTCAAATGGAGATACACAAATGTACAATAAAACTTGTTGACAATAGAGGAAAAATCCTAGTTTTATTTATAAGTCCTTTCAAGTAAAAATTACTTACCAATTGCCCTAGAGAGGTTGAGACCTCCATTTACCCGTCCATCACTAGTAACTTTGCCCCCAGCAGCCACTATTCTGTTACGTTCTATATCATCCTCTGGCTTGTGGTCAAAGGACAAATCCAGAGCCTTCCCATCCCTGCACAGTATACAGCGGGAGTCTCCAGCATTGGCCACTACCACCTCTTTATCATTAACAACAGCCACAACCGCGGTACAGCCACTACAGTATCCAGGCTACAAACAACAATCACATCATCAACAACAGCCACCACAGCGGTACAGCCACTACAGTATCCAGGCTACAAACAACAATCTCATCATCAACAAGAGCCACCACAACAGTACAGCCACTACAGTATCCAGGCTACAAACAACAATCACATCATCAACAACAGCCACCACAGCGGTACAGCCACTACAGTATCCAGGCTATGAAAAATAATCACATCATTAACAACAGTCACCACTGCGGTACAGCCATTACAGTATCCAGGCTACGAAAAATAATCACATCATTAATGACAGTCGCCATTGTGGTACAGCCATTACAGTATCCAGACTACAAACAGCAATCTCATCATTAATAACAGTTGCCATTGTGGTACAGCCATTACAGTATCCAGGCTACAAACAACAATCACATCATTAACAACAGTCGCCACTGTGGTACAGAAACTACAGTATCGAGGCTACAAACATCAATCACATCATTAACAACAGTCGCCACTGAGGTACAGCCATTACAGTATCCAGGCTACAAACATCAATCTCATCATTAACAAGTCGCCACAGCAGTACAGCTACTACAGTATCCAGACTACAAACAACAATCACATCATTAACAACAGCCACCACAACGGTACAGCCATTACAGTATCCAGGCTACAAACAACAATCTCATCATTAACAACAGTCGCCACTGTGGTACAGCCATTACAGTATCCAGGCTACAAACAACAATCTCATCATTAACAACATTCACCACTGTGGTACAGCAACTACAGTATCAAGACTACAAAAAACAATCACATCATTAACAACAGGGGCCACAGCAGTACAGCTACTACAGTATCCAGACTACAAACAACAATCACATCATTAACAACAGCCACCACAGCGGTACAGCCATTACAGTATCCAGGCTACAAACAACAATCTCATCATTAACATCATTAACAAGTCACCCTGTGGTACAGCCACTACAGCATCTAGGCTACAAACCAACAGTCTCATCATTAACAACAGTCGTCACAGCTGTATAGCCACTACAGTATCCAGACTACAAACAACAATCACATCATTAACAAGTCACCCCTGTGGTACAGCCACTACAGCATCTAGGCTACAAACCAACAGTCTCATCATTAACAACAGTCGTCACAGCTGTATAGCCACTACAGTATCCAGACTACAAACAACAATCACATCATTAACAAGTCACCCCTGTGGTACAGCCACTACAGTATCTAGGCTACAAACCAACAATCTCATCATTAACAACAGTCGCCACAGCAGTACAGCTACTACAGTATCCAGACTACAAACAACAATCACATCATTAAAAGGTCACCCCTGTGGTACAGCCACTACAGTATCTAGGCTACAAACCAACAATCTCATCATTAACGACAGTCGTCACAGCAGTACAGCCACTACAGTATCCAGACTACAAACAATCACATCATTAACAAGTCACCCCTGTGGTACAGCCACTACAGTATCTAGGCTACAAACCAACAATCTCATCATTAACAACAGTCGCCACAGCAGTACAGCTACTACAGTATCCAGACTACAAACAACAATCACATCATTAACAAGTCACCCCTGTGGTACAGCCACTACAGTATCTAGGCTACAAACCAACAATCTCATCATTAACAACAGTCGCCACAGCAGTACAGCTACTGCAGTATCCAGACTACAAACCAACAATCACCTTATAAATAACAGCCACAATGGCGGTACATCTACTACAGTACCACGATCTTTCTACAAACATTTTTTGATTACGTTAGAAATACCTCATCATTGTTCTGATCACTGCCAGTCGGGTAACATAAATCATCATCTTCGTCCTCTTCACTTTCCTCGCTATCTTCACTTTCATCTTCCTCCTCGTCACTACTGTGAGAAAAATATAAACAATGCCAGGTAAACATTAAGGAATAGGATTTTATTGTTTTTGAGTGTCAAGAAGTGTCATGAAATATATATATAGAAATCAATAAACAACTTCAAAAGTTTAATACCTTGAAAAGATTGATGACTGTTAAAACTTTCATGGTCTTAACAAAAACTTAGAAGCAAAAAGATTTATTTTTCCTAGAAATCCTGAAATGGACCATTAATCTGCTGTATTCAAGATATTACATAATTATCTGCTTATGCATCCTTGATATTCCAGGGGTTATGACCATTTTAGCTCTCTTCAACCCTACAACATTTCATGGCAAAATTGAAGGTTCCATGTGTGACACCCTATGGAAGAGACACAAAACACTTTGATGTCCACCAAATGACCCTCAAGGCTGCAGAAATATTTTTTACTGGCTTTGACATTGGGTGTTACTCAATTGTAATCTTCAAAGGAGTGCATAAGCCTTTGATTGGTCAGTCTTTTGCTCCTATAACCCACTCTAAACCCAATAAATTCACTTCACCTGTGCCTTCAAGTTTGCCATGAAATGATCCAGGTGTGCAGACAGTGAAAGTGATGATAACCCAGGAGTATCAAGGACACAATCTTTGTAATTCCATTCTTGTGAATTGGGAAGATCAGAACATTTGCAAAAGAAATACCAGTAAATGTATTTTGTCAGTCTTGTGGCAGACAATGAATGTTTTGCCATCAATAACGTACCAGTTGTTGGAGAATAATATTTTGTGTACCCAAGATGAAACAGTGTATCTGTGCAAGTCTATCAATTACCTGTTAAACTCTACATCTTCATCTTCACTATCCTCATCATCTAATTCCTCTTCATCACTGTCTATATCTTCTAAGTGTCTACTCTTTCCTAGCTTCTTTCCTCCGGATGACGATCCTCCCCCAATCTATCACATTAAAATTTTGAAAAAATGTTGAAGCATTTGCAATATTCATAAACTGATGTTTCAAAAATAGCTTTTGCAATTTTTTTGCTTCGCTGAAAGATGCATTAATTGCAGCAGCTCAAGTATCTCACAGATAAATTTAGGATCAGAAAATAGACCAGATTACTTGAGATCCACAGTATGCATCAGGTGGTGTGATACTCGATCACCCTGTGGATGTAGAGTGACATCTTGGTGTAGGGAATTTAAGTCCCATGTTTCAACCGGTCAACACCCAACACCGGCAAATATATTCAAACATTTTAATCAATTTAAAATTATTCGATAAAATGCAGACATTTGTAAATTACAAAAGCACAATCTTAACCCACGGTAAAATGTATTTACATTCAGTATAATTTGCAAGACGAAATATGACTCATAGATAAAATTCAGGAACTGACCACATTCATTTGTGAAATCAAATGCTGTAATCAAGAGGTGCAACTCAGCATTATGACCAAATATGGCATTGCTATAAATAACACAAACCCAGAGACAGTAATTAATGGATTTAGATTATCAAACATTACATAATGAAAGTAATTCTCTGATTGTCCATAAACATGGGACTTGTGTTTCTGCTGCAAGTCCCAGTCCCAGAGCCACAGATAGATACACTTAATCTACAGTACGATTACTAGTTAGACAAGTCCTTTGTTTCACTAAACCCAACACCTGTCCACATAGAGTTGAGCCAGTGTCAGTATACAGGTAAAAAACTTGGGTGTTAAGCTGGTGTGATCCGGTGTTTCAACCTGTTTCGACTGTGTCCATGAGTGGATGGGATTTAGAGCCTACACTGTGCGGGTGTTTGAGTACTACAATGCTTGACACATACTGTATACTGTACCTCTAGATCTCTACCCTTTCATTTACTTGACAAATCATTTTGTTGGTATTCAAAGATTTACACACACCTGGTGTCGTATGATTATGGAAATTCAGGAGATGACAATCTCAACGAACTGAAGACTGAGAATATATGACCTGGAGTGCAATATGTTTGTGTAAAGATATATACAGCATAGTACAAAGTGGTGCTGCTAACTTTAGAAATATCACTCCACTTAAATCACTAAGAAAGAGCAATATCAATAATAGACATGTATTTACCTGACTTGAGCTGCTTGAACCTCCATTGCTCATCTGATCAGGGTCAGCACTTCCTGTGGATCCCTCTACACTACTATCCATTCCACGGGTAGATGATGGGCTCTCATGCATCTCAGAGTTTTGACTAGATGATCCGCCTACAGACCCTTTTGCTGTTCCAGTCTCCTGTGATGTGCTATCTGCTTCTGCGGTCTCTTCCACCTCACACTTGCTTGTCACTGCCTCCTGGTTATTGTCTGTGCTAGAAACACTGGCATTTTGTACCGATTGTCCTCCACTACATAATGACGATGAAGATGACGATAATACAGATGAAGAGCAAGCCTCAGATGACTCGACTCGCTGAGTCGATGATGGAGTGGATTCCTCGTCTGTCTTAATAACACTGTCACATTCCATCTTTCTTATATCACTTACAGAAGAAGCTGCCATACTTCCTTGGGCTTTCTGTAGAATTTCACTCTGTTCCTTCTCTCTATTAAGATTGTTTTCATTCTCTGCATGACCATTTGCCAGCTTTTCTTGGATGTCAGCTGTGGCCCGCAGTGGGATGACTGACCCTTCTAGTGGCCCATTGTCTTTTACATCACTCTCCTCACTATCATCTCCCTGGCCAAACATTGGCCTTTTGGCACGAATCATTGGTGAATTAATTTGTTTTTTTTTACGAAGATTTTTTATTTCTGATGGTGTGCCAACACCGCCTTCGTATTGTGCCATGAGTTCCTCAATAGGCATATCAGCTTCCTGTCTCAACATTTCAGCCTCATTCTTCTGTCGTATTTTCTCTGAAAACACATAAAAAATAATGAAAAGAAAAAAAAGAAAAGAAAAAAAAGCCAAAGTTAGATTCTTCTCACCAAATCAATTTTGTCTACATTGAAGTCTGAAGTAATTCAAATATAAACTTCTTGGAATCTTTAAACTGCGTTTGAATGAACAAACTTATTGCCTCCTTTGGGCTATTTTTTTTATGCAAATGACTCATAACAGTCTTTACTAATGAAATATATACTGTAATTTTGAAGTATAAAAGTGTTTGTGTGATAGGGTATTTACAGTGAGTTTGGTGTATATATCATTACATAATACCTTCTTCATCATCAACAATATCATCTAATCCTGCAGACACTTTGAGAGCTTTCTGGACCTCATCTGTAAGCAAATGGCTGTCGAACCCGAGGAAGGCTTCTTCGAGGGCAGGACCTATTTCTTTGCTTTTGAACTTGTCAAGGTTCTTCAAGTATTCAGGAAAATGTTCTGCACAATACTGAGCAACTTCAGCACCTAAAAATCATTTCAATTTTAAAAATGTTATTAAGCTTGCAACAGAGAGCAATCATTATCAAATGAGTTAACATGAGCAGACTCTTTTGAAAATGGGAAACATTATGATATTTGAAGAATGGCAGCAGTAATGCAGTCTGGCTGAAACTTTCCAGTAAGATTAACAAAAGTAGTCTTTCAATGTTTTAGGTTAGTATACAAAATATTTACATCAAATGCTGTTTTTGTAAATTGTAACATTGACTATCATCTTCATGCAATATTGACAAATGGTTAAATGTACATCTAAATGTAAAAAGAAATAAAAATGATATTTGTATCTAGATATAACATTGGATATTGAAGACTACTTTACTTATGTTTCATATTTTTACCTTTCAGCCTAGTGATATCCTTTGAGATTGCAAAATAACGATGGTTAACAAAAAGTTCTTGATATTTTGTGACCAATAACAATATTTATGATAGCTTACATATTTTAATTCTGGAAAAAAGAGTCTGATCAATCCTGATATAGAGTGAGAAAATCTAGCTTAAATATATCTGCTACATATTCTAAAACAATCAACACAAAATTCTGGCAACAGGTTTCAAATGCCTGGCTGGGAGGCGCAACTATAAAGTAAATAGAGAAAAATTAACAAAACATACCTCCATGGCCATCATAAACAGCAAAAAAGGATGTATTATTTCCTGCAAAGTTTGGAATACAGTTGTGGGCATCCTGTAACAGTAAAAAAACAAACGCTTTAGTCTGACACAAATCACAACTGAAAATTTAATACTATTTTGCTAGCTACATGAACATATATGATGGCCAGTGTATTAATCATGAAATTGGGACTATTTATTACCACTCTCAGTTTAACATTTCCAATATTTTTTAGATGATGCAGTTACAATCATAACATATTACATATATGCAAAGACATCCTTTGAGCTCGGATTGTCATTGATGTTGAAAATGTGTTTCTAAATCTAAAGGAAAAATGTTTCAGAGATTATAAGTAACCTTGCTGTATTTGTCAAATAGGAACAGCAACAGGTAAGGCAGACCACCTGCACACATAATCAAGGTCTCTATAGACGAGTGCACTGTCCAATTATCTAATTAGTGTCACTTAAGTTAATTCTTGCTGACCACGCTGCTACCCTGTCAGGGAGTACACCTCTGTACCCAGTCGATTGTTTTCTACCTAATTAACAATAGATCATTGGTCAGGACTCATGAGGGGACCATGTTAAATGGTCAGTTAACATGAGGATCATTATACAGACTATTAAGTGGTTGTTACCATGTTTCAGCCAAATAACAAATTCATCATAAAAATGGTTTGAAAAACATCTTTATGACGGAACAATGTGCAAGTGTTCCTCAATCAATGCCAATAATTTAAACATATCAGTCCTTAAAAAGCCTAATTAGTTGGCATCCTGAGTAATAAATCAGACCAAAGAAACATTTCACTCACTTTAAAGTTGACTAAAATTACAAGTATGTTGGGTTTTCCCCAAAAAAACGTGATAATGGTTGAACAGGATGCAGCAACACTTTTGCAAAATAGGAACCGATAGGAACGGATAGGAACAGGACCACACCAGAATAATATTTTTACATTTAATTTATGAATAAACATTTCACAGTAAATCCAAATATTAAAACATCATGAACCATGAGATACTGATTAAAATATTTTGAATTTCAGGAAAGACTTTATTTCATTTATCTTTTTGTACTTCTTTCTCTAAAATTTTAATAAAATGGCAGCTTAAAATTTCATGAGATGACTAATATTATTTTTCCCTTATTTTGAAAATAGTTTCACATATTAACTTCTCTGACTATGACTGAGGTCCCATCCAATCATCAGTTTTGCTAATGCAAGGTTGATTTTTGTCTTGTACAATTAAAATTTCGAAATATTTATATAACAGTTGTATTACAGAATTTTTTTTTAATCATGTTATGTTATCATGGTCTGTTCAGTGTTTCTGACATGGCTATTCCATGTCATATAGGTATATGACATGATAGTAAAAAGAATATATATACACTAAGTAAAAGGTAGCTAACTTCTCACATGGCAAGAGATGACATGAGTCTGTATACCTTGGGCTATACTTATGCATGTCATGTATTTTTAGGGTTAAAAGTCACACCTGTATTTTCAATGTGATCCACAAAGTAGCAGCATTGAAGTATAAGCCGCACCCCTTTTTTTACAAGACGGTAACCACTATGCATTTTTACCAAGATGCTATGATTAGTCAATGTAAAGCAAACAGGTAAATGGCGGTACCCTACCTGACCTGCCTCAACGTTTCATTCCTTTTGGTTTTTTTTAATACATATAGTTGAAATAAATATCACAAATTACACCAGTATACCAGCCCTGATTTTGCCATTTTTATGGCATAATGTAACTTATGGAACTATTACTGTTCTAGTATATACTTCTTATGCTCAGCTGGCCACAAACTTGTGAGCATGACTGGTCAGGATTTTAAAGTCTTGGATTATATCAAGTCATCTGTAGGTCTATCATGGTGAGATTTTAAAGTCTTTAGAAGTATAAATCAGTTACAATGTCAATGATGAGACAATTTTCTCAAGTTGTACAACAGAACACATCATTACTAATTGGAGGTCACACCTACAAAATGTAAGAGAGATCCTTGCAATCATTCCAAAACTTAATATATGCTAAATGAATTTCACAAGATGACTATTCAAAATAAAACATTTATGCGAACACGACCCAAATTACTGATCAGTGTTTTATGTATGATGGAGTCCGAACCCACAAGGAAAACCTTGTCATTGTGATACCTCTTGAGACATTCGCCATCCCTGCATTGATGACGCGCCATATGTAAAATTGCTACATTCTTGATCGGTAGAGTTTTTCTCCGTGTTTGGCGTAGACAGATACACACCCATGGTTAAAGCAGACACTGTAAGATTCCACTTACTTTTACGTGTATACTATAACCCTACATGTGTGTATTTCGCGGTTTGTCGGATAGGCTCACGTGACATCATCTGAGCAGCAAATATTTCTTTTGTTGTGTATTGGCCAAAATATGAAAGAAATAACAACATCTAACATTAATGAGACCGTATATGAAAACAAAGATATTTAATAACTGTCTGATCGATTTCTGACCAAGTAGGTTTCAAGACTAAGACAAATAGGAGAAAATCTTTGTATTTTAGCCAATCGCTTTCCACTTCAAGCCCGTTCTGCTTAGCCACAAATTTCTTGCAGTTGAGGAAGTGCCCGACAGTTGTCAAATATGGCAGAGGTTGACCAAGAAAACCCTGCTAAATCAGACAGTGCTGATGAATCTGAGGATGAAAGTGAGGTTTTAGAAGAGAGTCCGTGTGGCCGATGGCAAAAACGACGAGAAGAGGTTTGTATGGTTTTCTTCTTGGCACTGGCAATGTAAGGGAAATAACTCATGCAACTGTGTAATGACTTAGGATCTGAATGCAAGTCAATAATAGACAGATTTATTTCTTATAGTTTTATAGAATGTATTAGTTTTGATTCTTTACTAATCACCCTTCGCTAATGTACTTTACTCAAACTATCTTCAACAGTTAATGTAACGCAAATTGATGACGTCCGCCATACGCGAGTATTTTGCCTCAGTTACTTGGAGATTTTGGTTTTTTTTTTAGTATTATTTAAGGGATAGACTTTCCAATAGGAGCATGAGTATTACGATGAAACAATAATAAATGAAATAATAATATTTGAATTAATTCCCTCCCAAAGTAGACTAGTCTGAAAATTTCTGTCTTAATGTTGTTTTTACATTGATCATGATGTAATTGACATTTACATTTCCATTGACTAAGCTCATTCACTTTAGAGACAGAATGGACCTGTACATTAAAGTGGTAGAAACACACCCACCATGGATGCGGTGAATTAAACAATGATTCCAGCAACATACTCAGAAGTCTTGGGTTCATTTCAAACCAAAACAAGTTTATTTGCCACGCTCATTTTTTTGAGACCTCATTGTTTGTTATTTCTAAATCATTCAAGTGTATTTTTCCCCTCTCCACTTCAACTTATAAGTTTGATTGCTTTGCCATTATTAGTTATACTAATACTAGCTTGGCATAGTCCAGAATAGCCTGGCTGAACAGCATTTGGCTGCTCCTGGTAGTACTGGACAGTATCGAGCAGTAGAAGGCTGGTGTCAGTATAAATGTTAATGATTTAGTGTTAACCAATGGTTTATATTAGAAAGATTGTGTTCATCATAATAATTTTGAAATGGGCCAAAATACTACGTTATCAGTAATGTCTGTGTTACCATCAGTTGGACATACAAATTTCCAACTCTCAGTTCAGCACATATGAATATTATGCATGCCTTGGGTATCCCCCACAGCACGGGCAAAGATGTCTTCTCCTGATCAAAAGAGCTGGTGTTTATATCCAATGGAGTAGAAATCTATTTCCATAGAATCTTTCTTTTACTTTGGTGAAACCTGTGGGATTATAGTTTTCCTCTCCATCCCAGCCTTTGTCCCTGCATCTGTGAGAGATGTGGGATACGGTCAGGGACATGAACTGTATTTTCCGGGCTATAAACCACATCTGAGTATATGCTGAAGGGCTGGTTTTAAGCAATTTTTCTATTTGATCCACCTATAAGACAGCGGAATTTAAGGCGCACCCATTCTTATTGATCGTCATCAAAGTATTGATATAACAGACAACGGAAGGCTTCAGAAGCAATTACGAAAGTTCTTCCTGTATATTGTTGCAAATGACAGTTCTAGATGATCTGTTTCAGTCACAAACATGTGATGGACAGGTACTCATAAAAAACTTGGTACAGACGTCTCGTACTGATGTACTGGTATCCTTAGTTTAAATCAATATTTTTTATTCTTTCTGGAAGCATGACATGTTACAGCAACCAAAATTATCAGGGTGTAAAGTCAGGCTGGTCAATAGTGCATTTGATACGTCTGTCGACAAAATGACAGTTCCAAAATACATATCGATTTGGAATTGATGCCCAGACGATACTTTTCATTTTTTATTTCATTCTGCCAATTTTTTTTTGTCCATATATCAGCTGCATACTCAATATTTTAATGAATTTTTTCAGGTTGAACAACGGGATGTCCCAAGCATTGATAATGCTTTCCTTGCCATGGACACAGAAGAAGGAGTGGAGGTCGTGTGGAATGAAGTTCAGTTCTCGGAAAACAGGAATCTCAAAGCCCAGGAGGTAACTTATAACTCATCATCACAAGAATAGATGAGGGCTGTATACAGTAATGTATTGATGAAAATAATGTTTCGTAACATGATTTAATATTCTTCAAATGAAAAAAAAATCAAGGGCTATAAGAGTTCAAAAATCACATTCAGTACTCCAGTAAAAGTAAGTTGTAAGATATCAATGTTCTGTTAACTACATCTGTTTGTAAATGTCATATTAAAATTGAAATTGTATTACAGGAGAAGATTGGACAAGTGTTTGACAATCTCATACAGTTGGACCATCCAAATATTGTAAAATTCCACAAGTACTGGACAGACAATAAAGATGGGAAGCCTAGAGTAAGTATTAATAAGGGCATAAGTAATGGCACACTTTCATTTCTTTATGTGATCACAAATTTATAAATTTGTACTGTTTGCAGTGCTATACTTCATGCATTTAACAAACTTGTTAACTGATAAAGGTACAGATTCTTGCAACATTACAAATTAAAGAACATAAAACATAAAAATAATGTCAGCAATTTTGTAAAAGGGCTTCTAGGATAGGTCAGCTTTTTTTGTTCGGTAGTTATAGTATAATCTAGTTCTGCTATATTTATGCATAAATTCTGAAACTACTGCCAAACTTTACTGATTATGCCATTTTCATGACAGGTGATATTTATAACAGAGTACATGTCATCAGGATCTTTAAAACAGTTCCTAAAGAAGACAAAGAAGAACAACAAAACATTCCAGTTAAAGGTAGAGTTTCATTTTAAGGCTTCAGTCAGTCTTTTGTAAAAATTCTGATATGGTACAGTCTCTGTTCACTTACCAAATATGAAAGTAAAAGGAAACTACAAATTATTGATTTATCAAAAATAAATTAATGTCAAATTGAAATCCATTAAACTGATATGTGTTTTTGTACATGGAAACATAAAGTATCATGAAATCAGACCTTAGATATCTGACCCCTGCGTGCTTTAACCTCCCATTTAATGAGGCTGTGGTCTTATTTCTTGTGAAAGAACAACTTTGTATGTGTTATTTTGTATTGTCAAATTTGACCAAAATGTTGTATTTCCATAAGTTCACTTCTGACCTAAATGTTGTGTCCCCATTACTTAATATTGGAAAAGATTTTACATCGTTGCATTGATGGTCATTTAAGGGCAAAAACTGTGATTTTTGCAGGCTTGGAAGAGATGGTGTACACAAATCCTGTCTGCGTTAAGGTAGGTACTTGAACCCTTTCATGGTAGAATTTTAAAAGAAGTGTTTTCAAAAAGACGCATTTGATACAAGAAATAAAAATCACTTAAAAAGATTTGTTTTCATTGTTGTTGATTTTAAGATATTGATGTTAGTTATTTTTATGTGGTAAGATCAGGGATAATGCAGGTCCGTTGTGGGTCAACTAAAAGTCTCATAATGACCTATTGGGATGGTCTTTTGTCCAGAGTAAACTTTTTAACATTTTAAAAAACCCATGAGCTGATTTCACTGAAATTGTACAAAAAACCTTCCACGGCCAGAGGTGCAGGAAATTGTAAATTATATGGTTCCCACCCCCAACGGGCCTGAGGGGCAGGGCTGAAAAGGGTCAAATTGATTGAAACTTCAAGAATCCTAATCTAAATACTCAAGTACAGTAGATTTGAATACTCTTCGTGGATGGAAAGGCCTTACGATGCTTTACCAAAGTTGTAAATTTCCTGTCTCCAGGGTCCCATATTTCCCCCTGGAGAGGGGGTAAAGTTTACTGTAGTTTATATAGGCAAATAACATTTTTGAGCATGATTTGTTTATTTTCTATTGGAAATAGTTTTAACTTGGTTGGAATTGTTACTTCATGATGACTATTAGATGATGTGCACATATTGACCCTGGCTGATCCCGTAACGGCTGATGGGCTGGGAGGGGCCAAAAAGAGGGGCAAATTGACTGAAATTTCCAAAATCTTCCTTTCAATACACGGATAAGGTAGAACCAAATTCTCCTCATAGATGGAAGTGTCTTAAGGTGCTTTACCAAAATTGTAAATTTCATGACCCCAAGTTCTCACATTTCCCCGCGGGGAGGGTATAAAGTTTATTACAGTTTATATAAGAAAATTTGGAGCATAATTTGTTTATTTCTTATTGGAAATAGTTGAACCTTGGTTAAAATTATTACTATAAGATAATTATTTAATGATACACACTTATTGATCCTGACTGGCCCTAGGGGCTGGTGGGGCCAAAAGGGGTCAGATTATCTCATATTTCAAAGATAAACCCAATACCCATATATGATAGAATCTATTAAGTACTGCTCATTAGTGGAAGAGTTTTTTAAGGAAAATTACTTTTTTCAGTCCAATTTCTTTTAATCGGAAGGTGGTTAGAAGCCTTAGCTTGGGATGGCAGTTAATGTTATCCACCGTTTTTATTTGCATCACATGTACTAGCTCAGGATATCTTCCTTTATTAACAAGATTATTTCTGTTGTATTTGTGTCTTATTACAGTTACTTACATTCCTGTACACCACCTGTTATCCATGGTAACCTCACATGTGATACCATTTTCATACAGCATAATGGCCTCATCAAGATTGGCTCAGGTAAGAGTTTGATTTATTAGCAACTTATTGATCTGATATTGTATTGGTAGTCTCAGAACATACAATGTAGATATGCTGGTGCTAACACTGTTACAGCTTTACCTTCTATTCTTTACCTTGAGTGTTTGTGACATTATACATCTCTGTTTCTAAAGTAGAGTAAAATTTTGATTTGAAAATATTTTTAGGGGCCTTGTTCTAGGTGATATCAAACTAAATTCAGTGTTGTGTTTTTTGTGTTAACTACATGAAAAACAGTATGAAAGACTTTTTCTTTACAAATAAAAAACTACAGTCATGTTGGAGTTGAAATTTAATTGTGTTTGAATGTTTAAGTGGCTCCTGATGCTATGCACCACGTGAAGACTTACAGAAAAGATATCCGCAACATGCATTGTGTGGCTCCAGAGTATGGAGGTAAACCATGATACATTGTACAACAATAAACAGTCATTCTCATTGTTTAGTCAAACTAGATTTTCACCAGACCAAATATTTTACAAAAATTGTAGTAAAGTAAATTAGTTTACAGTGAGAAAAATTTTTTAAATCCTGTTTATAAAGACCTCACTATAGGTTTTTCTTATAAAGTCATTTTGATCGTTTTTATTTTACAACTGAAGTCATAGATAGACATCTTATTTCCTTTCAGAAAACTTTGGAACACCTATTGACATTTATTCATTTGGAATGTGTGCTCTAGAGGTGAGATGATGGTGGTTTGTAAACTGACATTTTCTGATTTTTTACCTAAGTAGAATATTTAATGGCATTTCTTTCTCAAGCTCTGGTATGATGAATGTTGTTGTGTAAATGCACTATAAATTGACTTATATGATTTCTGAGGAAGTCTTAGAAACATTTCAATTCTAGACTTTTTCATATAAATTATCCTGCTAGAATAAGAGTTTTATTGTGCAATGATGTCTTACACAAATTGAACTTCTTTGAAATAGAAGTTATTCAGATGCCAAAAGTAAAACCCCAAATAAAACAGACGTTTTTTAAAGACACCACTCTTAAGAGCCTCACTGTGGCAAAGAATACACCATCCATTGTGTTTGTAGTTGAGAAGAGTTGTATATAATTTACTTGATTTCATTAATTTGGTACATGATTAATGCTTCCTAGGACTGGTTGTATATATATGTATTTTTTTTTGTTAAGAACTAAACGAAGTTATGGCTAACATTTTTGTAGATTGCTGCTCTAGGAATCCAAGGTAATGGAGGCGATGGTGGTGGTAACCATATTAGTGAAGATAGTGTTAAGAGCACACTGGAGTCTCTTGATAATGCCCAACAGAGGGTAAGGCCACTTCTGTTTGAAGAAATCAGTTGTTTTTTCTGTTTTAATCATTAACAATTGGAAATATATTTGCAAAAGTGAAGAATCAGTAGACAAATTCTAGAGATAAAGTGATTTGTTAAATACTTGAAATTTGGTTTGTTTCATTTCTATGGAATTCTCTTATAACTTGTATTTAAGGTAGACAGATATTTTTTTGTCATCAATTTTATGCCTTATAACTGATTGAAAAAAATGAAAATAAGACCTTTGACAAAAGTGCACAAGTTTTGATTTTTTTTGTAGGACTTCATTTCCAAGTGTATACAAAAAGATGGTAGTTTACGCCCATCAGCCCGGGAGCTATTGTTCCATGCAGTTCTCTTTGAAGTGCACTCACTCCAACTCCTTGCGGCACACGTCTTTGTGAACAGTCTTTGTGAGTACTGAAAGTTTTCAGGTATCAGAATATTGAAAATTAATGATAGCAAAATATTGGTAGATAATATTCATTTAAAGTCCATCACATGTCAATTTATAGGTAAGATATCTGGTAACTGAATGTCGAGAATTTTATTAAACTCTCAGTTGTCATTGATTAGGATAGATTTATTTTTCAGAAGTGTATAACCTTCACAATACCATTTCCCATAGGCATTATTGCTTCAGGGACATTATGTAATTGTTCAATAATCAGAGTTTAATGAAGCAGCAATGCTGATAATACTTGCCTGTAAAGTTTTCATTCTTCCATAAGATTGATATGAAATTTTTTTTGTTTTAGCCATTCTCCCTGAAAATTTGTCAGATGAATCAAATATAAAGAAGCTGGAGCCAAATCGAGTGATAGCGGAAATCCGACATAGTGATGGACGAGAACCAATCTATTATAAGTAAGAGTTGCCCTGATATTTCTTGTTGTAAAAATGGCTTGGGTATAAAGGTGTTTGAAAGGTCATACTGTCGGCCTTATTGATGTTCATTAGCTTAAATAGTGAATGGCAAATACTGGTAATTCATTTCATAGTATCAAACACATTTCAGACTTAACTGTCAAAAAGTCTTCCACCAAAAGTTTGAGACAGTCAAAATTCCCTAGATACCTGTGTTAATAAAGTTGTGTCAGTGTCTAATGATTGAAGGGTTCCATTCCCCAATAGATTTTTTTGCTTTCTAATGGGTAAAAATTTAGGAATGTGTGTTGTTTATTTTTTCTTTCATTCATGGAAATATAGATATCAGTAAAACTTTGTTGGGTTTTTGACTGTGTGTTCACTTGCATGCAGGTTATCCCAGTGTCCTCCTCTGGAGACGGAGAAATTTCTAGAAGATGTACGGTAAGTTTACTATCAATAATTATCAAACTAAATCATTTTGTTATCATGAGGAAAACTGATTTTGTCAACCCCATATAGCTTTGGAAATTAGAATCACAATTATAAAAGAAAACATTGTAGAACTTCATCACCCAGTATTCTTTACAGGATTTCTGTTAGTTCCAGCATGTAATACTTTCTTTCAGATGCAGCTCCTTAGCAACATGATAGATAAAATATTTGCATAACTTTAACTTTTCTAATAAACTGATTATTTCAAGAAACTTTGAAATACTTAATCAGGGCTTTCTTCAAAATTCTTTGATCACAGAAATGGTATATATCCTTTGACTGCCTTCAACCTCAAACGACCTCGACCATCACGACCACGAGCCAAGACTCCAGAGGTCACAGAATCAGAGAAATTGGAAGACACCGAACGTATGGATATAGAACAGAGACTTGTGATGAACATGAAATGTGAAATGAAAAAAGTGGATGACAGTTCAAACTTCCTGTTGACACTTATTCTAAAAATGGACGATAAAATTAATCGCAAATTACAAGCTGAAGTAACGTCGGAAGACAACTCCCAACTTTTGGCCCAAGAACTTGTGCAATATGGTTTCATAAATGAGGTATGTTGAGATTAGTTTCAATTATTTCATGACTTTTTTCCTGTATTGGGTCTATAGAATACTGATTCCAGAAGTAAAATCTTACTAGTTAATACACGTCTAAACACATTGTCAAAATTTGCCACAAAATTAATCTGAACACATTTCCTATCTATGAACCAAACTGACAACTCATTTGTATCTTTGAAAATTACCCTAATTTTAGACTGGAATTTTGCACAAGACATTAATTTTATATACATACTGTAGGTCACAGTAAATGATTTAAAACAATGACATCTGAATACAAAGCTGCAAGATTGAATGTAATCTGCATTTGTGTGAAAAATCACTCTCAAATTGATATTTTAAATACATCAATATAACAAAAGATAACATATCAGTCTTTGATTGATAAAGAATGTCCTTTCATTAAATATATAATCTGCAAAATAGTTACAAAGGTTTTAAATGTTATATTACTTGATACAGTTTCAAAAGTACATACAAATTTATTTATTTTTACTGTGTTTCTATATTGATTTTGAATATAGGTATGTTTACTGCTCAGCTTTCATAAATATTGATGCTAGAAAATTGATTTGGAGAAAATAACAAGTTTCAGAATGATTAATGAGTAAATCTACAACTGGAGTCCTGTTTTGGGCCTAATAATAGTTTCACATGCTCTTTTTACAGAGATTGATTTGTTTTAAGAAGATAATGTTAGTAATTTTATATTTTTACAGAGTGACCGTGAGAAGATTGCTGACTTGATAGCCCCTCACTTCCAGTCCTGTATGCCCTTGACCAATGGTTCAAGCTCTTCAAATGGTATTCTTGCCTCAGCCTGATTCTACGGAACTCTGATCCAAATTTTTACTTTCTCCACAAGCTTTTTCTGTACACTTGCTTACAAAAATTCTGATATTAATGCCTGATTTAAATGCAAAATAGTGCTGAGAAAATCCCTATGACAACCACATTGTCTCAGTTTGTGTTTAGAGACATCCCTCTCTGCACTGGTGGCATCCATATTGGGATTGAGTTTTTGAGATGGAGAAAACATGGGAACATAGACTGTGATATGGTGTAGTTACATGTAATACATGCTGAAACTAGCCCCCATGATAAACAATATGTGTGTTATGAAATGGTGCTGAGAAAATCCCTGTTCAACATAATGCAATGTCCATGTTTTCAGTTGAAAAACATTGGAAGAGACATGAAATGTTGTTCCCTTGTTTGTACTAGAAACATTTTGAGATGACTCATGAAAGTTCCCTGAGGTTCACGGTTATAGTTTGAGACAACCTTTGAGACTTCAGTGGCATCCATTGTTTAAATGGTTAATGTGTGCCTTTCATTACCAACATTTGATGGGGAATTACAAGTTTATTGATGACCTTTTTAGATCAGTGATTTGCTATAGATTGGTGATCAGTGAATATTTTAGTTTGTGCCAAGTGGCATTTCTTTGGCAATACTCAGTATTTAATTACTTTTGAACATCCCTTATTCAAGCATAGAACAATCTAAGTCAGTGATTCCAGAAATACCTCACTTAAATTTAATAACAAAGAAAAGATAAACAAGTAACAGAAATTTTGATGCAAGTTTCTTCGTTTGATATTCATGCATGCTAATCAAGTGCTATACTACAAAGTCTCTTACAGAGGAAATATCTGGAGCTGCTTTTGTGATAAGTCTCCATCATGTAGTTAGCATGTCACCAGAATATCAGTGTTGTTGGCTAGGAATGGTTTTGATGGTTAAAAAAAAGGGGAATGTTTTCATATTCATGTTAATAAAAGGGTCCGAAAACTTGATCATAATCACAACCTTTTTTGGATATATTTGTGTATTTGTATCGATGATAAAAGGTTTTTTTTTTTGTTTTATTCAGCTGAAATTACAACAGTTGTATTGGAGCATTTTGTGAAGGTTGTACATGATATAAATTTTAACTGTGAACTTCCTTATTAACAAATTCACTACTTTTCAACAGTTTAAATGTTAAAAAGTCCATAAAAGAGCCATTATTATTTTTGAACATGAAAGGATTTCACTAAGATTACAACATGGTGTATTGAGTTGTTTAATAACACTCTTAGTCAGTAGTAAAATTTGGTGAAAGGCTTTGGTACTCTGTTAACTAAAATGCAATATGATGACTCAATTTCCTATGAAACATACACAATAATAACAGTTAGATCTTTCATCCAGCTGTAAATAGTCTGATATGTTGGGGTACAATTATCTGTTTTTAATGACTTTCCAAAGCCAAGTGTCTCTGGTCAGGTAATAAGTAATTCAGATATTACCATCATTGTCTTGTTAGGTATACCAGAGAGCAGATGTTATCAATGATTGGTTGATGTAAGTGGTTTATGTACAGTGCTGTGTTTTAAAGGAATTCTGTTGGAATGAAGTGTGAATGCAATGAATGGAATAAAAACATGTTGATGTACAAATCACAGAAGTTTTAAAGGTTGACTATGGTGTGTTACTGTAAATGTGCTTCGTTTGGCATATTCAAATTTTAGCACATGATTACTTTATTTTGGTAAATTGGGAGTGTTGACAAATATTCAATATCATCAACACACAGAAACTACAATTAGCACAATTACATTTTAATTTTAGCACAATATATTCGGCATGAAAAGCATAAACTAAGGTTACCGCTAAAATACATTTACAGTACTTGGATTTTGTTTTGTTGAGTCAGCTGTGTCAAGATGATTGAACTTATTGTGAATATAAGTGTGTAAATTGTTTAAAACATTTAAAAAAATAAACACCTACGACATTCTTATTAATTAAAGAAATGCTTTTTTTTAGGACAAATAAAATGCTTCATATTAAAACCTGGGAAACTGAAACATGTATTATATACATGTAGTTTCAACTACTGTGATTTGGATCATCAGACGGACTTGAAATATATATATCTTGATCTAGTTTCTTGTGATGCCTTGCAATTTTTGTTTAATATCATGCCATGATTTTTCAGATGTACATATGTATGTTCGTCATGAACCACTGTAGGATCCTCTCTGTGAGGGTTTTAAAGTGTTGATTTTTGAGGATATGACTCTAGACTGGAGTTAAGAGATATTTTGTGAAGATCAGAATAGAATTGTTATAATGAAACATTGTTAATCAAGTAAACTTTGAGAATATTTGTGGAAATTCATGAAGATTTGAGAAAGTCACTGTTTGCCTACATACAGGTATTTCATGAATTCCTCCTTATGCAATAAAATTTTTATTGAAACCTGTTGGGGGTTTCTTACAAGATACCTGAAAATTGTCCCAAGGTTTATATAATCAATTACAGATAATTAATATTAAGCTTTCTGAGATATGAAAACATTTAATAGATTGAAAACAGTATCTTGTTTTAATCTTATTTTTTTCTTATTATTAAAATATTGGTCCCAGTTATCATGACTGCAATACTTAATCCTGATGGCACAACTGATGAACTGGAGCCTGCTGTACAATGAAGTTGTCAAGGATACTGTTATGTTGTTTCATTTGAATAAAAAATGTAAAGTGCAGTGTATGTATTTTTATCTCATTTCTCTAATTTTGAACGAATGCAAGTTGGGAGAGATTAGGAAAAGTCTTTCACTTTCTGCTTTCAGTGTTTCTCTCCTCTATTATGTTGGTACTGCTACATATATCAGTCACACTAAGGTGTCACACCTTGATCAAGTCCACATTTACACCCCTCCCCTTTTATATTGGGTCCGGACTGGGTCAGCCACTCTTGGATATGATTTTGTCAAATTTGGGTTCAGGTTCCATGGGTATGTTTTAGTTGAAATTTCTTCTCAACTACCAATAGGCTCAAGGCTAAAACTTGCCACGAGTTCTGTCGTACATGATTCAGAAAACAAAACTCAACTTGATGTTGCTCCATTAGATTATTCTACAGTTTTTGATAACGCCAAAGATGACAGATTTCTTAAAACCACATTCTGATTGAATCAGAAACGGGCATTCTCAGTTACTCCTAAAATACTGCAGTCAGCTTGTTGTACTCCAGGGTGTTCAATCTGAAAAGGCCCGATGTATCCCACGGGAGTTATTGGCCCTCTTTTACTTCTGTAAAATTTTGAATACGGAAATTTACTTAGGTAAATATATAGAGCAAATACTTGGTGGTCATCACTTCATCAGATCTAGCAAGGACAATAAGTAACACTGATTACGTCACATCTTACGTCATAGTGCTTACTTTGGCTAACTTCTGGTACCAGCACACAACAGACGGTATCATCAGCAATCTGTTCAGAATCCGTATTTAGCTCACGACTCTCGAAATGCCAGTGATATAATAGTACGTGATCTAATGGTAGTGATGAAACTTTAGTTCGTTGTTTTACTTTTGACAACTTCTCGAAGATTGTCAGCAATTGGGTCCTAATATTTGGTCAGAAGATACCAGGGATGGATTGCCATGAAGTTTCCTTATGTTAACAGCCTTGATTTAATTTCACTGTCATATGGTTCATATATATGTATACATATATATATATACTCAACAAAAAAAAGAAAGGTTAACATGTTTCCTTGGCGAATACCTGTAAATGAGTGAAAACAAAATGACGTTTGTGCAATATTAGAAAATGGTAATGTTTTACATTACAAAATCCAAGGGGGTTACCAAAATCATTCAAGCGTGAAAGGCTGTATTAGCGAAAGAGCTGCACGAAGTTTTCTGCGACTAACTTGTATCTTCGCTTGAATTTCATAAACATTCAAACTGACAACTGTTCCCTAGATCCTTAGGACTTTGAAATCACCTAATCTTGCTATCTATCAACTTATCATTATGCCCTGGCTGTCACAAGTACAGAGAGAAAGGGCTGTAGGCATGATCCAGGCTGGGGAGTCTCGCCGTCGAGTTGCACGGCATTTTGGTTGCAGTGTTAAGACAACTTGCCAGTTGGTAAGTCGTTTAAACCAAACTGGGTCAACATCCTATCGTCCCCGAAGCGGCCGACCCCGTAAAACGACCGCCAGGGATGACCGTCGTATACGATTGATACACTTGCGCAATCGATTCGTAATCGCAGTAGAGACTACAAGGACATTATTTGGGCGTCGTGTGTCTCCCCAAACAGTCCGCAACAGGTTGAGGGCCTACCAATTGAAAGCGCGGCGTCCCTACACTGGACCCAATTTGTTGCGACGTCACCGTAATAATCGGTGTAACTGGACCCGTGTACACCGTCGTTGGGCCTTACGACAATGGAACAATGTTCTGTTTTCAGATGAGTCCAGGTTTTGTCTGCAACACGGTGACGGAAGGTGCAGAGTGTGGAGGCGACGAGGGGAGCGTTTTGCGATCTGCTGCGTCGCAGAACGGGACCGCTTTGGCGGCGGAAGTGTAATGGTTTGGAGTGGTATTTGTGGGGGGACTCGTACCAGGCTTGTTGTGTTAAAATGGCAATTTAACCGGCATTCGATATTGGGACGAAATTTTAAGACCAGTGGTTCTGCCATTCTTAAGACGCCATAGCGTTGGCGCCATTTTTCAACAGGATAACGCACCAGCGCACACCAGTCGCGTCAGCAGAACTTTCTTGCAGCAGAATAACGCACAGGTGTTAGATTGGCCATCTAAATCACCTGATTTGTCACCGATTGAGCATGTCTGGGACGTTCTTGGGCGACGCGTGAGAGAACGTCAAAATCAGCCGTCAAACTTGCCGGAGCTGGCCCAAGCCTTGATCGCTGAATGGAACAACATCTCTCCTCGAATTATCCGCCGGTTTACGAGTTTCATGCGACGACGCTGCACTGCTGTTTACTTCGCAAACGGTGGCCATACCCGTTACTAATGGTGTTACCTTTGAAATTGACCCCAACGTCCTTTACAGTCGAATAAAATCAACTGAACGCGAAGTTTTATAATGAACCATGACTGCAGTTTTATCAGAATTGATCAATTACTTTATTCGTACATGATTGGTAAGGATTTATGAAGGGGTTAATTAATTAATCACAGAATAAAGTAGTGCTACCTTTCTTTTTTGTTTAGTATATATTAGGAGATCTAGGCTCATCATATTTGGCAAGTAGGTGTCTTGGATCTTGGATTGGTTTTCTCATGAAAAATAGTATTACTTACGTTTTTGGTCACGGCGGTCAAATACAGTGAACGTTTTAATAATCTCTGCTTTCATATGACCAGAGCCTTGTTAAATGGTTACCAGTAAGTCCTGTCGGGATGGTCGGCTAAGATTTGTTTGTATATAAATTACCTTTACCTAGCTTGAATGTCACACGGGTCAAATATATCATAAATCTTATACCCTATATGAAGGAGACAGCGTCCTTGTGGTATTTGGACACCAGATGTCAAGAATGAGTAGTGATGACGTCTCTTCGTATAAATGACATTGACATAGTTTCATAGCTGCCAAATGGGAATTCCTAAGAACTCGGGGTTCTGAAGCAATGACAATTGTTGCCAGTAGGTACCCGAGAAAAAGTGTTATAGAGTCCTCTGATGAATGGTGTGGACATGTTTCCAAAGTCTTTCGGATAGATGTGTTAAAATCTTCATGGCTATATCCGGTAGACCAGCAGTGTACATACCTACTCGCATGTTTACTACTAGCGCCTTCAACAACTGTCTGTAGTATTTTCATTAACCATTTAAGTTTAACATGGGGAATGCTACCAGCAGTACCGATATTTTTTTTCTTTCGCCGAGCTCTATATACCCTTTGACCTAACTCATTCGCCTGCTTTAATAGCTCAGTTCCAATAGACTGCAGATTTTATGTCCTTATAACATCTTACCCATATCCAAAATCCAAAACATCGAATTAGACCACCATCCGTTTAGATTTCATGTCAATACTAATCCTTGGCTCCGCCATTAATTAGCTCGGTCATTTATAACTACACATACTGCTGATATTGATAATCTGTTATAATTCCTAACTCCTGGATAGCATTCTTTTATCTTCCGCGAATCTTTATTATCTCTCTCTCTCCCTAAAAGAAAAACACACATGCTTACAGCAATACGTTGTAGTTATTTCAAACACTTTCTATAATTCTGACGATAATGCATCGTGCATATATGTACTTATAACAAGTTTTCTTCGAATACTCTATTGTCTAAATACGATGATAATCAAGATGATGATAATGACTGCAAGGAAGTATGATTTTTAAGTATAAAGACAATGTTTTTAATGATGTCTGGTTCGTTTGCTGAAAGACCGAAAGGTCGTGATAGTCGACGTAAAACATGTTAAATAAATAAATGAATAAATAGATAAATAAATGTCTGGTGGTGATAATGATAATGATTGATGATGAACGCGGAAATATATATTTTGATGGATGGCAAAGTAATGATTAATAGATGACGACGATGATAATGACGAGAATGATGTCTTTTTACAGACGACGACAGTGATTGTGATGATGATGATGATGATGATGATGATGATGATGATTTATGTTTTTGAACTTTGTAATGTTAATGTATAACGACGGACGATGATGTTAATGATGATGGTGTCTGTTTACTGACGATGATGATGATGATGATCTTGATGATGATGATGATGATGTTGATCTTTAACAAAGTTGTGGTATGATAACGGATGACAATGAAGATGAGATTGATGTATGTTTACTGTTGAGAATGATGGTGACATTTAAATTTGAGACTCATGCATGTCTTCATATGAAATGTATGAAAATCACAAAAAAATATAATGCGTGGTATGGCGTTTACGGTAGTTTTAACTGACAGAGCTTGTACATTTAACGGTAGAGTGCGCGATATGGCAATTCACCTCCAAAACTCTTGTCATTTATACCGACCCTAAAAGTCTTAACAATATGATTCATTACTTAAATGTATATATTTTGATGCCTCATGTCAGTAATAATTTGATTTAACATGGGGGAATTCACTTCAGTCAGTGTAATCTGTGAAGTAAACAGAGTAATTTTGACGGTAAACCGTTCATGGTCACAAGCTGGATGGCATTTATTGTACTGTAATTTTAATTCCAACTACCTCCAGTACTGTGAATACACTCCAAGAAATATGCACAGTTCATATCTTGGGAGATATACATGTATTTGTAAATCGCAAATACATGTTGTATTGTATGTCACTGAGCGGGGATATTAATGAGCGTTTCCTTGAGGATTTTATTGGTTTCATATTGGTACTTTTAAATTCATTCCCTATTAGTTATCATTAACATGTACCGTAAAACGCAACACCTGTGCCCGACCTTGACCGTGCGACAGAAGATGATGGGTTTGGCCCGATGTGATTCATACAAGGGGTCCAACCTAAACCCGTAGGTCACGGCCTAACTATCCCCGGTCACAACCAAAATGGCGGCGACCATCCGCTTCACGACACAGCGGTGAGTAAAATAAGTGTTTTGTCTGCTTACAGAGAACGTTCCTTATCACATCAATATTGCGTTTCGGATCTAGAGGAATTTATCTTTATATTCGTGCAACGAATTCACAATATAACCCAGTCCTGTAAAAATAAACGTGAAAAAACCTCAGTGTTTTGACAGTCAAAACTGGTATCGAGGTCGGTTTTCCCACTTATTTGCCTAATATATTACATATCAAACATTTGTACGATAACAGAATATGCAATATAAAACCCGAATTGTATAACATAATTGCAAATTATGGCTTATGAATAACACACTGTTTCAATTTCGGACTTATTAGGCACACCTTCGTTGGTCCAATAGAGGTTAGGATGTCATTTTCGTCGTTCCCATTTTTACAGGCAAATTATATGCGTATTGTTTTCAGACACGACTGTGAGGAGTGCGGCCAGTTGTACGCGGGGGGGATCGGCCCTTCGCCGTCATAGAATTAGAAAATATGGCAAACCAGGGGGGATGTCCTGCGATGACTGGGCGAATATTCACAGCATCTGATGATCTGAGAGCGCATAAAGTGTCTTTTCATAAATCCAAGGAAGGCGTTCTACTATGTGATAAATGCCAGAAACAATTTGCGTACCAAAAGGATCTACATTATCACAAACGCAATGATGTCTGTGGGAAATTAAAACCAAAACCAGACAAAATGTCTTTTAAATGTCCTCATGAAAATTGCCAGAAAGAATTCAAAAGCCAAAAGTATCTCAACCAACACCAAAACGTCCACGGAGAGAGAAAAAATATTTGCCATGTATGTGGGAAAACATTTATTTGGAAGTGTGCATTAAGAAAACACCTAAATATTTGCGACAAATAGATGCTTATGTCACATGAGTTTCCTCCGGGATATGGGACAGACACTGATTTCTGTGTTCGTTTCTTTTTTACTTATTTTTATTTTGTCGTTAGCTGCATGCGACTTATTTTACGTTCCGTTTCCTTCAAATAGTGGGTTGTTTTTTGATAAAGAGTAGTTTTTCGCTTTATCCCCGACAAGACCAAAGATAACATGCGTGAGAAGATCATTTATGGACATTGTGGTAGACTATACATTGTCCTAAACTCGGCGTGACCGACGAAGGTTTTCCTAAACTAACAAAAATCGAACCAGTGGGTGTTTCATATACCAGTACCAGTATTTCTTTTACACAATTCAGGTTTTATATTGCATATTCTGTTATCGTTACATCATACAAATGTTTGATATGTAATATATTAGTCAAATAAGTAGGAAAACCGACCTCGATACCAGTTTTGACTGTCAAAACACTGAGGTTTTTTCACGTTTATTTTTACAGGACTGGGTTATATTGTGAATTCGTTGCACGAATATAAAGATAAATTCCTCTAGATCCGAAACGCAATATTGATGTGATAAGGAACGTTCTCTGTAAGCAGACAAAACACTTATTTTACTCACCGCTGTGTCGTGAAGCGGATGGTGACCGGGGATAGTTAGGCCGTGACCTACGGTTTAGGTTGGACCCCTTGTCATAGTGGCAACGATATGCGTGGACGTGTCTGGAATCATCGTTTTCACCGCCTCACACATCTACAAATGGGAACCTAAAACATCAGATCGACATTTATCTCAACGGGCCTCTCTGTTGTAAACCATAGGACACAAGTATGTGCACATTGATCAAACCGGATTATCATTCTGGTACAGCAATACTACAAGGCCCCTGTGCCTCGTCCAGATAAAATGCAAAGCCGACATCAAAAAGATTAGCGGCTGGAAAGAAAACGTGTCATGTTAGGACGCTTAATGAGATTTGAACTAAACGTAAAAAACATGGTTATTTAATGCACATATAACCTTTTTCACCTCTCTAGCTCCTAAGGGCCAAGAAAGGTTGAGACTACCCATTAATTTCATTCCCCAATGATGCCTCCGACAAAATTTTGTCAAAATCCACTGTGTCGTTTAAGACGAGGATTTGTAGAAAAAACAATGGACGGACGATGTAGTCAATAGTTCTAATGGCCCGTGGAGCCAGGTGAGCTAATAACTGTACAGCAAGGATTTTGTATCCGAAATACCTTCAGTTTGGAAGGTGATGCGAAAAGCAAGCCTTTTTGCCCAACACGTGTAGGCATTTTGTGCATGGTACCAAGAAATCCAAGATGAGTACATTGTCATTGCATAATGTATTTCCAAATTCTGTATGGCAACCGACTCATGGGATTACCTCATGTTGAGCACTTATAGTCCAATTAGAGTCATGACCTTTGGTTGACCATGACCCTCATTGCTGAGTTTTACACATCCACCACACTAAAACAACACAATGTTGCTTATGTATATACGGTTGTTTGTCCCTCTTTATACAAAGAGTTATAACCTTTTGTTCATTTTCAAAATTTTTCCAGGGCATTGGGATAATTCCCTTTATTTGACACAACACTAAATTTTTACTGCTTTCTATAGGTCATTACATAAATCGATGGAGCCATGGCATACCGAGTTTCAATTCTAATAGTTTGTAGTTTTTTTTTTTTTTGGCAGAAGTTCCCAGCAAACAAATCCAATTATCAAGAGTTGTAGCCCTTTAAAACAAAACGACACTGACATTGTGTACAAAAGCATTAAAACTTTTCTTGGAAAATTTTAATGGGGTGTATACAACCAGCCTGGTACTATATAATCTTCCACAAAAATTATATGAAGTGTATTTTATTACACCAATATTGGAAATGTGGGATTGGGGATTTATACTAAGTACAATAATTACCTTTGTTTTTGTTTTTTTTTTGTTTGGTATTATTTCAACCACAAATGTAATGTACTGAGTTGAATGAAAAGTTCAATAATAAAAACAATAACTATGAAGGAAATAGTCTTTTATTTTCCCCAGGAGTGATGATTTTCTCACTCTCATTTCATTCTCTCTATAATTCTCTAAAACAATAGAATAATAAAAATATTGTCAACTATACACTTGGTTCATTATTATGTACACTCATGTGACTATCACTACATGTAGAAACGGCTCTCCTATACATCAACTGTACAGCAAAAATGTTTGTCATCACTGACTCAATTTACAAAGGGATTATCACATATTCCATCCTCCTCACCCAAACATTGTTCATGGGAAACAGATTAAATATATAAAGTTCGTGCAGTATTTGGGTGAAAACAATAACAGTGACATCCTTTGTATGGTTATAATTATATATATTTTTTTGGTATACATTTTTCACTTTTTCTTGTATAACATATTTGGTGTGATAAATCACGTATCAACAGTCTCAAACACTGCTACACACATTTTCTGTGATACTCCAGCACAAAGAATTGTTCACAGGTTGAAGATAAAAAAATACACAGTGACACATACCTGGTGTAGAATGTAAATAAATACAGGAAAATAATCAGTGTTAATTGCACAGACTAAAACAACATTTTAGGTAGCTATAGCTATGTAAGGATTAACAGTAAATTGTACAACTTAATTTTTTGAATACAGCATCTGTTTTTACTGAAAACTGCTTACAAGAAAAACTGTTTTAAATGAACAGCTGCCAATCTAATAGTCTTCCCCTTGAAATAAGATTTTTTTTTCTTTCCTGGTAATTTTGATACGATTATTTCAAGTTTCTAAAACTAACCAAATTCTTATTAATCTGGTCACTTGGTTCCATACAAGATAAAGAAATTCACATGGAAGTAGATATGTGTAGTAAAGGCACTGTGAATATGACCTTGACCTTATAGATAACAACAAGTGAAGGATATGACCTTGACATTAGTAACCTTTGATAATGGTTGATAACAGAGGTACACTACATGACCAGTCTTATTCCACTTCCTTTTGTTCCAGTCACTTAATATGATCCATTAGTTCAAATTAATTTGTAAATTAATGTTATATTAAGTAATATAAGTTAATGAGGACATTTTGAGAGGTATTTTTAATATGAAACTTTGGTCACTACAATGTTTGTGAAGGTGCATTTCCACTCAATATCAAGCAAAACACTGATGGAAATCCACCACAAATTATATATAAACAACTTGATGGGTAACAACAATTGGATATTAATGGCTTTCCTCTCAACAGGATGCAATAAGTTATAGGTGTTAAATGGAAAGAGGGTGTAATTATCATGGTTCATTATTAAATTTGAGGTGGATATTTCTACAAGATGGAGTTTGGATGATATGAACACATGTAATATTACTGATTCTTGGTGTTGGTTCATCACTGATCGGCATACATTATAAGGATCCTGAGCACCTTTCCTGTCAGCCAAAGATAATGCACAATCAATTTGCAACTTCCTAACTTGAAAAGTCTCAATTTTTTTCATATATATTCTTAATCAATTCATTTAAGAAAAGAAAAAAAAATTGTAAATTTCAAATATGAACCAAACTGCAAATAAAAAGCAGTTCTTGGCATTGGTGAGTTGATATTGGTACAAATAATGGTTTTCTCCTATTCTTATATGTACATTTTTAAAATACTATCAAAGTGCTATCGATATTGTATACATATAAACAATCCTGTTTGACACAGCAGTGTCAACAGTTCAACCAAACCAAATAAATGGATGTCACCATGTGATGCTACAGTGGATCATGAAGGATATTTCATCTTCATATGACCTTAACACCTGAAGTTCAACTCTGGCATCAAATTTACCTTGGCAACGAACCCTATCCCCTTAACAACACATTACAACAAAACTTCCAATAATTCAATACAACATCACATTGTATTTGAAATTAAAATCAAGTGTTTTTCCCCTAATGTCAAAGAATCAGGTTAAAAACATGCAAAACAAATTAAAAAAAACAGGAGAAAAACAACACTAAAACATTTCTGTCATCAAATTAAAATTTTTATCACAGAAATATTTAACATGGATACCATCAACAGTAAAAGCTCAGTAAGATGGAAAGTATAGAAGAATAAAAGACTAAAATGTTCTAAAATAAGCCATGACTATAGAGCATAATGTAGCAACATGCAGGAATAAATAGACGAAGCAGATATGATCCAACATCTTATATATGTTCTTAATCCTTCATATCAGATTTTTCAATAATCATTTGAAAAATCAGGCAGGACATCAAATCAAAAGTGCAGAAAAATGATGAAAAGTCATTTTGAAACAATTAACACACTGTGTAAGGGTTCACATTCATTAGTACTTATGCACCAACAGAAATGAAACTTAACAGAACTTTTTAATGTGGGATGATGTTTAAAACTGAATGAATCAGGATATACATTGAATATCTGATAATCATGTAGGGTATAAAGTCATTACTGGAACATAATGTAACAGTATCAATGCCATTATAACAGTGGGTAACAAAATGTTCATTCAAAATGATAACACATTTTCCTGCCTCCATTCATTGAGTTTTTCTTTAGCACATGGTGACATTAGTGTTTTGAAGGAAAACTCAATTATAACATTTATATCAGCAACAACATGGCCAGAGCCAATCTCGAGTCTAATCTATGTTACTGACTCTTCATGCTGGTAAAAACACACATTTAAAAGATGATTCTAATAACAATACCATAAAATATAAATATAAAACAGTTCAACAAGCCTGAAGCCTAAATTCCAAGTTGTCTAATGCTGTGTTAAAATCACTTTGTAAAGACTAAAAAAAAAAAAAAAAATATTAAGATTTGTTTCTTTCAAGTCTGAGATATTGTCACCTACAATAAGTGGATTTATGTTATGAAGAAACTGACCAAAGACGTGATCAAGCGACAAAATGGACACACTTTTCATTCAAAGGCATTGAATTGACTAGAGAACTTCTAATAATTTTATGATCAACTGGTTTTGGTTTTAATAAAAAATAAATATTTTCAAACAGCATATTTACTGTAACTCCTGAAACACATGGTAAACACACAAGCTTGGAAATTTTGCATGACAATGGTTTTGTTTCTCGCCCTAACAATTATGAAAGACTATGAACTAAATTTTTCATAATTTCAATCAATATTTCTTTTTTTTTTCTTTTCTTTAAAATTTCTAGCACAAGTTCAATTTCCATAATCAACAAAGACTATTTCATCTTCTCCTTCAATCTCCTTTGTAGTTCAATAAATATTCCATAGGCTGCATTTTTTCATAAATATAATAACTTCTGAAAGCTTCTCAAGAAATGAAGAATTAAAATTGATAAATATTGTTCACAGAATTTGATCCTTCTCATTTTTCCCCATGATTATTAAAATCATGACAAAGCGGTTGTTTTTTTTTTGTCACATGCATAGTCGATTAATTATCACAACCACCTGGTCAGATGCTGGTTAGCTCTGTCATCGTATCAGGGTGGTCTTAGTACTGCGAGTATGAGGAACCGACCTGAAAGAGAAGAAGAAAAATAAATAATGCAACTAAACAAGAATCTAAATTCCGTCCAACATATCTGTTGTTAGTGAGATACATGACCTATCATGATGTTCCTATCTTTAAACTTCCACATTAAGTTGGATTTCATCATCAGTGTCATGAAATCATTTAATCTCACATTGGTGTAATTAGAGATACTCTCTCCCATGATCAAATTCCATTTTTCTTGAAATTAGATTTTAAGTAAATTGGTAAAATGGCACACATCCTTAGAAGTGTGTCTGTCTCTTTGTTTGAAATACCTTGTTTTGAATTGTTACTACATATGTATATCAAAAATGAAAATTTTGATTATCCTTTACTTGACCTGCAAATGCTAAATTTCATCTTAAAGGTGATGTACAAATTATGTATACAAGCTCTTTTCTCTAACAAACAATGTTGATATATGTATATCTTTATCATAAATATTTCATACATTTGCTTTAACTTTCAAGTAGCAATGAAAACAAAAACCAGACTGAATACTTAATTTGGTCAATAAGGCATTATAATGATGAAAATACACACTTATAAATGAATGTAAAAATGTTGTATATTTTTCAAAACATAGGCAGACAACATTAATCACAGCTTTTGCTGGTCTTGAGTATATTTATAAATACCATAGCTAAAAATGCTAAAGCAATGAACAAAACAGATGTATAATTATCACTGTACAATAGATGTACAATATGGATGATGCTGTACAATGTGTGGTATATGAACACTCCAGCACACAAACCATGCACTTCATAGTATCTCAAGTCAAAAAGGGGGAAAAGGCAGAAATTGCAATACTGCAATGTTAAATGAAAGTGTTTAGAAACCATGGACCACAAAATTGACTTCCATGATATGTCAGTGACATCAGTATACTGAAATGATTCAGTACACACCATAGTACAGATTTAAATTACAGACGGTAAAACATTCTGTCAGGATGGTAGTTTTCTCCAAGGTGAAGGTCTATACTGACGTTATTTATTCTACATTTCACACTGGAAACTGATTTCTTTTTTCCACATAAAAACTGCAGTTGTAAACATTCTGGTATGTCCATTCTTCCTGATTGGCATCTTCAGATACTATGTCGTGTCTTAAGAAGACTCACCATCTATTCCTCCCATTCCAATATCATATAACTTCAGCTGCTTGACTGAATCAAGTTATGTAGCTATTTTGAAACCAGCCCCCCCTCCCCTCCCCAAGATACAGTATGACAACATAGATAACAGCAATTTATCACAATTTATTGATATGTATACAGACAATTAAATCACATAATCAGCATACATAATACTGGGAGCTGAAAGCAGCAGTTATTTTCGGTCAAAGTCAAAAAAGAAAATGCACCATCATTTCAATGTAAAATAATAGAATCACAGAAAATGAAAAACAATCTCAATTGTATCCTTTTCCCAATAAATTCTGAAGCACAGAAATTCAATATAACCCACATGTTCTGGATACTGACATGTTGCTTAAGTCAATTAAAGATGTAAAAAACTTTCCCACTGCATTCATTTTATAATCTGCAGATGTTTCATAAACATGTATTATAACTATAAACTACCTGATATTCAACACATGGAGATTATACATATGAACCTCACCATATCACTTGATTTGTGACAGACGTTCAGCTTACATATGGTATATATTAAAAATGAAGAAATTTACAGTTCACTGCAAAAGGACAAAAAGTAAGTAATCTGTTAGCAGACAATGTACCACATTAAGTCATTTTCATAGTATCACAACAAGGACAGAAACCAAAACTTTGAAAGATAAGTAGTCGACAAAAAGATTTTTAGAGAAAGAAGATGGTACTTATTGAGTTACAGGAATAAATCCCAATTGGAGACAGGACACTGGTAGATCCCACAAACATCCTTAAAAGTCACACCAACACTCACCACATCCGAAAATCTAGGGCAATGGTTGTTGTCCCGTGAAATTTCCAGAGAACTTACCTCTCATAGTTTAAGTCAAAGAATGTCAGAACAAAAGAAAGTCACAGCACAAAGTTGGAATATTTGAAATCCTCCGATCAACCGGAGCCAAAACATGAAAACAACATAGAGGACATGTTCAGTACGTAAGAGGACATTATTACTATGGTAACCAACACCTTTTGTAAATCCATGGGTATTAGAGTAAGAAATGAATAATTCATTGTTTTCTAATATATATATATATATATGTACGTATTCAATCCACAGCACACCTATACAGATATCTTACACCGTCCCCTTCAAATGAGATGCCAGTATTAGTGTGTGGTCGCTTAGTAACCTGGTAATCAAAAAAATTGTTAATTTGTGTACAGTATATTCAACAACAGAGAGGTGAAAAATTCATCAAGCATGTTATATTTCCCAAATACCAACAATGCCCAGAGTTTACAACATTCACAACAACCAGAATGGAGGTGGTCATAGCCCTCTTCGAAAGCTTAGCAATGTGTAAGAAACTTTCATATTTTGTATCCATGTCCAAAAATAAAAAAGTTTGAGAGTATGAAATTTGAATGTACAAATACTTGGTATACCACTGTTTCTTTAATTTCAAGTTGGACACCATTTGTACTTTGTTTTATTGAGTGTCTATTGACATCAAAACATATCAATTTCTCTGCACTATTTACACAAAACTAAGACATAAGTGAGGGTTTAAAACAGCCTCTTCCTGATACCATCCAACTATCTAACTACCGGTAGCCTAGATTGCCACAGCTTTCTCCTGGAAAATCGGGTTAAAGCTCTCGTTACTTTACAAATACGAGAAAGAATCATATTCAAAAGTCAAAAATAAATAACAATTTAACTTACTGCTAGCAATTTTAGTTAATTAAGAATTTATCAAATGGTACAATGAAATCTGTTATACATTTTACAATTCAAATTAACTTGCTATTTTTGACACGGAAATACAATTTGGCATCATATGATAATTTCAGATATAAATGTTGATATACTTTTTAAATCACACAGTTACTTTACTTAAGTTAGCTGATTTCTTGCTCTGAGCTAGGACAGGAAATTTACACTGAAATGGCCAGTTTAACAGGAATTAAGCTTACTCTAACAAGGTGCAATTAACAGCTACAGTGGCTGAAATACAACAGTGAGAAATATGTGTCTATATCGAGTAACAACGCGAAAATGGTGGTAGTTAGTGTGTTAGGACAGCAAAGTAGTGGCTACATAGAACAGCTAAACACAACGATGAAACCATTATCACGGAAGCTGATTAAGACGAAGGTGATGAAAATGATTAATTAACTTACTGTAGAAGAACGTAACTGATATTTGTACGGCCATGAGCTCAGGTCTGCTGAAGTATTATACAGGTTGCTTTTAAAATCCTTGTTGAGTCTATTCTCAAAGTAGTCTTGGGAATCATTGTCATATCTGCTTGAAGAGCTGCTGTCAAGGGAGGCAATAGATACAAGCGAATATGCATTAGATTTTGGAGAGAGAATTGTTTATATTGCAGGAATGTAAGCCATGAATGCTGAGAATAAATAATTTTGAGCATTTTTTCTGTATTTCCATTTTCTTCTCAATATTCATTGTTGTTGTTGCTAAGGAAATCTATGAAGATGAATTTTTTCTTTCTTTTTTAAATATGTGAATTTTGGAAAACAACTGACAGCCTTTTATCAATTTTGGTAACTTTGAGAAATATATATATATATGGAAATTCGGATGGGAAGGAATGAATGATGGTAAGGTTAGCACCAGTTTAGTGGTTAGGGCTGACACCAGTATACACGACAAAGGTTAGCGATTGTGAGGCTTCTACATCACACCATCCGCATACACACAGACGACTCCTGATCACCACTGTGTGATAGATCATTAACACCACATAAATCTACAGTACTACTACAGTAGTGCTACGTGTGTCCCTGGCATCCAAATGCTTTGTTACAATCAACTTCCTATAAATCTCCCACTTGCCTAGTAAACCTACAAGCTTGCATATACAGGAAGTAAGTGATGACAAGACAAAATGTCTATATATCTGTGGATGATATAGGATAGAAATGTTGTTGTGAGGGTTGAGTTACAATGCTTGTATCTACAGGTACAAGTGTTGATGATGACAAGGTGCCCCCCCACCCTTATTTAGCATATGATACAGGCTACAGAATGATGTTGCAAGGATTGAACTACAATGCCTGTACCTACAGGTACAAGTGTTGATGGTGACAAGGTGCCCCCCCCCCCCTTATTTAGCAGATGATATAGGCTACAGAATGATGTGGGAGCATTGAATTACAATGCCTGTACCTACAGGTGCAAGTGTTGATGGTGACAAGGTGCCCCCCTTTATTTAGCATATGATACAGGCTACAGAATGATGCTTTTTGGATCATTGAATTACAATGCCTGTACCTACAGGTACAAGTGTTGATGGTGACAAGGTGCCCCCCTTTATTTAGCATATGATACAGGCTACAGAATGATGCTTTTTGGATCATTGAATTACAATGCCTGTACCTACAGGTACAAGTGTTGATGGTGACAAGGTGCCCCCTCCCCCTTTTCTTTCAGATTATACAGGCTACATGATCAAGTAGGGGTTATGACTACTTCTGTATCAACAGGTACTTCCTAGTGTTCACATCAATAAGGTGCTCTACATTTAAGTGGATGATACAGACTACAAAATGTTGTTGAGAAGGTTGAATTACAGCTGCTGTATCCACAAGTGTCAGCAGACACGTCAGTGAAACAATGGATTTGGTGATTCGAGAAATGGTTAATGATGAAAATTGGGAAAAACCATCAATATGTAATGTGAAACCCAGGTGGATAACAGGATACTCATTGGTAGACCAAAATAAAAATGTTCAACTTGGTTCAGTTAAGAGACAACAGGACTTATTTTAAAGTAGGTCTAAAGTCATGATGTAACAATATAGGACCAAGCCTGAAAAGCTCATTCTAAGGTTATGTTGCAAGATTAAATCTTCAAAGTAAATTCTGCAGCGAAATTACAGGGACTTTGAGTCATAACCAAGAATAAAGAGACAGAAGTATATAATGAAGTTACAAGCATATGACACGCAAAAACACAATAACTTTATATAACCCTTATTTAGCCAGAATGTGCTATGAAAGGATCTAACGATTGGGGAAGTACTAAATGAAGATATGACTGTAGACCCACTGTAAAATGTTAACAAGAAAGAAAGGAAAGTTAATGAAGTGAATCCTTGTTCTTTGAAGTGACACTGATGATTTGAATGCTCATTTAAAACCAATATCGATTGTAAATCACTCATAATGAGCAAATTTCTAGGAGTCTACAGATACTGACATGAACATAATGATGATTGCACTTTTTTTTAACTTAAAATGTTTTAACATGTTTAGCTGAATTTTTCATTCAGTTGAAAGTGACAGACTAAAAGTAGTAGATAAGTACATGTAAAATTCAATAATCTATGGTACCCTTTATAAACAGCCTAAAATATTAATGTTACAATTTGTGTTGATTGGAAGATGTGGAGTTAACAGAGTTAACACTTGGTTAGTTATTTCCATGCTTTTTGGAATAAGGTTAATGTCACTTTTCGACAAATGTACATGTGTTCATAAATAGATACATATTTAAAATATTTTCTAGAATTTAAGCATCAAGTTTCTGAATCTGTCCATGCTAAATTAATACCCAATCCCTTTTATAATAGATACTACTTGCATATTAATATTGGAGTCTATATCAAATTTTGGTAGGGGTCACAAATCCCATCCATTAACTTCGAAAAGAATCATGTATTTGATATTTAAATGACAATCGAAATTTTCAACAACTACACATGGAATTATTCTAAAATGAACACAAATGGTGAGAATGGTAAAAAGAATATTTAGAAATGTAAGGTGTGAATATGAAAAGGAATATGTGAATTTTTTTATCATCCAGCAATGATACGTCGCAAACAAAACTTGTATTACCAGATTTTTAAAGAACATTTCTCATTAATATGCCCATGGTGAAAAGCATGCTGATGCTTACTAGCAAGACAAATGCTCACAAGCGGATCAATTCCCACTAGCATGCCAAAGTTTCCATGATCTTCACAAGCAAGTTGATTTATGGAGCAAGAAAGCAAGGCAATATCAAACCCAGCTGAGGAGTTTAGTTCTGGGATATTGTTCTATTGTATTCAGGGCTAATCATCAATCAAGTTCAAAAGACAAAATTCTAATCCTGACATCATATTTTTTCACACCCCTTCCCCTCTCTCATCATAGTGATGATCTAAAGAGAAACAAACATGAAGAGATGGAGATGTATGCTTAGAAATGACTGAATATTGAAGAAAGTTTGACTAACTACTGTGGTGTAATACAATCTGCTAATCACAGACACCAAGACAAGATACAATCCCACACATTTAATCTGGCTATACAGAAAGTTGTAACCATCGATCAAATATATATATAGGTCTAGACAGGCTTAGCATGCACTGTAGTACATGGTATGTATGATTGTGATTTTGGAGACGAGAATCAAGTCTAGGTTACTAAGGTCAAGTCAACCAAGAGGAAGAACACTGATACAAACAAGTTACAATTACTATTTATATAAATATTCAATACAAAGTCACAATTATAAAATCATTTTCTTCTGTGTGAGAGATTTTACAGAATTCTATAAGAATACAGCAAAAGCATGAAAAAGAGAGGTGGTGAATTAAAAAATTTGAACTTCATTTTCCTCTAATCAAAATGTTTTACCAACGATGAGAATCCTGATCACTTATCAAATATCCATTCTCTTCTCATAACTATATACGTAATATATCACACATATATCAAATATGTCAGTTTGATATCCATCTTCACTATAACAGAAAATTATAGGCTCCAACATAAACACATGCAAAACTTGTAGCTTAGATAACAGGGAAGACACAACACCAAGTCAGATCCACATCAAAAGCTGCCAAGTCCAAACTTGGATAGAAAAAGACAATGGATTGTGGTAGAAGATAAAATAGATTGGAGAGAAGTGGATGGAAGCCATGTAAAAATGAAACCAAATCTCATGAGCCCACATACAGAAAGATGAACAGTCATTGTATAACTGTAAATAAAACATACAAAAAATAAATAAGATATTATTGCAAAAATCAAACAAATTGTCAAAGTCGATATCGAGGAGTTTTCAAGTAACTTTTCATTAAGTGGTACTTTCTACTTTTATATATATTTAGAATTCTCAAGATTATGACATGAAGGTTGTGATCTATAAACTCCAGTTAAGTGCCAGTCACCAGACTAGGTTACATATTAAACCACAAATCTTACATTTAGGTATAGACTCCCCGGAATACTTCTATAATAAAATGCCGAACACCATATGTAGTTCCATTGTTATTTTCTTCTAACTAGTGATACTAAGTTTCCAAATATCCTCATTCAGGCATTATGATAGGTTTATCACAAGAACACATACAGTTTGTATTATAAAAATAAAACGACATTAAAAAATACGATATACATAACATGAAATATCAACACTCCCCAAATTAATGTAAAATCACAAGTCCAACAAAAGTCCAAGCCTACAAAAATTAAGAATTTACACCAAAAAAAAAATGAAATAAAACAACAAAAAAACATCACAGCTGGATAATAAATTAAGTTTGACTGTACGCAAGCATGCAGTGTGAGAACCAAACGTGAGGATCGCTGTAGGAGTAAAAAAAAATCAAAATCAGGGGTCCAGTGGACCAGGGTTCTAAGAAAAAACGCCAGTATATATCTCGTTAGGGCAATATATACCTTGTGCCCATGGCCTTCCTCAGGCTATAGGTGTGGGAGTGGTACTTTCTACAAAAACCAGAAGGCGACATTTCATACACAACTTTAAAATTTCATCATATATACAGTATGTTAAAAGAAAAAAAAAACAAAAAAATAAAAAAACCCATACACCCCTGAACTTTCAAAGATATTGAAAATGACAGACAAAGAATTTCTTTCCATAAATACATTGTTAGTTATGAGGAGACTTCCTATGCAAAAAAGGAATCCAAAATATTTGAGTAATACAGGATAAAAATTTACAAGAAACCATGTGAAAAATAACTCCAACTATTTAAGATTGTAAAAAAAAAAAAAAAAAAAACAAGAAAAATGTTAGTTATCAATGGAGAATAAATAAGAATAAAAAAATTGTTTACCCAATAAATAGTTAACAATGAGAATAATCTTCTCTCTCTCTCTCTCGCATGCACACACGCACACAAACACACACGCACACAAAATCTCAATTTACATAACTTTCTTTAAAAATACAAAGAAAATTCCTACACCAAAAAATAAAAAGATAAGAGATAACAGATTCTTAAGGCTTCGTGCTGTTTGGCAGTTCATCAGGAAAATGATTATATTCTAGTTTCTCAAAGCAGACTTTTTTAATTACACAAAGATATAATCAATATCTGCTCCTTTCTTATCAAACAATATAATACAAGAAACAAGATTAGTTCAATGAATTGTGACTGTGTTGAAGGACAAGGAAGGAAGGATAAAGCGGTTGAAAGTTCAAAGAGGTCAAAGTGCAAATCTGAATTGCAACTGTATTATGAACTCAAGCAATGTATACTATACAGCATTCAATGGTAGTCCATGTCCAGGTTCAATGTACTGTCACATACACAGAATAAAAACACAAGGGGTCAAAGTTCAACTTGGGAGTAAAATCTTACCTTTTGGCACTAGTGGAGGAGCCGGTAGCATGGCGTGTGTTCCGCTTTACAGATGATGTTGAGTTGCTATGGTTGTTGCTAACAGTGCTGACCTTTGAGGCCTTTAGTGGAGACATTGCTGTGCCTGAGTGAGCACTCTTTGACCCTATGGGGCGGAAAGGCTGTGTTGTCGATCGTTTGTGGCCCTTCACATCATCATGCCTATATCAATAAGAAAGCAGTGTAACTTCTAGCCCTAACAGAGGACGAGACAACAGGACAAACTCAAACTCCGAACATACACAGACTCAAAGCACTAGCATACGAGTACAAATCAAGCAGAGCATAAGACACTAACCACATGTAGAATATCCTGGTGACAAAGTTCTGGAAACATTGTTTATATAAGACTCATAGTGTTTCCATAACATGTCAAAAATTTGAAATTGATATCAATTATCTATTAAACTGAATAAAAAACATTTATTATCTTTCAAATATTCTATTTGAAAATTTGACAGAAATAAATTTTTCCTGAAACTGCAAACAAGACTAATTTTCAGTTGAATTTATTATCATATTTACCCTACTGCACCGGCGGTGGCAGAGCGGGCGTGTTTAGACCGTAGAAGTTTCATCTGGTTTAGTTTGTCTCCTTGTGTCTCAATAAGACTGCCTCTGGTAACAGGACCGGAGTACTGAAATGTTCAAAAACCAATATCCTTCATAACATGTAATCTTTAAAGCAGAAAAATAGTTAAGAGAAAGGAATTCATACACTTCATGGGTCACAGCACTTTCAGTACTTGAAAAATTTGTAAATTTTCAAAATGATTTATCTTTTGGGTGACAGATTATTTGCAGCCACAGGCCACATTACTTGCACTGTATTGTCAAATCATCTGCTAAGGGCTGTTCCAGAATTAAATGTGCTTAGCAGTCTGGCAGCAGATGAACTATTTTTTTGTGGGTGGTTTGGACAACACTTCAAAAGTTCAAGGGAGATCACTTGTATTGGTTTTGGGATGGGAGAACAAATGCAACTTCGAAAAAAAGTGACGAAGGAAAACTAGAGTATAAATGAGGTGGCCACATGGCTTGACGAAAATGGCCTGGAATCCTTAATGGGGACATTCATAAGTAAGCATTTCTGTTGATTGTAGTCAAGCTGACTCTTGGCATGTTCATAATACAAAATCACATCAATATATTGTAGTGGACCAGTCTGGATTTGACATAAGGAGAAAATAACCACATCATGTGAAATAAATGAAGTAAAAATGGCATATAATGAGTACTTCTCTCCATTGTATTCATTGCAAACTTCCAGTATAGGTATGGAGCTAATAGATTGAAAAATAACAACTTTCCAAGATCTAAATATGTGGCAATATATGGAGTTTTTTATTTTGAAATGTCAATATTTAGTGTGTTCAGTTTGGGAAAATATTTTTGGGTGTCATGTTAACAAGGAAAATTCTGTGGGGATTGCTGAAGTAACAAATTTAATTGGGTGGGTTATTGGATTTGGCAAAAACTCTATTATGCTTGAGAATTGGATAAATGTTACAGTATGGGTAAAAAAAAGTGGTCCCTCCGTTTCCCCATTTAATTCTGAAACAGCCCTAAGCAAGAACTCTAGCTTATCAGGTTACATATTCTGCATCAAGTTATTATTTTAACATCGATCATGAAATATCTATATCCTGTTAGCTGATCAAATTAATATTTCTTAAATGATTTCATATTTTAGTCACACAAACCATGAATTGTATTACAGATACTGTAAACTAGTTGAGTGGAATTTATCAATCAGAAATAACATACTAGATGAGATTCTGCCTCAAATGCATATTTCTCATTTTCAAGGGCATCTTGAATTCTCATGTCATCAACACCAGAGAGTATTTTAGACACACTGTGATGCCGGTCTCGTTTCCGATCATTTTCTTTAATCTTTGCTCGAAATAGATCTCCCTGCATCCACAACCATGCCTGTTTTCTGTAAATGGTAAAATCATTACAGCTAGTAAGATATACAGTACTTGCTTTTCTGTGTCTCTGCTTTAGACAAAAACGTTGTCTCAGAAATATCTAAATACAAATATTCATTTCAAAAGTGCAACAACTGGTTTTGTAGTGCTAAAAAATAAAGTTCTAAATACATGCACATATTTTTTCCACTTGCTACAGAAGAAAATAACTTATTTTTCTGGAAAGAATGTCTTACTTGAAAATCTGTTTATCATACTAGATCATCATTACTTTGTTTGAACAAACCCAGTCTAAAATTCAAATAAGATGTAACCTAATGACACATACTCTTCTAAAAAGTTCTGTTGTGGCCCGATGACCGAGCCTGGCCGTGATATCCTGCACCATGCTATAGACTCAGCTGCTGTGAACTTATAGTGTTTCATCATATAACAAGCTATCAGAGTACCCGTACGACCAAGACCCGCTGCAAGACAAAAAGAACATATTTATAGCAAGTCAAACTGGAAATACCACACCACAACTGACACTGTCAGGGGAGTTAATCAGATATCCAGCTCACAAAAGAAGTGTTAATTCTGAATGTTGGCAGGGGTGACCTCCCTTTACAGTACATGGACATTAACATAAGCATACTGGGCTAAAAGGGTTGATATCAAAACTGATTACAGATAAGATACATTAATACACTATCATATTGCGACAGGAAAGTAAGATACAATACTATGTCGCGATCAATGATTCAAAGACCATGAACGTTGAGTCAAAACATAATATGCATACACAGAGTTACTCAATAAATCTTATATCTATCTTATTTAATTTGTGTGTGGACTATACCTTTACAATGAACAGCTATGCCCCCCTCTGCATTTTCACTAAGTTCTAGGAACTGTCGCATTATACTATCACTCGGCGTGCTGCCATCTATAAAGAACAGGTCATAGTGGTCGAAGCCAGCGTCTGTGAATCGACGTGCATCGTAAATCTTCTTGTTTAGTCGCACTATTGTTGTGACGTTGTGTTTTCTGAAGTAAGGGAAATACGCCTCGGGTGCATGGAGGGGGTAGCCTGAAAATGCAAAAATCAACAGTAATGAACACAATTACAGAACTAGTAGACAATTTTTATAAAAAAAGAAAATACATGTAGTAGCAAAAAATCATTTTAGTATACCTGATCTTTCCATGAAAAAATAAATTTCAAGATCTTCACTTGCAACCACTTTACATTTCATTAAATAGAGAACAAATGACAATATACTGAGTTGAATATGAAAGATATCGTTATCAACAATTAAACATTAAACACTTAACTGTCTCTGATGAATAGCAAACATTTCAAGATATTCAGTTAAAAAACAAAAAAAAAACATGCATTAATTCAACCCAGTATATGTGAAAACTGATGTCATTATAAAGTTTTAATCAAAACACAGATATATATGATAAACTGGTGTTTGCTAGCAGTGTACGCATCTTAAGAATCTACTATGATATTTCCTGAGTTATCCTAACATCATATATCATGTCATTACATACTCTTAAAGCCCTCATTATCTTCAGGCTTAATCCCCTGGAAATATTATTTAAGTATTTGACAAAAATACATCCAAGCATCTCACAATTTAACTTTAAAAATCTCAGTTATTCCCTTCATCAAAATCAGAGCAAACCAGATAACTATATCCCAAGAACTACCTGATGTTAAAAACACAACAAACTATTAATACAAATATGTTACATTGTGGTTGTACTTATAATGTCGTCAGCCTGTAGCTGTATTAATTTATCATCTTGAAGTAAACTTAACCCTTTCCATTGAATCTGGCTTTGTGTGTTGTCATCCTAAATAGGACAAATAAATGGAAAATAAGACATAAATCTGTTACTGATCTATCTTCTTAAGATATTCTTAATATATCCATGAAAGTTCAAATCAAATATTGTTTCATATAATTGTGCTCACAGGCCAAAATGTTTATCTTTGCACTCTTTCAGTTAAAATTTTCCAGTTGGAGATCAAAGTGAAAATACTGTTTTCATTCTGATGTAAAAGATTTTTCCACATCAGCTCTCGCCAAATGTTGATATAGGTTTATGACAGGACTATGACAATGACTTTTATTGGTCATTCTACTTCAGTGATCAATGATGTGAGCTGACTTATTTCCAGATATTGGATGCCAGATTTCAAAATAAAGTGTGATACCTTATCACTTCAATATGTAACCAATCTTTGATGACGGCTACCACTAAAACTGCTAAAGTCACTGTGTTAACATTATTAAGTACACTGGATGTGATTAACCAAGGAATGAAAATCTGAATTGAATAAATCCAAGGTAGTGTGGGCAAACAGTCAACTTTATTCTTTAGTCTCCAGTGCCAGTCAATCTGTGATATTGGATAATTGACAGATGTGGTAGAGTACCCTAAAATAGATTTCAACATATCCATATATACAAGGCCTATTTCTATCACTACTATATATAGCCAAATTCAACTATCCTAATTCATGCTGCATACAAATAAATTATGGAGATTTCTCTATACTAATGATGGGTATGAACCATGCACTCTGCAATATGAGTGCACTGAGAAGATTGATGGTTTGCCAACTACAGTATCTACAAACCTACAAACTAAACAAAGAATCTATCAAGACAATTTGACTTAATCAAAAGAAATGAACAAAAAAAAAAAAAAAAAAAAAAGAAAAACTAAGTGTTTGCCCACTTCCTTACTAAAATTTACAAAAATCATGTTTTCCCTGTGCTAGATATAAATAACCATGTAGTTTTTGAAATTGTATTAAAAGAGAAATTCGAAAATAAAAATGATTTTCTCATCTTTGACTACATTTCTAAGTAAAGTACATATAGAGAAATAACTGTTCCTCTTGACTTGATATGATAGTAAAGAGATAGAAAATTCTGATAGTTTATGAACTCTAGGGGTGAAGATGTTCTCAGAATTTATGAACAAAGAAAAATTGTCAACTACCAAGTACAACTAAATGATGGTGTTTAGAGGCACAGCAACAGCAGCTGTTAGCAGACAGATAAAGGCATGAGTTCAAAGGTCACTGCTTGTGACTATTCCGGACAACTACAGCTATATGTGTAGCACTCAGCGGGCACGCTGATAATGACATCATACCATTCTCTATCTGGCTCTTGGAGTGGGGACCACTAAAGGCCAACATTTTACGGGGAATAAGCCAATTGAGGTCCCCATTTTCCACCCGCTAAAGAGGAAGAGAAAATCAAAATCATTTTCATCAGAAAACAATCCAATCCCTTACAAACATATTTAGAGTAGTCAATGTTTATGTGTACCAATCAGAAAAAAGAAAAATCCCTCAATAATCATAGGGAAGTTGGTAGGCCAAAAAATACATCCATATTTCAAAAGATATGGAAATTATTTTCCATTCCCCGTCTCCCCATTTTTATCCCTTTTATATAATCAGATATTGATAAATGTTTGGTGGAATACAAAGACAAATTCTGATTTTCTGATTGTTCACTGTTAATCAACATTGACCAGTATACATGTAATACAGTGAAGTTTCTTGTCCAACACATAATATTAACCTGAAATCACTGTTCCAGTCCTGGTTAAAATTTGTTTTCCAGGACAGTAACCTGAGAGTTAGGATAACAATATACAGTGGACACAAACTTCTCAGCCTGACCGGCACCAGACGCCCACAGCTGTGATATTGGGTATTAGTACTACAATTTGTCAATGCTAAAGGGGCCTACCATTTTCAATCTTGGTTTTGGTATGTGGCCCACAAAAGGCCAAGAATTTGTTTGGCACAATCCAGTTGAAGTCTCCATTTTCTACTTTCTGGAATAAAGAATTGTCATCACTCTTATTAAGACTTCGTGCCCTGCAGTGACGAAACAGTGATTGAAATATTGAAGTTTACAAGGCACCTTGTAGGGATTATAGAAAATGAAAAAAGAGTTAAAACTATAGAGAGAATAATAGAACTAGATCCAAGTGAAAAATATCATATCACAACTATAATCATAGTCTTGTTACATACATCCTTGTTATCTGCAGATTGTACATTTATGCAATATTCTGATCATAAAACAATATTGTAGGACAACGAAATGAAAATCAACATTGTAGGACACAACAAAATGAAAATCAATGTTAAAATTTTCACCAGAAAAGACTTTCCTATACCCTGTATATGTATATGAGATTATATTAATAAATAGGACAATTTCTATTGTGAATACACTAAATTATTTTAACAATGTTTCTTTTTTAAAATTTTGAACACATAATTTTTACATGCAGAATGCACATTAGTGTTCTCAATATATTTAAATACAATAGAACTGTACTTTTCTCTCAGTGGCATCTGATACAGAATATTGTGACAAAGAGTTCAAATTTTCTCTATAGAAACACCTCAAAACATTAGACATTTTACAGCCTAATAGATTGAATGAACCAGAGTCATGAACATCATCTGAAAGTCAGTGTTCATCATATACAGCAGATTTTCCTAAAAATCATTGATGATTTAGAATCATATATTATTCATCAATTGCATTAATTTCTACAATACTTTAATTTCAACTATAAAAGTCTATTGGGTTTTTGAAGCTAGCATACAGCACTATTCTATCATACATACCTCGTAATGTTCATATTCATCCACATCAAATGTGTCAAAGTTAAAGAAACCATTTGCTAATGCCTGAAATAAACAAAACACATTTTAAAAGACAATATATTACTGGTCTTTGGTAATATTTTTTTAAAAACAAATGAAGGAAAAATTTGAAGCATTGAATACTTTTTTTCTTTGCTATTTGAAATTGAAAAGTCCAATATATGACCATTTGGCAAATTTTCAAAAATACAAAATTGACATTTTCTATCTACTGAATATATTTCAAAGCTTGAAAATTCTCTATATTCATCTGAATGCTTAACAAGTCCAATAAAGTTGCTAGACATTTTATCAGCACCTAAGATGGCCTACCAAATGAAGAGAGAACTTACCTTACTTATACCATGTAAACAATCTAGTAACGTTAGGTTGTATGTACACGCTCCAAAAGAGGCATCCCTACAACACAAGTATAGTATATTACAACACCACAAAACTATTCAATACATTTCTCTACATAGTAATTTACTTTGTGTACTGATCAAATGTATCATTAGCTTTTCAAAATATTTTTTTAAAGTCTATTGTTCAATCTATAAAGTACTGCATATCAATTCTCAATGATATTAAGAACAGGAGTGTTTACTGTCATAGATATCCTTGAAATTAAGACATTTGTGAATTATTACTGCCATATATTCTTTCCTTGAAATTGTTGTTGCCTTATATGAAATGAATTTGCAATTAACAGAGCTAATGATGACAATACAAATAAATCTAAGTGTGGTTGTAATAATAACTTTAATCTAAAATCTAAATGACAATAACTACCTTAGAATGAAAAACATGTGAATGAATGATAACAACACTTTCTTCATACCAAAACTGACACAAAATGAATATTTTTTAAAACTTATTTGGCAATACCAGTAACGGGTAATAAATATTTAATCCATGATACATAAAAAATATAACAAGTCAGAAAAATTGCTTCAGTTGGAAACCAGGTTAAGAGTTTTCTAGATTAAATTTATCTATAACAATGTCAATTTCACTACCAATTCTCATATGACGTGTATACATGTATATATCCATGTACCTAGAAAGCTACATTTGGAGTGTCCGACTTCATTACATATTGACATAAGACGTCACTACCTGAATGATATCAGTGTTTCTGGCACCATGACAAATAATGTCACCAATAGAAATCTATATCCCTCTGTAATCCTACATTTCAATAACTCCATTGATCTTATCAACATGTATTATGAAATGGAACATAACTTTATATTGTAAGTCAAATGACAGCATGTACAACTTTGAAACAGACTATAGACTGAACTTAACTAGGACCTTTAAAGACTTTAGTATTGTCCACTACACAAAAAACATTATTCTTATCACCATAAATCTCACTGTATTAACATATATGCTGATTACAAGGAATTATTGTTACTGACTATAAGTATATCTATACAGCAAAAAATACTTGAGGTAAGGCCATGAATTATAGATCTAAATCTGTCTTGTTCTTTACATGCAGAGATTTCCTAAATCCCACCAAAGGTTTTTTGGAACAGGATGTAAGAGTTTGGACTTCTTAATCTCTACCATTGTCATAAAACTATTTCTGCGTGTGAGTTTACCTGAAAGGTAGAAATGGTGGGTTGGAGCCAGCCACTAAAGGTCTATATGCTTCCTCTGGAGTTTTCTTGAGATAAATAATCTGTAACACAAAAACACATTTATATACAACTGTAATGAGGTATCTACTGAAACATCAGTATTTACATCAAGTGTCCATATTTTGATACACACACGAAATTTGCTATCGAAAATAAAATCAGTACCAAGACATGATCTGTATAAACAAAGTTAAAATATGACACTACGGGGCCACTAAATGATGTATTCAGGTGGTAACAACACTACAGATCTAACGTAGAAATCTCGTCTACATCCACATATCCAATAAACATGTTATGAGCTGAACTGGGAATGTTATTTCCTGGACTATATAACTAAACATCTTTCAGCCATGTTCACTTTATTTCAGGAAGCCACCAAAACTTCGGTTATAAATTATCAACAAATAGACAGTTTCACTGCAAAAAAATTCAAAAGAAATACTTTCAAAATTGCATGTAAGAAAACTTGTAATATAAGTAGACATTGTTATTGAGATAGCTTTCAAAACATCTATTACAGAAATCATTTCCTCTTTACTGATCTTGCTTTACAACTGAGAAACAGCATCACTGACCTTTACAAACCTCAGCCTATAAAACATATGTAACTTTCCATTTAAAAAAACTTGTTTTTTCACTATCATCTCTGCATGTAATAGTGGAAAAAATAGGGATATGTATCTAAATTTTGGATAATGGCACCTGAAATACAATTGTATTATGTATATATAGTAAATCTTCTAGGGCCATACAATGTAACACCAATCCATATACATGATGTGTAGTAACTTTGCTAATTTTACCGTATTCTCAGTCTAATCATTAGTACTCTGTTATAGATAAATAGGTAATCATTTGATTAACAAACACAGATCATCAAGATAATACTGAATTTTCTATCCCATTCATCACAGGCATCTGTGTAATGGCCATCCTTGAATTATAAATCATCGCCCACATGCCTGATCGGTAAAGTAATGAGTAGCTACCAGTACAGTGAAGGTGTCTTCAGCAGCACTAGTGTAAACATACACCAATAAATGGTATAGCTATTGAATAATTGATGTGCCACCAAATCTGTTAACACCATCAAATGATCATTTATACATACTCACCGCATAGGCAGATATAAGAAATGCTGCATTTGCTCGTTTTCTTGCATCAAAACTTGTGTAGTGTATAATTCTCTTCTTTGCAAGGGAGAAAGACTGAAAGAAAGATTTCAAATTACGTTTCATCATGATTTTATATATATATTTTTCTATATTGAAATTTGGATTATCTTTTTTTCTCTAAAGCCTTATGTATTCAGAACTTCTTGATGTTCCATATGAAAAACCCTTGGAGGTTTAGAAATATTTTCGCCTATTGATATGTACTAGGTCTACTGTTAATTTGATTGAGTCAAAATACCTATTTTTGGTAGCAGTAATTTTGAGATAATCAGATTTGACAATACTGCTATCACAAGTGGTGAATTATTTATAACAACTTATGTAGCTCTACATGTAATACATATGGATCTATGTGTACTTAATACATTTTTTTTTTTCGATATATATGGCACATTCAGGCCAACTGAAGCATAAGCAGGTGGTTGTAAGTTCTTAACCAAGTTTTTTTTATTTGTTTTTTTAAAAATAACTATACCTTACACTATAAGTGTCTTAATCTAATTTGAGCACTTTCCAAGTCATCAAGTTGATAAAAATTCTGAATGAAGTTTATAGCAAAACATTTTATTTTTTAAACTAGATAAAAAAACTCCTTTAAATTAATTAAAATTGTTTTACAAAGCCATAATATCATACTGAGAATGATATTTACGAACAATTACTAGGGTAATTATTTTACACACAGTATTTTGTAAAGGTTGATTCACACATGCAGTATCATAACTTTTAACTTCATGCAACAAGAACCTGTATATGTGCTATATTAAAAAATTACACATTTGATTGACTTGTCACATGGGAATTCCTAAAATATTAAAATTTCCTTATATGACTTATTTTTCTTCAAAATGAAAAAAAAACAAACAAACAAAAATACAATTTCAAGTACCTAGAGTGACGTTTAAAAAATGCTTTAATGTTGAGTCCTCCATTTATGTGTTTACATACATATCCTGAAAATGTGTTTATACAAGATATATATATCCTGAAAACTTCATGTACATATGTTCACCAAACAACTACACACCAGTACTACATCACATGTAGACATAAAATGAAAATCACAAGGTTCTGGACTCATTTCAAAGGAGATCTGCAAACATACTGAACAAAAGTGCCATCATTATCAAACACTGTTAACCCCAGGTAAAATCATTCATTATCTATCTCATGGTATTTTATCTCTATTTACAAATATACAGTAGGAAGTTACACATTTTTAAAGTTGAGTGCCTCTGCAAACATTCCTCCATATTGATTTTTGATATCAATGAGTTTATAGTCCAATCCCCATACAGTTCAAACTTTTATTCAAGTATATAAGTTTTATTTGTTGAAAGGGGAGTGACTGATAAGGACCGTACAAAGCCCTCGTTGATTGACATGGAGTTTAATGGGTACAAGGTTTACCTAAATCCTATCATATATATAAACATGTATTATTATAGCTACCGTCTACCTTTAAACACTCGTCTTAGCTCCATCCATTTTAATGTCATTCTGTTTTCTACACAACCATTATGTTTCTAACTTGAAGTGAGTCACCATTTAAATGAACTTAACATCAAATGACAATAATGCTCTGATATGACTCAAAGTCAATGTCATTATAATTAAGTCTAGATCAATAGTATGGTACACTCTGGGCATGAAAGAACTTTTTACACCATAGGACAATGTGTTAATCTTTAGATGGATTTCTATTAACCTAATTAAGATCATTAGTATTCTACTATGTCAGCAGAAAATAATTCTAGAGTAAGATATCTGGTTATAACAGTTGCATTCATAACAACCAAATTGAGAAAGCTTGTTTTCAGTGTCAACATTTACTGTGGCGATATCAAAATCTTTGGATATTCAATTACGGTACATTACACTGTCGTGATTCTATGTAAATAGATTTTCACCTGTCTCAAACTGACATTGGATCTGTTGCATGTATGTACTAGTGACCGACATTGAAAGTTCATTCACATAACTCTTAAATGTTAACAAGACATGAAATAAAAATGTTTAATTAATGAAAGTGACAAACAGTTTGACAAAAAATATATGAAATTTGTTTCGTCACACATTCTGCACTCTTTGTTCTAGATAGAGTAACTGGATATATTCTTGTATAAGATGTGCAATTATTTAAAGCTGATTTTCTAACTTATTAAACCTTTATTTTTACACATTGTACTTATGGTTCAACAATGATGATTGTGTATGAAGAAGTTCTAAGCATGGTTGTAACTTGGATAGTATAATCAGGGATGTAGTTATATCTAGTTACATATCAAGAGGTTTTATATAGGGACATATGTCAGGTATAAGGGGGACATATGTCAGGTATATGTACCATCAAGGATGGAGTTAACTATTACAAACATTCTAATGAAGGGTTGTCAGGAAACACTGGCATACCTTTCAAGTTTTAACATGTAATTTGTATACAAGTAAACAAAATGTGACACAAGGGCAGTCTATCTACTTAACCAACATGGGCCAAGGTGATAACAGACCCCTCTCTGTACACTCTACATCCTACATTAAGTGTAGAAGATACTGAAGTAGTCTGCCTTGTTTACAAACACATCCTTGGATGCTTGCCATAGGGGAATAACCTTCACCCCTATCAAATCTTATAGATATATCTCTCAAAACATTTTATTTTCATTGTTTTTGTGGTCTACTGCCCAGAACCTGAATGTTGAAATCAGTTTGTGGAAATATATAGACATCTTGTCACACCAGCTAACCTAGAATGTAATCAGAGCATAGCAAAACAGAGCCTTTCCTTTTCCTGTGGTTTAATAATGTACACAATACATAAACAACAATATGTCTGCTGAGTATACACCAAGGTGCATCATCTTCAGAAAATGGCAGACTGCCAAACTTTGAGGCACAGAATTGTGTAATCTTGTACATACATATTGCAGCAGTATTGTGTGAGTCTAAGAAGCATATGTGTATGTGTTTCAATGTGTGGAGTGTACAGAATTGATTGTGTATAAAGCTATATACTTTAGCAATGTACAAAGTATTTGTCAAATTTCTCTGTACTCTTATAAGTACACCCACCTGTTGATGTATATAACTGACTAATCAGAATCTTATTTAGTTCTAATGATAATATTCCCAAAAATAAAACCAAAACTGTTATCACTAAACCAAGTGTTTTTTTTAAAAACAAAATGCCTTTCATAAAAATTGCTAATCTATTTCTGAAATTAAGATAAAGAGAAGAAGAAAAAATACTAAAAGATTGGGATAAGGATTTAGCTATAAAACTGTAGAAATATACACCACAATTGTTTTTCTTAACACAGACTTTCACAATACTGGATGGCCTACATATATAAAACCAGCTTGTCAAGACGTTCAATGCCCTGTATGATATAGATAAATGCATATCTTGCCCTTTAAAGACTTATCTGGTATATACATAACACTATACACATTAATTGGTTTCAGTTTGACAGATGTGTCACATATTTGCATGGTGTCATTGAGAAGTTATACTGCATTGCAATGGGAGTTATGACACAAATTGACAACTATTTAACTGACCCTGTCATTCGTGAATGAAAAGTGGTATACACACTATAAGTTTTAATGAATTTATCAATAATTATCTATCAGGGAAGCTTTTTCTTAGACACAAGCTTCAACTTTTATGGAATATTTGTTTGGTGAATCTGTGGAAGGATGTTGGCTACAGTGGTCAAGCATCATCGAAATGAAATGTCATAAAGATGGCCAGTTAATGATGGATTCTACAATGTTTACTGACAAGAGTTAAACAAAGACCTTTGGTACTTACTGCCCTCAAATGAATCAAATTAGTTAGCCTACCAGAATTATTTCCACAAAACTTTGTTGATGTAGAAAGATTCAGAGTGTAACCTTTGGAGAAAACATTAGCCAGGTTTGTTTCTAGAATTATTCACATTTCTAAGGTATGATAACAGAAAATGTACTGAATACATGACAGTTCATCAAATTGAGACTAAGGAGTATTGTATATCTACCGTATTTTCCATGTTAAAAGTTGCACAAGTATATAAGCCACAGAGCGGATTTTTATCAATTTTTTCCAATTTGATCCACATATTAGCCACACCAGAATATAAGCAACATACTTTCTTATGATATAGTAACTGTAACATTGACCGAAGTTTGTTGATGTAACAGACAATGGAAGGCAATTAATCAAGATCATCAGTCAAACAAGTTTGCAAATAAATTATGCACAAACAATCCTACAAGTTCATTGATCTAAATATTATTCTGGTCCTTCAAAATACATAAAATAGCAAATATCAAACTTGTTTGGCTTGGGAATTGTCTATGCAGATATAGGGTTTGACATTACATACTGTTTACTAAACAATCTCTCAGTTGGTGTCTGGACTGTTAAATATTAACAAAGACCCTTGCATGCTGATAAAATTCTTATAGTCCAATATCATTCCTTGTAATTTGCATAAAGCTAATCATATCCAAGACAAGCAAGGTGGTCTTTTTAGAATTTGACCTATCACCCGTTCACCTATCGATTCCTGGGTGCAAAATGCCATTGAAAATTTCTGCAATGCCTTCTTGCAATCGCTGTGTAGTAACTGTGAAAGTAAAGTGATTTATATTCAAGGTATGATTGATTAAATCCACAAGAATGTTATTTCTTCTGCAATCTTCAAATCATTCTGTATACAATTACAAGTGACAGTTCTACACAATCTGTTTCAGTCACAAACACATGACTGACTGATAATCCTTCAAAAAGCAGTGCTGTCTCATACCGGTACGCTATGTTTTGCTTTCGTTCCGCCTAAATTTTTTGTCCACATTTAAGCCAAAAATTCTGCCAGTTTTTTCCTGTCCAGACGCACTTACTGTGATAAAAGTTGTGACTTATAATCCAGAAAATATGGTACTATAAACAAGTTCATAGATGACTTTGATTTTGAAAGATTAATCAAGTTTCTAAAAATATTAGGATGGCTTGAGTATTATGACTGGCTTCTCTGGTGCAAGTTTGCCTTTCTATTTCTTTTTTGACTAGAATTTCAGCCAGAATTTTTTCAAAACATTTCATCTAATTAAAAGAAAACTCACAGTTTTGAGTTAAAAAAATGACTTTTTAACAAAGCCATTGGAATACCATAAAAGCTTAAGCAGTGTAGTTATGTCTGATCTAACGTCAAAACAGGAAAAGCAAGGTCTTCAGTTTTAACTTTCCTATGGCAGCTATGACCTTCATTTGACTGATTTTAAATAGAGTGGAGACTTTATTCAAAGTTGGTGTCTTTTACAGGTACAAATTATACCTATATATAAATTTGATACACATTTTAAAACTGCAATAAGTATCTTGACTTTCAAAACTGTGCAAGAATGTTTGCAAACTGTCATCATTGAAACTGATTAATTTATTATCTATATTGTGTCAGAGTGAAATACAAGTACACCTATCAGTCACTTTAAGAACATGCATACATCTGGTCGTAAAACATATGAGCAATAACTTAAATCCTTATCTATTTTTTTTTGTTCACACACAATACTGCGGGAAAATTAACTGATAACGTACAACTGTAAATCTGTGATCATGCTCAAATCATGTGATCAAAATTTGGTGTCTGAACTCTTACTGGGAAAGCAAGGTCAGCATTCACATGGAACTGCTAAAAACAGACTTGTCACTTCAGACATTACAAACACTCAAATAATAAAATTTCTGAATTAGCATGAACGTAACACTGACCATGCAGCTTAGATCATTTCAAGATGCAAATTCAAAGCCATTGTCTTTTCAAAGTTCTAGAGCATTCTGATAAGATGTGTGAATTTGGGAAAAAAATGTCAACTGAACAATATCAATATCTACATGATATGATGGAATAGTACCAACACTTGTACAATAAAATATTTTTATGAAAACTTGTTTTTTTCTAAATTGTCAAAGATCCCATCATGTCATCTTTTGGTTGTAAACACAAATACAAGGATATGTGTGTGCTTTTTGTCTAAGAAAACAATCATATCTGTAGATAAAACACAATATCATAATTCAAGTTTAATATACATTAGATATCAAGAATGTTATGAGGAGAAGGAATTTGATAAACAGGATCATTTAAATAGCTTGCATAACAAGATTTGACAGGGAAATGTCATCTTCCTTTTGACTGCATTTTTGGTGAATCAAAAAGTCCATGCATGGATGCAGTTGTGTAAACCACTTACATCTGTGATAACATTATCATTGTCATTTCCTGTGTTGTCAAAATCACAGTTGGTCAAACTTATACCACAATGAGCCTGAAAAAGCATATGATATCTTATAAAAAAGTCTAACAAAAAGTCTGAAATCAAATATTTCTCAATAATTTTGTGTCTGAAAAGTGAAATGCATGCTTTTCCAAAAAAAAAAAAAAAAAGAAAAAGAAAAAAAAAAGCTGTGAACAGTATATGAAAAGCAATCTGATGTGTTAAAACTTACAAAAACAAAAAAAAATGAGATAAAAGGAAAGTTTGATCTATAGCTGTTCATCTGCTTATCATCATTTTAAAATTGCAGGGAAATACTGTGGTAGAAATTTCTACAAAATAAACTATAATATGTGATGCTCTTGTACATGATATTTGTTCATGTTGTATAATTTATTTCAGTACATTATGAAAGTTCCTGAGCACAAAAGTTTGATCTAATTAGAATTTAATTATGTGCACTGAATATTTATAAGGAACACCTATGCAATCAAATTTTACATTTTCTTTACCAATGACCTTATGATACAAGCTAATGACTCAGATTTGATGTAAATTCTGCTTGGTAATGTCACTACCAGGTGTGGGTAAATGTATGTTTTATGGAACCTAAAACTAGTCACTGTCAATATGCTTTACTTAAAGAGTGGAATGGTCATATATAACACCTTTTATAGGTTCACAGCCAAAAACTGAGATCCTGTAATATAATGTCGACAACAGTTGATAACAGAAATGGCATAGTGAGTCTGTATTGTCATTTAGTATTAAACCACAAGTTTAACATGTTTAACAATATTTGGTAAAAAGATATAATGTACTGAATATTAAATTTTCTTTTAATTAATCTTATCTGAATTGACAATAATTTCTTGATATGTTGGTTATACAAATATACCTTGGAAGATGAATGCAATTTTCCTGTTTAGAAGATGATTTGAAGGTTCCTGTAACAGAATTTCTCATGCTCCACATATTCCAAGAATGTGATCCAGAAGAATAAACTACTGATATTTTTGTCTTTTTTCTCTCTCTCTCTCTCCAGCAACACATTCTTGGGTTAAATAGAATCTGACGTGTGTTATTTAAAATTCATTTACTTGTACCTACCTTTAACTTTTTGTTGAGTTTACAACAATATCTGTATAGCAATGCCAAATTCAACGGCCCGAAGTCTGCATAGAAACTGCAAGTCAAATAATGTATACATGTTAAAAACAAAATTCTTATAAAAGCTTTACTACAGATATGTATATAAGGTGTCATAGTAAACCTGATATTGATCACTGCATGATAACAATTAATATTTTTCTTGCCTCAAGCACTTTTTCAGTGTTTCTGCCTTGAAGGCAACATCATTTTTCAACAATTAAAACACTGCATGCATAAGGTTTTTTTTTATCCCGTTCTGGTAACATATGCTGTGCCAGTACCAAGGAATAATGATTCAATATATAGTCAATCCAATATAAAGATTTATGTTGGATGCAATTTGTCAGAACATCCGAGAAACCAATAACTGAGACAGAAAAGGAATTGGGAGGTACTGTGAACCCCAATTTGTTTATAAATCAATTGCAAACTAGTGTCATAACTGAGGTTCAAAGACTATTATAAAGCAATTTCTGTATACAGACAACTACGGTATGGTTCATACAAATAATTGTTATAACGAAATGGGATTATTGCAATCTATTTGGATATATGTAATCAATCTGTATTTCCAAATCTTTTTCATCTATATGCTACTTTGTAACTGGCTTGCTGCCAGCTTACATGGAATGTGGGAATCATGAAATGGTGGTCAGGGAAGTTTGTGTCAAACTTGAACCAGGTTATTCGAAACGCCGGGACACATGACTTTGTTTACATATACTTACTTCTCATATACAAGTTCATCATCGACACAGAAGTAGTGTGTATGTGCTGTCGATCTTGGTTTAGATCTAAGAGTTGCAAAATACAATCGATCTGAAAGAGAAAGCATCGACCATCTTTTAAAGTCCAATATATCGCGAATCAATCTGTCGAGACTTGTTTCAAAATGATCACGTATCGTTCCAACCGAATAACTCAAAATAATTACAAAATTCACACACGTACCCATCTAAATTACTTACCTTTTATGAATTCTGACGCACTTCCAATGATATCATTCTCATCGGCCATATTCTGTATTGAATACATCGAAAGGTAGTCACCTGCTGGGGTTCTCAAAATATGAAGATTCGCTCTTTAGAATACACACGGATGGTAAAAATGTTGGTGCTTACAGCACAATCAAAGCAATCGTATTATGCTTAAATATCTCAATAACATGGGTAGCCTTTTCCTTGTCCCATAAACACATAGATCGTTAAATGTATGCCATAAAATGTGAAAATAATACGCGAAAACTAGTCACCCCCCTTCGTAACTTCGTAGTTGACGGCCATGTTTGAAATGGAACGAAGTTGAGTGCAATAACATCACATGACTCGATTGAACCAATGGAAATGCAGACAACAATTGTCGTCATGACGATTCTGTTCTTAGCCAATGAAATCTTTGTTTATTAGAAATGCTAACATGTGCCCAAGTGTCATTCTCATTGGAATGTATACACAGGTCATAAGAAATTGAATTCCTGTGATTTATATATAATTATAAAACATATTCGGAAGAGTGATTATTCCTTCGTTTTGAGGAAGATCTGCAATCAGAACATGATTCTATCTTTCATCAGCTTGTATTTGCTTAGCATGTTTAAACTCGACTTCTGATCTGGTTTTCACTACTTTATAATGATTGAGATCGAGGCACCGATGGGAGCTCGATTGCACCTAATAAGTTGGACCTGGATAAGACCATAGATATATATGGATAAGACTATATATTTAAGTCTGTGGTCTATAGTAGCATTCCTTAGTTAAGAAATACTGAACAAAAATAGAGAAGAAAAATAGGTTAATGTCATCCTTTCAATGGTTGTTACTGATAAAGTCCTTCCAAAAATCACGATGAAAATGCAATTAACATCCCGACCCCAAAAAATGAGAGTTAAAAAATAAAGATAAAAAAAACATGGGTAGGGATTGTCAGGAGTAAATAAATCATTCTGGTCTGTTTTCATTCCGTTGTAGTGTAAGGGACACGTTCGAAGGGACATAACTCATTACTTAAGTCATAACGAGTAATTTCCCCTTAACTACGATTTGTATCTGGTCTACTATTTATAAAAAAAATATTTTTATTATCAATCTTTTTACAAAACATTTTCTTTAAAACATGCATTTTCAAGATAAACTTTTGTTGATTTGATCTTGTCTGTATGGAATTCGCAACACATAACAAAATAACTAAATTATGTATGGCTTACTTGATTAAAGTTCCAAATGTATGTGAACGAGTGAAAGGAATGCAATGGCACGATATATGATGATATACGGTTGAAATCTAAGTTGTTTTAGTGAATTGTGCATAGTTTCAGCAATGTTGGTTGTCAGGTTATATTACTTTTCGTAGTTTATGTACACTTGCATATAAGTTTATATCTGTACCAAACCAATGTCATCTTGATTACAATGTATGAAAATAATATACATCATTAATATAGCGCACAGTTTAATTTGCAATATTACTCTTCTGTGCTTTACATTACATGAATAATAATCAATTTAGTGTTTCACAATGTAGAGAAGCATTTATAAACTTTTGCACTGCATTACCACTACAACACTAACGAGACACTGGATAGCATAGCCGTAGTGATATGAAGAAAAAAAACTGGTCTAAACGGTATGTGTTACCTGTTAAATATGATAAAGCAATCAGTAGGAATATTTACAGTTTTATTTGAATAAAAGTCTTAATTATTAAAGCACATTAGTTATTGGTCTTGGTGAGTAAATAGGTAAGTGACATATGTAGCAGAAATGCAGAAGAAAACATTCGACCTTGGATTCGGTTGGGATTTTCACAGCGTATGGCAAACGAGCCTGAGTAATAAAGTAATTACTCTGAAGTTTTGTATCGGTATATCATATAAATATGATAACGTACTCCCAATCCTATAGAGCACATTGATGCATATAATGTATAAAGATAAAAAATATCCCGTAACTTCATTGTATCACCCACTGGGCATGGATTTTACGCATTTTAAAAATGACTCTGCGAAATAAATTTTGTTTGAAATTTGTCCTTATACCAATCTTTGTCGAACATTTTGGTTTTCTTTTATGGATTTTCAATAGAATAAACCCCTTCAATTTGATGGCATTTTGCAAAAGTCATATAAATGTATGTGAAACATTTGAAAACATTGTTATTTGTTTTGTTGTTGTGGTATCAGAAAGACTGAAACAATAACTAAGCCGTTCGATTCCGTGATGGTAGTTTTTATGCTCCACGAAGAGAGAGCTTAAGTCGCTGCTTTGTCTGTCCGTCCGTTGTAATATTTTGTCCAGAGTATAATACTAAAACTATGAGAGGTACCAACATAAAAAAAAATCATAGGCATATAGATTACAGCAAGGTGAAGTGCAGTGTACAAGAACCATCATTTGTTTTGATATAATTTAGAAGTTATTGCCTATTGTCCGCATCATTACACTAAAACTATGAGAGGTATCAATATAAAACTTCATAGGTAGATAGATTTTAACAAGGAGAAGTGCAGTGCACAAGAACCATCGCTCTCTTTTTGCATTATTTATGTGTATGTGTTATTGCCCTTTGCTATTTTTCATAGTTAAATTTTGTCTGAAGCATTACTAAATTATAAGATTTATTATCATGTAAATCTCTGGGTAGATAGGTGTCAACGAGTAGGAGAGCAATGCACAAGAATCATGACACTCTCACTGCCCTTTGTTATTTCTTATACTTTGAATTTGTCCCAATCGGGGAGCATAGCCGGTATCTTACGACCCTATTTAATTAAACTGGTAATCAGAATGTTTTCGTTAATTTTTCTTTCTGTAAATCTTGTAAAAAACGAAAATACATTTTTAACGCAGGAGAGCTGTAATTACACTGAAGAATTAATTTTCTATTTGTTTATCGCGATTGGATGATAACTATAATTAGAATCGGGTAAATTTTACATAACAGGCTTACGGAAATCAGTAGTAGTTATCCCCGGATAATGTAAACGAACAACAAAGTTAATCCTTAAGGTGGGAGTGAAATTGTGTACGTCGTTCCCGGTCCGGTACTCGTACCAGTAAGAAATAATTAATATTTCGAGACAAAAAATCTAATGAATCTCATTTTTGAAAACATAAATCCACTTAAACATGAAATGATTTAAATATCTTTAAACATTCAGACAGTCACGACTCCACTCGACCACACAAATACCAACATTAAAATTGATAGGTATAGTGATGGTATCGTTGGTACTAGATATGATGATGAAAAGAAGAAAATGACGACGACGATATTATATCATATACTTCAACTCTATTACGCTCCTGGGGAAACTTGAACAAGAGGTGTTTATTTCATCTATCACATGTTACACATCGACGATATAACAGTTAATGAGAAATGTTCTATGAAAGTTAAGTTAAGCTTCCAACGTTTGGGGAGTTTACATATACTTCCTGTTGTATAGTAAGGCCTTGCGTGATTAACATGACACTTGTTTTGATTATAACAATGCCAACTCCCCAACTTAAGCGCATATATTCTACTTTCACTTTGCCCACTACATTTTCAATCCTCTGACGATAGAGAGTTCCGTCTGGGTGATGGCGTAAGTGTTGATACTCACAACTCTATAAACGACCATTTTCTTTATCATTGCGTCAGTTCTACATTGATCCATGTACATTACCTCATTCAATGCACATTCATGTTGGTAATATTAACATATATTATTGCAAAACGGTCATGATGCCAAATTTGGGATACCGACGTTTAGGCCCATTTCTGATCATCTGTAAGAACATGTTTGTTTACAAAGCCTCTTTTGTACAAAACAGTAATATGTATCCTTCCTTATGTATCCTTATGTATCCTTATGTTGTTTCCGCCTGCAGGACCTACTGTTCGTAAACACCACGTAATGACTTGCCGTCCTGTCAGTATCTGGTCCATAGCTTGCTGTGAAGTCAGACCGTAGAGGGTGGTTTTCCCAGAGCTTGTCAATTCTGTTCTTGAAAAGGTTTGTTGTCCTGGCTGAGACTACTTGTTCCAGAAGACTGTTCCATGTATCTACTATTCTGTGTACAAAGTTGTATTTCCTAATGTCTCTGGTGCAATGTTGTTTCACTAATTTTAACGAGTTTCCTCTTGTGCTGCTGGACATGTTTAATTTCAACAAATCAGAAGTAACTTCCAGATCATAAATTCCTTTAAAAAATTTAAAGACTTCGATCATATCTCCGCGCATTCGTCTGAATTTGAGGGTTGGTAACTTCAGATGTTTTAGACGTTGTTCATAGCTCATGTCTTTCATATTTCGTAGCATCCTTGTAGCTCGCCTTTGGACGTTTTCTACTGCCTCCATATCCTTTTTCTTGTAAGATGACCAGGCAGAGCTTATTTAAGGATTTTATCTATCATTTAATTTTTTTGCAGATCTATGCCAAATACACATATTTATGCGACAGCCAAAAAGAGAAGCTGAGATCTTCGAAAGTTTCTGATTTAAGATATTCTAACGAGGAAACAACATTTCATGGCTATGATCTATCCTTACATGACAAATGAGGGAGGAATGGGTTTCAGAGATCACTAACCGTGAAGGGTTGATCCTCCTATTTGTGAACTACACTTTCTTTTCGGTGATTTTCCTTGTGTGTCTCCTGTTCATGCTGTGTTTGGCAAATACTACGTCCTCACCAAATGACCTTCTCATGTCCTTGATGCTACTAGCAATGAGTTTTGTACTGGTCAACATGGTGATTGCTGATTATGTTGTGTGTATGATACACTCCCACAGGGATCCTCAACCGATTATGTGACCTTGCACATGTGGTATAACCTTTAATGCATGTCTAAGTAGCTGCAAGTTCGAACTTACAGGAAAGGTTTTAAAACCATAGCGATTATGAGAATAATTGTTTTTTGATACTTCTTTAATCTGTTCAAAACTTTCATACAAATATTCATATAAATTTTAAAATAGAATATATATTTTGATTTATGATGTCAAATTCACGCAACATAAAACAAATAACCCGTCACGTTGATGCTGGTGTGATACATCTGACATCCGAAACAAGTTTGTCATCAACTCACCTAGATATTGAATCACCATTGAGCCCTTCATCAAGTTATGTTAAAAGTAAACTGGGCAAAGAAATAAGTCCGGACTTTATAAGTGCTTTCATGTTGGCACACTGGGACAATATTTTGGGACCACGCATCCTTAATGTGTGGCTGGGTACTGAATGTCACCTGACGGAACAGCTGTTCAATCAAGTGTGCAGTCGTTCATTGAGTGGAGAAATGTGTAGAGATACTCAGGACAGTTTTGTAGATTTCAAATTTCTTGACTTATCGGAGATGGACATGATCTTGGCTGGGTTTGTATTCGTGGCACGTGGTAGTAGCGGCCTTGGTGTTCATTCTTTGTCCGTGTTGATGCCGCATTCTGAACTTGGAACATACTTGGAGATACATGACCTGCTCTCACGATGTCTTAACAGAACCATCAACAAATTACGACGGTTTTTACACATGGTATGTTGTCAAATAAGATATTTAAAGCCTAGATGTTTTTTGTTGTTTCCCATGTTTATTTCTTACTGTATGATTAGCTGATAATTACAGAATCTAATTCATTTCTTGTCAATTGTTTCCTTTTCAAGATATTTTAATGTAACACTGATCCATATCAACAGTTTTCTTGGTTTTTTTCTCGGATCATTTTACATTGCGATGTATGCTAAACTGACCACATTCAATCTCATCAAGATTTAATTTTGACTGATTTAAAATATAATATTAAAAATAATTTACACCACAAACATGTATTTTATATATACTGTTAAACATGTGTAAAATGACCAGGAAAGGGAGAAGATGATACTAACCTTGACAGACTTGTGGAATTTCACTATTTGTATTCTATTGGGACCTGAAGCAGTGACCTTTATAAACAGGAACTGGCTTTTTACAGCTAGTTTGACACTATATGTATACTTTTCTTTCAGATTTTAATTTGTTGAACAGGAGGAAGTCAAAATTGATTAAATTTTTATTGCTATTTTCAGTCTGATACTCCACAACCAGATATCAATGGAGAATTTGTTGAGAAGTCTAGAGAATGTCTGAAGATGCTGGCATCTATATACAAGTCTTCCTTAGCACTACCAATTAACGTAAGCCTTCATAACACAACCAAATGGTTGTTAACTTTTTTCTCAGGCAGATCATGTCACAAAAAATAGTGTTTTAAACTCTGGTTTTACTATTAAGTGAGAATTCATTTTGTTAGAAAAAAATGACGTCTACAGATGCATGTTTTCCTTGATAATAAGTATCACCTATCCTTGTAAAGTCACATTTACAAAGGACTCCCTTGGGTCTGTCCCATTAGGTATAAGGCAATGAAATTGTTAAGTTTCAAATTATTTTCTTGACCCTAAGCTGAAGGATCAAGCCAGTTAGTGTAAGGTTTTTTACAGCTAAGTGCTTGTTTTAAGATGTTGATTCAGACAACATTGACTGTATAAACAAGACTCAATTTTCATACAAAAATTTTGGTCTTAGCAACATTCAGTTTACTCAAGCTATATTGTATTCATTGTAAGGTCATGACCTGAAGGTTCAGGTGGCATTGAGCTGAAACTTGCTGAAATGATCCTGACCAAGAGTTGTTATTTTTTGGATTGATCCAAAATTCAATGTGGTCACCATCTTCAATGTTAAACTTCTTTACAAATTCTGCTGGCACCGTTGAGCTGAAAATTGGTGGAAATGTTTAAGAAGAGAAGTAGACAAAGTGTTGATATTTTATGAATTTGTCAAAAGTTCTACATGACCAGGGGCGGATACAGGAATTTAAGTTAGGGGGGGGGCGTTATAATTAACTTACTTAACTCTTTCTGTCGTTATGTGATCAACTATAATAAAGTTACTGTATACTTGAAAATTAGCCCAACTTAAGTCATCTATAGCTGTTTAGAACAGTGATAGTCATAACATACGACCAAGACCATCCAGTATACTTCGTAACTCACCCTTACTCTGCCAATTTTAGGGGGGGCGTGCATTTTGTATGACAGCCAAAGTAGTCATTTTGTAACATGGTTGTGCAGTCATGGTTTTCCTGAACAAGACCTACTTTAAACTCCTTCTCTAGTTTTTTAGTGGCATTGAGCCGAACCTTGATCCTGAAATGGTCCTGACCAAGTGTTGTTATTTATTGGATTAGTCTGAAATCTAATGTGGCCACCATTTTGAAAAACACATTTTAAACTTCTCAAGATCCTCTGGTACCCTTCAGCTGAATATTGTGTTAAGGAATTGAGATGAGAGTGTTTTTTTGCCAGTATTGCTAAAACAATCCAAACTATTTTAATTATTCAATAACTGTTGCCTCTACTCATACTGCTAAGGTCCATGGGCTTCTTAGGTGTATTTATTTCTTGTTATGCTATAAGGACAGTAGAGTCAAGTCAGCCTGTTATCACTGATGATGACCATTGTTTATCATTACAGCTGTCAGAAACGTTCCTTAGTCCGTCTCATTTACTGGAAAGAGAGTTCCTGTGTCGCTGTATTGCAGCTCATCTTCTCACATTTGGTCACAGTCTAGTGATAGGGGAAAATAGCAACAGAATCAACTTGGTGAGCTTTGTACCTGAGTAAAATCATTCACTTTGTACATCCTGAATATGATTTCTATTAACAAACCATCTTTTCAGGATATTTATTGTTGCTTTCTTCAGGAATTATAAACCATTATTTGCTGCAATGAATTGTAACTTACAAGATGTACAGTGATTGAATAATTCTTACAAGGAACATGCACCTTACTGGCGTTTTCACTGCAGTTTAAAGAATTTCTGAAAGTATTGGAAAGGAGTATCTGGATTAAATGCCTCAAATTTTCAAATCTCGTTTATAATATATATCATACAGACTGATAGTTGATACTTGAAATACATATTTGAGAATTTCTACCATACTTCAGTGATATAATGAACACATCTCTTGTCATTAATGGAAAAAAAATCATTGCTTGTCTAGTTCCTCACAAAATGTACACAACTTCTTTTGGGACACAAAAAAAGTATACTTTTAAGATACTGTTAAAATCATCTCTGAATGATTCATATAATTATATAAAATGACATACATTTGTACCAGGGAAATCATTAGAAGAAATCTGTCCTAGATAAACCTATAATAGGAGAAATCCTGTTACTTCTCAATCAGCTTTGAGAGAGTTGTCATTAGTGGAGATCAAGTAGGTAACATTTTCTTCTTGTAGCTGATAACTACACTGGCCTTGTTCAACACAAAGAAAGAAAGACGATGTTCCATGAGAATAAAAGAGGGATGTACCTGTCACCATGATCTATTTGTTCAGGGCATTGTGAAGGTAATAATCAGTACAAAAACTTCATACTGAATCTTCAGGTCTCGTGTATACACAGCATCATTGATTTTCGTGTATATATAAAGAACTTACATATCTGTTACACTGAAATCTGTGCTATGTAAAGAACTTGATTATTGTTTATTTCAATGCCTCTGTTTGGATTCAAACCCAGATCCTTTGGCTCGCTAGTCTGACGCTCAATCAATTGAGCTAGTATCATACCAGGGTTAAATACTCCCTTCGAGTAAATAACTCGTCCTTGAATTTCCAGGGGTTACAGCGAAGCTTGTTAAAGTAACGCTCAATATTTATTCCAGAGTAACTACATGGGTGCCAGTGTAACAGAGGACATTATTTATTTTAATGCCTCAGCTAGGATTAAAACCTGGGACTCCTGGCTCATTATTTTGATGCTCGACTAATTGAGCTAAATAGAAATTCTCTCACGCCAAGCAGTATATTGCAGCTAGTATTTTACCAAGGTTACATAAACGTGTGTGTGTGTATATATATATGTACGTACACACACATGAAGAATTCTTGCAAGGACACTACATTGAGTAGAGCATTTTTCAAAATTTTTGGAATATGTATGACTACAGGAATGTATAAAGAATGTCTCTACATATTAATACAGAAATGTAATGATGCCTATGACCTACCGGTGGCCCAGATAGTGGATAGTAAATATCCAGTCAGCATTATTAACTTGACCACTCGAGATGTGAAGCAAGCTTACTCCTATCATCACCAGAGAGTGTATAGTCCACAAGGCATGGCTCCAAACAAGTCAGTATACCAAACTGTTCAGTAATCACATCTTTTCCTGATCACTATAAATTACTGTTTATAGCTATTTTAATCTATTAGATCCCAGAATTCCAAAATAGATAAGTTCTGTTCATGGTTCAGGTTCCTGCCTTTTACTTCTAAGAAATTTTGGATTAAAATTTGAAGGGTGGTTCCCCTAAAAAAAACCTGGAGTCCTGGGTCATTGTCACCTAGCTCCTTTATGTTTAAATATATCATAATGTTTGTCTTGATATCTTTCAAAATTCCTTTTTTCCACCACAGTTTATGATATTCTGATGGTTTTAAATGGGATATCAATGACCTAATTAGGCATTGATTTTGCATTGGATTAACCAGGAGTAAATTGTGTGCTTACCTTGATAACAATAGACTAAATGAAGATAACTAATTTTTTGTTGATAGTGAACTTACCCTGATCCCAGTAGAACACAGTGAGAACCTGGTGCTAGCACTCATGGATGAGGTCAGTATAACTAAGTTGAGAATACTCAGAACAAATAAATGTTTTCTTTGTTGTTGCTTAATTTTTTGACCTTCCAAAAATTAATGACTTGTATGACTGTTAAAATTAGGGTTAATAGTAATGATATCTACTGGTTATTTCTTTCAAGAATGATTAACATGGAATATATCTGTTGTTTCTCAAATCAATACATAAATGTTTGGGTTACTGTATATCCGTTGGGGTAAACTATAAATTACATTTGTACTTGTGTTGTATGTTGTATACCCCATAAGTAAAACAGAATGTTTACATGTTACGTCATCTCCCATATTAAAGGATAATGTATGCCTTTCACAATGTGTAGCTATATTGTCTACCATGATGTCTGTTTATCAATTTAATCTATCACCAAATTTGTAACATTGAGTGTCTGTCTTATGTTCCAATTAATAACATTGATTGTGTATAATGTGTCAGTTAGTAATAGTGAGTGTCTATCATGTCCAAATAAGCAACATTGAGTGTATGTGTTATTTCCCAATTAGTAACATTGAGTGTATGTGTTATTTCCCAATTAGTAACATTGAGTGTCTGTGTTATGTCCTAATTTGTGACATTGGGTGTCTATATTATATTCCAATTAGTAACATTGAGTGACTGTGCCATGTCCCAATTAGTAACACTGAAAGTCTGTGTAATGTCAAAACAAGTAACATTGAGTGGTTATGTTATGTCCTTTTTAGGTCATCTGACCCGAAGGGTCCGATGACCTATAGTCATCATGCTTCGTCCGTCGTCGTCCGCCGTGCACCGTGCGCCGTGCGCCGTCCGTAAACTTTTCATTCAAACGACTTCTTCTGAAATACTAGAAGGTCTAGGGGGCTAATACTTGGCACAGAGGATACTGGCATGGAGCTCTACCAAGTTTGTTCAAATGAATGACCTTGACCCACTTTAAAGGTCACAGGGGTCAAATATGTTAAAATCTTTAAACAACTTCTTCTCATTAACCAAAAGGCTCAGAGTGTAGATATTGGGCCTGTGACATGCTGGGATGAAGGACTACCAAGTTTGTTCAAATGAATGACCTTGACCCACTTTAAAGGTCATAGGGGTCAAATATGTTAAAATCTTTAAACAACTTCTTCTCAATAACCAAAAGGCTCAGATTGCTGATATTGTGCCTGTGGCATGCTGGGATGAAGGGCTATCAAGTTTGTTTAAATGAATGACCTTGACCAACTTTCAAGGTCACAGGGGTCAAATATGTCAAAATCTTTAAATAACTTCTTCTCAAATACTAGAAGGCCTAGGGGGCTAATACTTGGCCCATAGCATGCTGGCATGGAGCCCTACAAAGTTTGTTCAAATGAATGACCTTGGCCCACTTTCAAGGTCACAGGGGTCAAATATGTTAAAATATACAAAGGACTTCATCTCAATAAGCAAAAGTCTATGAGTGCCGATATTGGGTCTGTAGCATGCTGGGAGGAAAGGCTACCAAGTTTATTTAAATGAATGACCTTGAACAACTTTCAAGGTCGCAGGGGTCAAATATGTCAAAATCTTTAAATAACTTCTTCTCAAATACTAGAAGGCCTAGGGGGCTAATACTTGGCCCATAGCATGCTGGCATGGAGCCCTACAAAGTTTGTTCAAATGAATGACCTTGGCCCACTTTCAAGGTCACAGGGGTCAAATATGTTAAAATATACAAAGGACTTCATCTCAATAAGCAAAAGTCTATGAGTGCCGATATTGGGTCTGTAGCATGCTGGGAGGAAAGGCTACCAAGTTTATTCAAATGAATGACCTCAACCCACTTTCAAGGTCACAGGGGTCAAATATGTTAAAATATACAAATGACTTCTTCTCAACAAGCAAAAGTCCATGAGTGCTGATATTGGGCCTGTAAGATGCTTGGAGGAGAGGCTACCAAGTTTGTTCAAATGAATGACCTCAACCCACTTTCTAGGTTTGGCTTGCTTTTTGTCAGATGACCGTTAAGGCCCATGGGCCTCTTGTTAGTGACATTGAATGTCTGTGTTATGTCCCAATTAGTAACATTGAGTGTCTGTGTTATTTCCCAATTAGTAACATTGAGTGTCTGTGTTATGTCCTAATTTGTGACATTGGGTGTCTATATTATATTCCAATTAGTAACATTGAATGACTGTGCCATGTCCCAATTAGTAACACTGAAAGTCTGTGTAATGTCAAAACAAGTAACATTGAGTGGTTATGTTATGTCCTCTTTAGTGACATTGAATGTCTGTGTTATGTTCCAATTAGCAACTGAGTGTCTGTGTTATGTCTCAATTAGTTACATTGAGTGTCTGTTCTGTATACCAATTAGTAAAACTGAGTGTCTGTCTAATGTCCCAATTAGTAACACTGAGTGTCTGTCTTTCCCTTATTCTGAGTATCTGTTTTATTGACAGTTGGAGAAGCTGCCAGCAGAGTGTGGTGTTCGAGAGGCTTACATCTGCCACTTTGTCTTGACACTGCAAAGGAAGGCACTTGCTCTCATAAAATATGTGGAAGGTGAAACGTATGTATACATATGTACAATCCCATTAAATCATTTATATGTTCAGTATAGCACAACAACTTAAAACTTACACACTGTTGTTGTTGTGGGCTTCTACATGTCAAATTCAGAAACAACTATTAAAGACTTAGTAGGTTTGATGTACTATTTTATATGTAACTTTAGGTGAAAGTAGAAGAATGTTAATATTTATGTATAAAATGGATTCAACTTCTAAATTCTAAAATTGTCTCTTTCATCAGGAATTTTGGAAGCACCATGTTTCGGTCAGGGATGAAGAAATTACGGCAGGATTTGGGAATAGCATCTGAAGGAGATCTACAAATTTTACTGGCCACAGCAGAGAAACTGAAACCTGGAATTATTTATTTTGTGTTCGGCGATGGACAGTGGTCCAGTAGAAGTAATGATGGCTGGTCATCAGGGGTTATGGAATAAAATAGGAATAGGTTGACAAAGAAATGAAAATAGAAACTTGAGCTTTACTTCATGCAGTGATGGAGGTATCTTTGAACCCAATTTGTGTGAAGAATCAGTGACTTTGTAAGAATTGTTTCTATTCTGTTAAGTTTCATCTCCAGAAATCTATGATTTTCTTGGATTTGTTAAGTTTCATCTCTGGAAATCTATGAGAACAAATAACACTGCACTAAGAACTAGTAGTTGAATATTTCAGATCCAAGTATTGACTTTTCAGAAGTATGGTATTTAGGATGAATGTAGAAGTAATGTTTGTGTCAATCAAAAAAGGAAGAATCTTCATTTCATCACAGAACAATTCTAGAAGAAAATCGGTGTCTCGTCCTCACTTCAGTCGGGCTACATATGGTTGATTTTGATGTTTATGGTGTGTATTTACAAAAATATCTGTGATAATAATAGGAACACATGCTTGTACAAATTACATGAAAACTTCATCATGTGTATGTTGTATTATGTGGAAACTAATTTCAACTGTGTCACAATTCACTTTGATACAGTAGGAGTCACTCGGTCATGTATTAACTGAGCATTAGGTTATATCGTTGTGTTTAAGTGTTATTTTGTCTATAAAAAATCCAAATCAAATCTTACATCAGACAAGTAACTTAAACTTCTGTTCCCCATATTTCTTCCTTTTACATAACATTCCATAATTCCTTAGAAGACAATTTCTAAAGAATAAAATACATTAACTTATAAGTTGAAAATATTGTGGTTTAATTCAAACTGACTGCACAGTATGCAGAAAAATAATTAATGAGAAAAAAGATCCTGTTAATAATAAATGAACACAACCATTATGTGTGATCATGTTAATTGTAAATGCACCAGTTGTGTGAACATTTTAATGGTAAATTAACACAATTGTTTTATTGTCGTGTTAATGGCAAACTAGCACGATTGTGTGTTATTATGTTAATGATAAACTATCACACCTGTTGTGTGTGATCACGCCAATAGTAAATTAACAAACAGTTGTGTGTGATTATTTTAATAGTAAATTAACACAATTGTTCTTGATCAGGTTATTGATAAATGAACACACCAGTTGTGTGTGATTATTTTGATGATGAATGAACACAACAATTGTTCTTGATCAGGTTATTGATAAATGAACAAACCAATTGTGTGTGATTATTTTGATGATAAATTAGCACACCAGTTGTGTGTGATCATGTTGATGATAAATTAGCACACCAGTTGTGTGTGAACATTTTAATGGTAAATTTACACAATAATTGAGTAATCATGCTAATTATAAATTTAAAAAGTCAAGTCTGGTTCATTTGGTGTTAGCGATTTAAATATAAATGCCGAGTAATTTATACCAAATTATGATGAATATTTGTCCCACGATTTGTTTCTTCAATATTATCTTTGTACTTATTAAACATTCCAAAAATTATAGTTGTAATATGTTGTATTTCATAAAAGTCACAGTGTGAGTTTATTTATTGTCATGGCTTGTAAGCTGAAAACTTAAATATTCTTTTCTTCATCATTTGATATATAACTGAGAAGAGAGGTTAAAATCATGTATTTATTTATCAAGTACACAATATTTACATCATGATATTTGCACATTAATATATTTACAAATTAATTCCCACTTAGTATTGAAGTGGGAGGTTTTAGGATGAAGATTTAGGTTTGAAGAAACAACTAATAGATCTTTGTTTATCATCTGGCTTACTTGCAGTCTTCTTATTCTGAAAAAGCAGAGAAACAAAATTTATACCCGGATTTAATAAAAGTGACAAAATTCAGAAATCTTTACCATTTCATGGCATACATTTATAATCATTTAAATCTGTAGAATCTGTAACTGTGTTGGACACTATTCACTAACCTGAAGAAAACATGTAGGAAACTGAGAATTACCTTCTTGTTGCTGCTTGATTTGGGTGATAACACTGATTCAAATGCCTTTAAGACCTGTCCAATCAAAAACCAATACAGAAATCAACACATTTGAATAGCTAAAGAACACAAAGTCCTGCATCTATTACTCTAAGACAGAAGCGTAACTTTTGAAATTTCAAAGATGACTTATTTGGTTAACCTGCACATCAGCTGCTTTTGATGCAGGTACAGTTAAAATTTTATCAATAAAGGCTTGGAATATTAAGCCTGCACAATACGTTTGAAAGAAGAACCTGTAGTAGACTGATAGATCTCTTCCAATTGGAATGCCATAAAAAAAAATTTGGTCAAAATCCTATCTTCTATTGAAGGAGTGCTTTACAAGAATTTGTAAAATAAACTTCTTTAGCTATAGGACACAGAACCACAATCTATACTGGTTTTGTGATTACCAAACTAACAATTTACATAAAATTGGGTTGTTCATCCAAGAATGCATCTAACCAAATATGGTTAAAATTTACCCAGTCATTCATGACTTGCTGCGATTGATCCTTGGGACTAGGAGAGCCAATAATTACCTATAATTCCTATAAAAACTGAATGAGTATGAGATATTGAATTTGTTACATTATAATTATTTGATTTGGACTACATGATTTGGTTTTAACTTATATCCAGACGCTGCTGCATTAACTAAATCCTCACCTTCTTCATCCCTGTTGATACTGCACACTCAAGGAACTCTTCTTTGGAGACCCAGCGACTAGGTGGTTGCTCTGTATCTAGAGTGACCTCCCCTTCCTCTACTGTAATGGCCTGGATAACGTATGTTTGATGAATGTGGGAGAAAATATGAACCACCTTAAAAATAAGATGTAGAAGTAAATTGAAAATTTCACAACATTCTCTTACATTTTTCAATCAGTGACATCACGGTTAAAAGTTTTTTTAAAACTAATTTTTTGTAATTATTGCATTTCTGTATCAAGTGTATCACCTTTATGAACCATGACAGCTAGTTTCCACTGAAATATGCACACAAAGAGTTAACTAATAGTTATAAAAAGGAAATCCTTATCTGTCGATTAACAGTCTCGATAGTTGATTTTTGCATCATTTATGATAATGCTTGTGCACAGAATACTGTCGCCTGTAAACAAAAATGGCTTCCCGCCTGAATCAGTCAAGACAATGTTGGCAATAAACGTCACTTATTTCGTAATTCTGAAATGACTTAGAGTAATCAAGTAACATCTGATCCTGAAAAGGAGGATCTCTCTTACTGTGTCACTGCTATTGCTGTCATATCTGTTTGTCATCAAGTGTTCATGTTTATAAAATAAACAGCCTCATTTCCAAAACTATTACAAAACAATTATCAGTGCTTTTTGAGAGGGGGATTTCTGATCGAGCTGGACATTGGATATTGGTGAATATTGAGAAAGCACAGAAACATAAATAGAAGTATAAAAAAAAACAATAACAAAATGTTTTTCACTGTGACATCCCTGTAACATGAATTTAACACAAGTTTCATTTAATGGTACATGGGTTGTAAAAGACTTGTATTAAAACAAGTGATTTACATAGCCACTGTCATATTTATAATGTTTATGAATATCAACCTTTCACTAGTATTATCATTCTCTACTTAGATAATAATCTGATCTATTTTCTGTAAGCTTACTGTAAGTTATACCTCTCCGATATGCTGTCTTTGTCCAGTTGTTCGTAATGAGGCCCCACAAGCCTTGTCTAAAACTGTCTCAATAGGATTTTCTGATTCTTCTGTCTGCAGAAGTGATGGAAATTCCCACATTCCGGCCAGTAAACCTGCCAAGAAAACAGTGGTTATACGAACAGATAACTATATGCACTGTAATTTTAGCAGGCAAAAAGAAAACACGAAATAAAATAAATATATACACAGCTGTACATCATTCCATTGCTCTCTGATCCCACATTCATCACCTGTATCCAACTTTAAAATGATCTCAGCCTGTTTAAAGTTATAGGTATATTTACCAGTATATTTGTCACCAGTGTTTACAGGGTTTACATCTCAATTTCATTTACCAAGTATATGTCTTGCCGCTGTTTACAGGTACACTTTTCACTTGTGTTTACAGGTACATTTCTCACCTTTATTTGGACGCTGTACAATGAGGTACTGATCCTTGCTGTCATGTCCTTTCTGACATAAGATACACACGTCTGTTCGTTCCTCCCTTGCTGCTTTCTTCTTACCCTTCCTGGGATAGTTTTCAACACCATTGCTGAAAAAGAAGAAAAACATTTGGCAAAAATTCATTTGAGTCATCATATTGTTTTTCTCCTTTTAAATTTTCAAATTCTATCGTTTGTGTTTATAGTAGATTATGAATGTTTCAAGAATTCCACAAAAGAAAGCTTGATAATCTAAGATTATTTCATTTATTTCATTTTTCACCATATATGTATTTCTTAAATTAAAATGATTCACACGTCAAATGAAATCTTTTTCACAATTAATGTAATTGTAAATTTGGACATTAATTACTAAAATCTTACCTCGGCTCCCATGTGTTATCGTCCTGGAAGCACAGTGGACAGTTATCAGTCACTGGAGTAAGAAAACTAAGCTATTATTGTGTATTGTAGGTAAAACCTGTAGCAGTCAGTGTATTATTCTTTTTTTTTTTTGGGGTGATGACTTTTAAATCTTGCAAACTGAGACATACCTGTATTCATCAGATAGGTAAAGATGTCCAAATTCTTTTTTAAAGGCAACCACATACATTATGTTGATTGCAATCTAAATTTTGTTAAAATAATAAAAAAAACACCTGCAGAATTTTTTTTATTATTCAGGAAAAAAAAAAGAAGTTTGATGGGTATTTTATAAATTTCAGTCTGTTACTGTGTTCTAGAGCTTCTTGTCATCAATATTTTTAGGTTCTACTTGTAAAGTAATATGTACTTGAATAATATATACTCCTCAAACACTTTCACACTTAAAAGACATAGTGATAAAGTATGCACAGCAACACCCCTTCAGTAGTGATACCTACAACATTCAATGTCTGTAATGATGTTATTGTTGTTGGTGAGGATCTTTTTGGCTGATTTCTGCTTTTCCTGTTCTACCTGAAGTGGAAAAACAACGACAATTATATCTAGTAACAGACTGCTAAGTTTTATGATGAGTAAATTAATGTATAAGCTACAGTAAAAGATGATGTCCACAGTATTTTGATATTTTGAGTTAGGTGTTGGTACTTTACTCCTGGGATTAGATAAAGACACACACTTTGTGTACACAATATCTCTATAAAGGATATTTGTTTTACACAAATCAATACACTGTCCAGTCTCATCCAGCCTCTGTTAGCTATATCCCCTCCCCATGATATCAATTTACCTTCAATTTAATAACTGCCCTTGATGTCTGATTCAATATCCAGTATTAAAAATGTTTTTTTCCCCTTAAAGTCAAGTTGTTGCATTCTGTGAAGATAACATTTCATGCATGCATTGACTAACTCAACTTTCTTCTAAAATAACTCACTTTAAGAGACTAGAAAATGTGTGCAAGGCATGAATATCCCTTTCATTCAAACCAGAATTTTATCAGATTTAGAACTTGTTATGACACTGTGGAGCAAACAGGAATTAAATTGTTCAGGAGTTCTCAAGGTATGGATTTGGGATTTGGATTTAGGAGATACAAAATGATGACTGATACTGTTAATTCTAAAGGCTCCTCCCAGCCCCAATAATAGGCCAGGCGCCTAAACTAGAGCATTATTTTTGTTTGTTGGCGATGTTTCAATCATTATTGTATTTTCTTACAGATACAGAATATATAGAATTTAAAGAATTAAAATGATCATTTCCTTTTTATAAAGCTTCAAAGATTTATATGTCAATACCTTCACTTAATACTGAATACAGCAGTGGTCACATGACAAATTGACATGATATAGTCAAAAAGACTAACCTGTGAGTAAGCTAGACATATATGTTTGACAGGACAAGAGTCACAGGACGGTGACTTTGGGGTACAGACAGTAGCTCCTAACTCCATCATCCCTTGATTGAAGTCACCTGGTCTCTCTGGATCCACAACACTGTTAGCATGGGACCTTCAAAAAGAATAGAGTGTGAGACATTTCTGTTGTATTATGATGTATCATATTTCCAGTAACTGAACATTAAATGTTTCAATAATGCAGATGCTTGTATCAAACATGCTTGAAACGATAAGTCAAATGTTTTGTTCGGTCCCAATTTTTTCTCTTCTTTATCCTAGTACATTAAACATGGATGATTCGAACACAGTTGTGTCTAATACCGTCTTTGTGTCAAATATATTTGGTGGTCCATCCCTTCTAACTTCTACCAAGTACTGAGTTTCATTTCAAAATATTGTTGATGTGACTTGCTAATGTTTAGGACATAAATGTGAGTACAAAATATGTATCATTTTAGATATCAATTTCCCTATGTTATGTGTATGAGAGTAGGTGTGTATCCATGTGTGTGCTTCAATGATGAGTGTTTCACATTCTGTTTTTTGTTTTATTGTCATTAGGATATAAAAACATACAACAACTTCATTTATTTTTTATTTATTTATTACTGTCATACCATGATATGAGACATATCTGGTAAACAGCCAATGAAAATAGGGTCAATCTTCAAAACACAGCTTAGTCGATCCATCAGATAAGTGAAATATTTGATTTGCTCCAATTGACTTAAACCTTAAGTGTTTTACTGTATTTATTATTATACTTAATGTCTTTCACAAGCATTTTACTTTTTTATCATTTTTTTTTCTTTCTCCATTTTTTTCACATTTCATTTTCATAATCGTTTGATATTGTATTGTTTGAAATATTTGGAAACTATTTATAGCATTAAGTATTGATGCAACATTTAGTACAATATCTACCATAGTTTATCTTGTACTGCTTGACCAGTGCTGTCTCCTCCCATCATCCTCATACGACACATCACTCGAATCACGTTTCCATCTACAAGTCCCGTAACCTATCAGAAATATTTAAACAAGTATATATATATATATTTAATTTTCTTTTGTGGTTTTAAACTTGACATACAGCTTTCTTAATCTTAGAAGTCTTGTTCAGGTATTCATGAAAGTAACAATATTTTTTAATTAAAAAAAAAAAATCCAGTTTTTTCCTTAAATTTCTGAGTAGAAATACAATTTCTTTGACGAACTTAATGACGGTTTTGAATTTTTATTTTTTTTTGTAATACTACAAATGTACCTTGTTTATTTGTAATAGTTTGTACACATTATTCTTTTAAATTATCAACCTTATTTATTGTAAATGTACAATATACTTGCTTCACAAGATTTATTAAAAATTAAAAACTAATTTGTAAATCTTCTCAACAGCCTCAAGACCAAAGATGAACTTGAATATAAATGTATTAAATTGCATATTTGGTAAGCTAAATTATCTAATCTCAATGAGTACTGTATCACTAATCAGACAAAGAAACCTCCAAAATTCCACCATTTTTTTGGCATACTGTTTATATAACTAAACAGACTGAAAAATCCAAATATCCACCTCTTCAGGACACAGTATAATTGATCAAACTTACTTGATTGTAGGCTATGGAGGCAATTGCCCCTGCTGTGTACCGACCGACCCCTGGCAGCAACTTCTGAAGATCATCTGCTGTTTTTGGCATCTCACCATTCAACTCCTCAACAACCTTAAAAATTCAATAATTACCTCATCTGACCCCTTTACTCCCAGGGAATTTTAATGACACTAAGGAAAATCTGTCATTTTGTTTCAACATGAATTTTCACACTTTTTCGGTCATGTTTATGGTAAGCAACCCCATATATTTAGAAACGTGGAAATACAAGCTTTCCTAATCTTTTGACAAAAATCATGTTTTACGAATAATGATGTTACCGTAGCAATCAGAATTTTAAACATTTGAAAAAAAAATTCAATTTTCTATCATTGGTAAATGTTTTCGATGAGTAGTAACAAAGATCATACTTTTTAATATTTTAAAATCCATATCAGCACAAAACAAAAGACTGCATCAACTCTAAACCAAAGCAACAAAATGACACCAATGTAAGAACCTTCGATATCAAAACAAATATGGCCAAATGGGCTTGCATCATTTACCTTCCATTCAGTGCTTTTCACAATGACCTTGAATATGGATCAAGGTAATTTCTTTTACTACACTTTATTGAGATTCACCAGAGGAGTCTACCGGCCAATTATCATGATTATAGATCTTTCGGTTAATCAGAAGAAATTTTTTGAAGGTTTATTTGGACAACATGGTACAGGCTCACTTGGTCCCTGGGCTGGATGAATTTACCTGTGCTGAAATCAAGATGCTACAGTGATAAAAGTCACTAAGTCAAATTTCAGTGGGTTTCACAGGTACCATGAATGTTTGCATTTCTGAAGAGGTATTAGAACTATGAAAACATTTTCTTTGATATAAACATTTTTGGGGTTGAAAAATCCTAGGAATACCTTGTTCATGACTGTACGAACAGCTGTGACTTCATTCAATATAGATTCTATGAATTGTTTGTTGACTTATATTGAACAGCCAGTGCTATTTTTTAGAAGAGGTTTCCTTGTAGTAGCTGGTGGCTAATCCTTTGAACATGATGTGGGGAGCCTACTGTATGCTATACAAATTGAGTAAGGTCTCTTGCCAGAACAAGACTGTCTGTGATCCTAGCTTCCTTAGATGTATTGCCTCAGGTTGCTCAACAGTGCACTATTACAGCCACTGCAAATTCCACAAAGTGTATTACTGGTCATCAGAAATCAATATCTTTTCGATTACAATTAGCCGTGGGACTGGATTTTTGCAGGAGAAAATTCCCTGTCCTAGGATCAATGATGAAAATATATCCAACACTAACCTCTTATGTTGTGCTATAAATTTTGTCCTACCTTTTTGGCTCCTTCGTGGAGTCGGCGTCCCCTTGAATAGTAACCAAGGCCAGACCACAACTCATTCACTTCCTGAAATTATTGGCTTCCATGTAATTTCTTGCAATGAAGTGACACAAATGGCCTTCAGCTTTTTCAAATTTTCTTTAACAAAAAATGTTCAGTCATTTATAAGTGTTTTACCTTTTGATAAATGAAAATGAATAAATCGGTTGATTTTAAATTTTGAATATAATGATAAATATTAAGTTAGTTTAAATTTCAGAACTGCTATTGAGGAAAAAAAAATGTGAGGACATTTTTATATTAATGTAATAACTCTTGTTTCTTTTTCATATATCAAATTTCCTATCAAATATAAAGGCATACTGTAGAATCTTAATGCGTTTACCTCTAAGTCAACTTTAGCCAAATCTTGAAGCCTCGGCCACTTTTCCATCCATCTGTTGTAGTAGCTGATCACTGTGGCAACCTGAGTTTGCTGTAACATGATCTCTGATACCCAAACTGTTCAATATGAGAAGTAACAGAGAAATGGTCATTAACTTTCAATGACAATGTACATCACAGTATTGGCACAAATTTAATGACTTACCAATAACTTGTAGCTAATTCCTGGTTAGTTATAGCTAACCATTAAAATGTTTAAATGAAAAATTCATGATGATTTAAAAAAAAAAAAAATACAATGGAGATACATTATACAATTTTTCAAAAATGTAGCGGTCATTCGATTTTTTTTTTTTTTTGAAATATCAAATATGATTAACTGATCATATATCTGAGTCCGGTGATGTTTTAATTCACAACATGATTAGTTTAGATATGTTTGTATTCTAGGAACTCTAAAACTAATAAATACACTGGATATGGGGAGACTTTTTCCACTGTTCAATCTTTGCCCTTTCTCCAATAAGGGGAAAATAAGATTTTCAAGCAGAGAGACAAGCAATTTTGACACTTAGTGAAATTGAATAGTTTTATGGAAGGTGAAAATAACCTAAGTGAATGTTGTCCCGTGAACAGCATGGTTTTGGTTATAACATATATTTCAAGACCAAATATGTAGGGGATATCTTTCTTTCATTTCAACTGTCAAAGAAACAATGTTGATTTGAATTTCATTTAATATCTACTTTTTCATTTTATGTATATAAACATACTCCTTGTTAGAATTATATAATTACATTTACACAAAAGAAATGAATCACCTGTTAATAGACCACAATCCTGCTACAAAGTATCACATTTTTAGTTGTCTATTCTGATTTGACAACAGTACACTGAGGTAAACAAGATAAGAATCACATCAAGGCACAATGATGCACTGAGGATATCGTGCAGATATAATTTTCCATCAAAATTTGAATAATTTTTATAAATCCACTTCAGATCTTATCTCATTTAAATGCTTTTGAAGATAATACTGTACTGTTTTTTGTATATATTTTACATAAATATATCCACTTTAATATGTTCTGATGTGTTCTTTTTCAAAAAATAAAAACATGAGTGCACCCAATCAGTGGAAAAAATGTTATTATGTAACATATACACAGACATGATCAGGATTGTACTTACCAGCATAAGCTCTTTGGTTGATATCTGGGTTGAGAGCCTGTAAGGAAAATCATTACCTCAGTCACCATTAAGCTATCTGGGATATCATCAACATGTGATACATTAATTAAATTCTGAGGAACACAATCTGTCAGAATGGGACACCATTAATCTGTGTGGGACACTACAATACAAGATATTCTCATTTCTGCTGAACACTATCCATTAGAATAGGACACCATTAATCTGTGTGGGACACTACAATACAAGATATTCTCATTTCTGCTGAACACTATCCATTAGAATAGGACACCATTAATCTGTGTGGGACACTACAATACAAGATATTCTCATTTCTGCTGAACACTATCCATTAGAATAGGACACCATTAATCTGTGTGGGACACTACAATACAAGATATTCTCATTTCTGCTGAACACTATCCATTAGAATAGGACACCATTAATCTGTGTGGGACACTACAATACAAGATATTCTCATTTCTGCTGAACACTATCCATTAGAATAGGACACCATTAATCTGTGTGGGACACTACAATACAAGATATTCTCATTTCTGCTGAACACTATCCATTAGAATAGGACACCATTAATCTGTGTGGGACACTACAATACAAGATATTCTCATTTCTGCTGAACACTATCCATTAGAATAGGACACCATTAATCTGTGTGGGACACTACAATACAAGATATTCTCATTTCTGCTGAACACTATCCATTAGAATAGGACACCATTAATCTGTGTGGGACACTACAATACAAGATATTCTCATTTCTGCTGAACACTATCCATTAGAATAGGACACCATTAATCTGTGTGGGACACTACAATACAAGATATTCTCATTTCTGCTGAACACTATCCATTAGAATAGGACACCATTAATCTGTGTGGGACACTACAATACAAGATATTCTCATTTCTGCTGAACACTATCCATTAGAATAGGACACCATTAATCTGTGTGGGACACTACAATACAAGATATTCTCATTTCTGCTGAACACTATCCATTAGAATAGGACACCATTAATCTGTGTGGGACACTACAATACAAGATATTCTCATTTCTGCTGAACACTATCCATTAGAATGGGACACCATTAATCTGTGTGGGACACTACAATACAAGATATTCTCATTTCTGCTGAACACTATCCATTAGAATGGGACACCATTAATCTGTGTGGGACACTACAATACAAGATATTCTCATTTCTGCTGAACACTATCCATCAGAATGGGACACCATTAATCTGTGTGAGACATCATCAATATGGGAAACACTAATCTATTTCTGAAAAACACTGTTAATTGCAATTGGACATTATCAAATTATGAGGAACATTCATTAACATGTCTCAACAAATTACTATCAATCTGTAAGAGACATAATGGAGTATGACTTCCATTAATCTGAGGTAATGTTGGAATGATAGGCACCATAAATATACCGTAAATTTGCAATTATAGTGCACAAGTACGTTTTTGGGGTCAGATTTGTGAAGAAAAAAAGAATAAATATATATGATATAAATACTGATCACCGGTTACCACGGTGTAACAGTTGTTGTTTTGATCCATGGATAATTAGGAAACCACAAGGAGTGCGACCATAACACATTTAATTATCTTATGTTAACAAATTCATGCATGTGCCTGACTTAACAAGTATTAAAGACTAGGCTTATTTGATTATTAACAGTTATGAACAGGTAACACTTTGAGTATGAAGAGATTGATGACATCTGGCTTGTGCTGAACGTGTGCTATTGGTCAGAAAACAATGTTGTTTTAATAGTCTGAAAATGTTCAATCCTCCCTTGTACCCAAAGAGAAACTAGATGCCATTGACTATGCCGAAAGACTTAGGTTTCATTCCAACTCACTTTGACATCCCAGAATCCAACATTCGGGTATGGTAGAAAAAAGAACAACTAAAGCCGAAACCCCTGACCAGAAAGGCTGAAAGAGGTGCCACAGTGAAACATCCAGAGATGGAGAGAGAGCTGTATCATTTCGCATGTGATTGCCAAGATGTTGGCATTGTTGTCAGTATGACAGAACTGCACCTGCAGGCCATGTAGATACAGAGGTCATAAGGTCACTGACTTCAAAGCATCAATGGGATGGACTGATAGTGGACCTGACGTTGATGTTGACATGAAGGATGAATACGACCTGTTTTACAACGACAAAAAAAGATCTACCAGGGCAGAATTTGATCTGGAGTCCTTCTTTAACAGTGACATTGATGAGGAGGAATTAGAAGGATGTAAGTGACTGTGTTTGTTTGAAGCATAGTAACGAAAGTGATCGGTGACTGTGTTATTTGAAAAGTAACTTAAGTGCTATAAACTGCTTTCTCCTTAGTGATCTATGGATTTATCAGTCATAGGTTGCTTTCTTTATATGAATAAAAAAATGAATTGCATTAAAACATTCTAAATTCAAATTATTCTTTGTTGTTTTCTTCAATCTATCATAAATGAATGACGACTCTAAAGGGACTATGTGAAGGGAGGTAATCAAATATTGGAGACAAAAAATTGAAAGTGAAAACCCCAAGAATGGCATGTTCCTGCATATAGTATGTACCCTCTATTTGACACAACATTTTTGCCTAAAAAAGTGTGCACTATACATGCAAATTTAGAGTATGTGGATAACCATCAAATTGTGTTCCTAAATCTAAAACTGGATCTGGACCAACTTTTTCTTTGATATAGGTGAAGCACTAAAATGTAGGTCAGCATGAATGACATACCACCTCATCAAGCTGGACCTATATATGAAGTTCCACAGAAAAGTAGTTTAGGAGATATAGCCCCAGACAAACTATTTCTGTGAAGTAGGTCAAAGGTCAAAATGTAGGTTAGCATGATCTGCTTTTGATACATAACATACCGCCTCATCAATATGAACCCATATATCCCAAGTATGATGTTCCATTGACAAGCACTGTAAGAGATTGTAACCCTTTGATAAAGGTCAGAGTAAAAATGTTGGTCAGAGTTTACTATATTCCTCCTTGGCTCCTAATGGAGAACTAATTTAAATTTAAATGTACAACACAAAAAGGCAACAAAGCATTGCAAATCTTTGGTAAACCAACCTGTTTTCTCCATGGCAAGTCACGTTTTTTTTCATCATACCATGCCAGCAACGATGATCTGAACTGATTCTTTTCAACCTCTGAGAAGTCATGGATGGAAGGAGAACCATTTCCAGCTTTAAGTTTCCTTTCTACAATTGAAAAAAAATATATAACATGCAGAGAAAGAGAAATAAGAAAATGTCCGACCTTAAATCTTTTATTAGTAAAGTTTGACTTTGTTCAAAAGCAGGACTTTCTCAGGTGGTTATGTTAAGTTTTCAATCTGGATCACATTTAGTAGCTAGGTTTCGAGTATTCTCAAAATTTTGTTTTTGAACAAATCCAAAGGTTCATATCACCTTACACAGTGTTATTTTGAGAGTCAGATTGATGTTCTTATATCATTTATACTAATCGTGACTAGTAGGGATTTCCCGTTAGCTTTTTGGGTGTGGTGATGGACTCTCAAATGTTTTGGTGTTGTGACTTCGTCCGTTGTACCAGCACATGCTACGATACCGATATTTCAAAGATTTGTTGTAGTTTGGGTAGATGACATACATGTACATATTACTCAGACAAATTTCTGAACTTCATGCAACATCGGAATCCAATAAAATCGATTAAAATGCATTGTGCATGGTCTCACCGATAGATGGGGGTTTTGATTTTCTTTTCGACATCATGGACATCAACCTCATAATATAAAACGCGGGAAATCGGGATCAATCCTTATTTTTAAAACAAAAAATCATGACAATTTTTGTTTCAAACCATAAGTATGCAAATCAAAGAGAGTAATATATATATGTAAACGTTTTATTAATAAAGACAAAAGAGATAGTCTAAATAACATTATCGAATTAGATTGCCTCCTTGTCTAATGTATTTTTACAACAATGTATGCTCTTTGATACTTTTTGTAACTCAGCATGCAGAAGAGTGATGTAAACAATGTCTGCATGTCGCCTGTCATTGTAAGGGTCATGAACAACAGATCTGCATAATTTACAGATATAATATCATATGAAAACAAATTGAACACGTCAACAGGTAAAGAACTGCACATGTGCACGTATTACAGATTGTGACAGCACGGTCCGTCTCAAATAGAACGTACACGTTATGAATGTTTAAATTATTTTACTGTTTAACGTATGATATTCAGTCAAGTAAAAGGAATCGCACGTTCTATATGTGAAATACAACTACTATACTGATAAGATAGCAGGATACATTTATAATTCCTTTTATTTTAACAAAATAATAGCTCTATTTAAAATAATAATTGAAATGTATGGCCTGAATGTCTGTTATGGCATCTGCATTTCTTAACTTACATGGATATGGAGCGTTAAGCAGTTAAATGGAAATGTCATCGGTTTTTAGCCACGCTAGTGTAAGCAGTGAAAGTGATCAAGTTTGCGTTTTTACATGTAGTCACACTTGATTTTTTTGTGAAAATGTACAATGTTGCATTGGTAACTCAATTGGGCTATGTAAAAAACTGGCACTTTTTTGTTGTAAATGTTAGAAGTTTCTGTACATGTATACATTTCTATTTCGAATGATTGCATATGAGTAACTTATTGATTAAGATAAGTTTATTTCTGGTTTAGGACTTACATATGTACAAGTCCTCAAAAATGTTATTTAAGGCAGTCTCTGATTCACATTGAACATGTATGAGGGCAGAAAGTAAGTGTTAATGCCACAAATGAGTATATCAAAATGATACATTTTTCTTCACAAATAAATTTTGTTTTGTCGCAGGATTTCTCACATAAAAATCAAGAAGGTATCAAGATGAATTATGCTCGCTTTTTCAACAAAGTCAGTTTGGCGAGGAAGCCATCACCCATCAGGGTCCTGAGTAAGTTGTATCTTTCACATTTTAGTCAGATGATGAATTCTGTTAAACAATTTCATTCATTAATTGAAAAAAAGTTACATGAAAATATGACTAGATGTGTGTGTGTGGGGGGAAATTAAAATTATTTGATAGGTAATATTAGGTATAATAGGTAAATTGAAGAAAGTTTGAACATACATGTATCAAAATACAGGAAATAGATGATCTCCGATATATTAAGTCCATTTTGTGTCAGCTGTGAAAATAAACAAAAGAAAACTAATTTTTGATACGAGTAACTTCTTCTTTTAACATAATGCATCACTATATTGAATAACTGCGAAAGCCTTATGTTTCAATGGTGAATTTTTATTCAAATGTTTTGTTGTGTAAAGCAGGTATTATCTATTACAGCTGAGATAATACAGAACAGTCCCAAGTCATTGATCAGCATGGCTGGTGGAATGCCTAATGTGGAGACTTTTCCTTTCACAGAGGCAACCATAACTCTAAAGTTAGTGAATAAGGGCTTATTGACCAGCTTTTTAAAATTTCAAGTCTCAGAAAAATGTATTTATTGAGCTTTTTTACCAACCAACAAATCAATATTATTTCAGATAGACTTTTGGCAGACAATTTTTTGTCAAATTATACATGTTTTAAAGATTTAGAGATATTGATGATTCATGTCTTAAATTGAAAACAAAATTCTTGCATTTTCTTCCCTTAATAGGATGGGTTGCCAAGTATGTAGAAGTTGTGAAATGTTGAAGTATTCTTTTTTTAAAAAGATGTTGCCAGCATTATAGAAAAAATAAATGTAAAGCATGTTAGATACATATACTTGAGCCTGTTTACAGAATGAATATCCCAGGAGCAGCATCCTTAATTATTTTTCAGAATTTTCAGCATCACATGTTTATTGTAGGAATGGATCTAAACTACACCTGGATCAAACAGCCATGAACAAATCTCTGCAATACTCTGCAACTTCAGGGTAAATTAATTTAACAATTTATAAATCAACAACTTAATTGTGCTTTGCATCAAGTTATATAATCAATTATGAATTAGACGACAAGTAATCTGCATGCCAAGGAGCAGGTAAGAAATCTGTATCAATGATTTTAATATGTTCACTCTTTTCATTGCATTTCATCACTACTTCAATTCAACAGATAATTGTTTTGCTATTCAATATGGAATTATTGGAAATATAGATTTGACCAAAGGTCTTAGTCAGATTTCAATAAATCTCCTGGATAGTGAGATAATTATTATGTTAAATAGGGTTGTCTCCCCTGTATGACTAGCTCTAAATTGTTCAATAACTTTACCAGTGATAATTTTTGCTTATTCCAAGACCAAATACATTAAGTGCACAAATAGACAACTTTTGTAATCTTACTTATTCTAGGACAATCCTAATGGTCAAAAGCTAAAGATATTAAATATGACCTTTATTTAGTTTGCAACAATTGCAAAACAAGCTAACAGCTTGTATAATATTAATCACTCTTATTGGCCCGCATAGAAGCATAACTTTGTGAATGCTGATCTAGAAATGACTTTAACTTCATGAATGACAAGCTAATAGGGACATGGACTCTACAAGACTCCAATATTGGTAAATGAATTAACATGGATGCCATCCAGAGTTATTGTCATACAAGTAATTGCACAGGATTTGAATTTGCAATTGTCTCTCTTTGTGTCTTTGGTAATCCTGGAAGTTAATTACGATAATCCCAAACGTTAATTATAATTATCCCAGAAGATATATAAGATGCCCTTGATTGGTATGCTATTCTCGGAACTTTGTGTCCTTAAAAGGAAGTAGTCAGATTTTAAAAGGAATTGTGTAAACAGCCATGTCATATGTTTTTGATTTTCCCTTTATGATAGTATTATACCAAAAGTAGATCCCATTTATATTTTCTGTTAAATAAGGTATTTGAATGTCACTGATTTCTGGTATATGTTTTTCCTTGTGTATAGATTGCCCATGCTACACCAGTGGGTCAGTGAGCTCCAGACCAATGTCCACCATCCTCCAGACAACGGACACCCAATGACTTGTGTCATCACTAACGGTAGTCAGGATGGACTCTGTAAGGTTTGTCCTTCATATACGGTACTCATTCTGCAATAAACCCATACCGGGTAAAAATTCCACCCCCATCTAAAATCTTAAATCTTGAAAACTGCCAACTTTTTGTATAGGCATATGCATTTGAAAGTTTCAGGAAATGATTTTGTTAGCCAAGTTTTAAGGTCACTAGCTTCAAGGTCAGCAACACTTAAAGAATAGGAGAATAAAACTGCCAATTTTTGTGAAAATCTTTAAAACTTTTAGCATAGGCATATACAGTAGAAGCATCATTTTTGTTGTTACACGATACTCCACATCCTTACCCAACATTTTGTCCCAGTGCAACATGAGGTTATTTATGGGCAGGCTGGTCTTAGTTTTGCAGGAAATTTAACAACCTAGAGAAGAAATACCTGTAGAGACTGAAATATGAATTTTTGCTCCTAGAACTAGAGTGATTGTCAAGGCCCAATGGGCCTGTTGTTTGAGTTATGTGATAAACCACAGCTTTTGAGGATTTGCATTTGTCTAGAACAACATTTTATGTCATTGATTAAACTAAAAGACATGAAAAAAAATCATACAGAACATAAATTTGTCATTGGTTATTAGTAATTATGACCTCATTATTGTTTTCCAGGCATTTGAAGCTTTTGTGTCTCCAGGTGACAATATTCTGTTAGAACACCCAGTCTATCCTGGCTCGCTAGCTGCAGTAAGTTCTTGTTTTCTCAATAAATAAAATAATGATTACATTTTCTCCATTATGTACTCACTAATACTCATATTTTCAATCATTTACAGCAAAATATCTTTTCAAGCCATGATTGATTTTGAAAAATATTGGTGGTAAGATTGTACAAAAGATACTATGCAAGTGAATACTACCCTTTAATGCAAATTTATAGATACCCAATCAAAGAATTGAAATTAAATGTGTTCTAAAAGGAAAATGATTAACTGCAGTGGTGATTTAGCTGTGCTGAGAAATGCAAGGAAATGAAATAGATATCATGAAGTATGATATGAGCAGCATAATCACAAAATCACTCATGCAGGACGCTGCTTGATTTTACAAATGATTTCTATAACTAACATAGAAATTTTAATGACTTTTTTGGGCTTAACTGGTCCAGCATAGGGTGAAAAATCAGTGAGATGAGACAACTTTCTGTTATATGATAAATAAGGTTTAGAAAAAAACCCAAGGATAACAACTATAAAATTTCAGCAATTATTTCTTATCCCGTAAGGTTCAGCCACTGGGCAGTAATCTGATCCCAGTCCATTCGGATGGGGATGGTATTGATCCAGATGACCTCCGTCAGACCTTATCTCGTTGGAGTCCTGGGGATGCCAAAGACCCAGAAAGTGACATTCCTAAGGTGTTGTACTGTATCCCAAATGGAGGAAACCCTACAGGATCTGGTCTGACTCTACAAAGGAAAAAGGAAATTTACTCCCTAGCCCAGCAGTATGACCTCATGATACTGGAAGATGACCCTTATTTTTACATACAGTTTGCCAGGGTAAGTATTGGGCAAGTCTAATTATTGACCATGAAGTTTTCCCATCTTATGCAGTTACATATGTCAACCAATCTCTGCATTTCTTCCAAATGTTGATGGTGTCTATTTGTAAATATATATGTGCATTACATGCTGCCAAAATAAGAAATCAGCATTGTTTTAAAGAAGTGCATTTGTATAAAAGCTTACAGATGTAACCATAGGTGGTGATTGAACTCACCCAATTTATCAAAGGGAACATATTAAAGGGGGTAACTTGTTTTGTGTAGGACAGAATTTGTTATAAACCTTGATCCCTAGTAATGCTTGCACTCCCTGGGTAAAAAAATATATTACTATTAATAAAAATAAACAAGTCTAAAGGTGTTTTGGTTTAAACTGGAGAAAATGGAAACCTATTTAGGAATCATAGGATGTTTTTATTACCAGTTATTATGATTATCATATTGTACATCATGTTTTGTAATTTTATTAACTGGATATAGTCTTGACATTGCTGAGTCAACTAACTATATTATAAATTTCATATCAGTCACATGTTATTAACTGGTATACACATGGTGGAAACTGTACCTCTCTCTCTTCTCTCTCTCTCTCTTGTCCATCTCCCACTCTCTCTCTCCCTGTCTCTCTAAAAGGTTTAAGCCAAAAGGTTTAAGCCTGTTAGATTTCTTTTGCTTATCAAGATACTATTTCACTAAACATTTAGGGGATGAAGGATGTGTGTTGACGTGAAAATGAGTGAATGTGTGGAGAAAAATTCTCAAATGTAAAACTTCATTATGCTGATGTGTAAAATGTTGAAGGTGATGACAGTTTTTTAATTGACATCATGCAGTTTAAGTACTTTTGTTATGATGATAAATGATGATGTATGAACAATGATAATAAAATATGTTAAAATCAATGATTATGTTATGCATGACAATGTTGATGATAATGATAATTGTTGATATAAAATCTGAGGGTGAGTGGATGTGATTTTATGTTATTATGTATACCATGTAAAATTTTCTGAAATTTCTTTTCTGTGCCATTGCTTTGCCCACAGTTAAGCAAGGATCACGAAACTTAGTGTATGTTTTGATCATACTAAGACAATGTGGTGTGTTCCAAATCCAAGGCACTTGAACCTCAATTACAGAGTTATTGCCCTTTGTGAAAATTTCTTGTCTGGAGCTTAACTTTGCTTGCATTTAGGATAATAAAACTTGCTGTATACATTGATCATACGAGGACAATGTGGGGTGTACCAATGTTAGGGCCGACAATGCCTTAATTACAGAGTAATCACTCTTTGTTGAAATTTTGTGTCATGAAGCATAGCTTTGCTTGCATTAAAACTAGGAGCATGAAACATGGTGTAAACATTTGTCATACTAAGAAAATGTGCTGTATATCAAATTTAAGGCATGCAACCTCTTAATTACAGAAATATTGCCCTTTACTAACATTTTTTATCCAATAAAGTTGTACACTGATACTCTTGTTCATAAAGTCTGTTACCAGCATTTCTAGTATATTACTGAGGGGATCACATTAAAAAGAAACAAAACATAGATACTTACCTTGTTTTCTGTCCCTATTGTTTCTTTCTAATTTCATATTGATCTGGAAAAGATTTTTATCTTGCAGCAATTATTTGATATCCATTTCATCAGGACTCTGTTCAAATGTCAAACTCTTGCTCCCATTTGGCACTTCAAAACTTGAACTATTGGATTAAGAATTATGTGTATTTAAATGTAAAAAAAATATTTTGCTAATTCTGCTTTTGTTTAGCCATTTGTACCAAGCTTCCTGTCTCTAGATGTGGATGGAAGAGTGGTACGATTTGATTCGTTATCAAAACTCCTGTCCTCAGGGTGAGTAATGACTGATGGATAACTGTATTTTGTATAGTGTGTCGAAACATGTAAACCATTAAACTCGACTGAAATCTACCGAAGGCGTTGTCTGGCTGTCTGTTCCTTTTGTATTTTGGAATTGTTCTTGCCAAGAGGAAATTCTTATCTTGAAGGTAATGTGATGTGAACATTTTTGCACATTTATGCTGATTGTAGAACTGGATATGTGAGGGTAGGAGAAGCTCCAGTATGGGTATTAGTTGACTCGAAGCAAATTTCTTTTTGTTTTTTTTATTGGATAATATGGGTATCATCATTTAAGCTTGCAGCTGTCAGAATCCATATCAGGTAATAAAAGTGTATCTGTATTCTGGATATGTTCAGAGGAAAGGATAATTTCTGACATATTGATTTGAGAATGAATGTTTTGGTATGTTGAAGCAGAACTGGATTTGTAAGGGATGATGATCAGACTGGCGTAGATAATTTTTCTTAACTTTGCTGTTTTACTTAAGATTTTGATTGTTTTAATTTTTTTTATGCTGACAGTATTTCATAAAAGATATTTTCTGATTTACGGGTATTCTTATTCTGTTTCAGTATGCGCATTGGTTTTGTGACAGGACCTAAACCAGTTGTTGACCGTTTCACTTACCATCTAATGTGTTCCTCTATGCAAGCCAGTGGTCTCTCGCAGGTAGATAGGATCAATGCTAATCATAGGATATTGTTCAAGTGCATACTACAGCATATTATTCTATCAATAAGAAAGTTTTAATTATCATTCATTACAGTTTAAGATTTTTATGATTCTTAAAATTGAAAGAACTTCTATATTGCTTGTCTTGAATATAACTTCAGAAAAATGATTGGCTGATATGTAACCTACCACAAAGTTGCTTATACACAGGTCAGTGTGCAGATATCTGCTGGACATTGAAGGTTTTGGCAAAGCTTGATATGTTATTCAATGTTGATTTTGTTGGGCGGGGCAATAAAGCCTTCTAACTTTGAACTTGTTTCTTCATATGTCATGTGTTTTATGACAATCACAATATTAAAACCACATCTGACCCAAGTAAAGGAAACTCATCGTTGTTCACTGTTGCAAGTGAGGTCATTGCTCCATCCTGAAAATGTGTTACTATAAGATTCAAGGAAAGTAAAATAAAATAACAATTATACAAAGAACCTTAACTCTATACTAAAATCTGTATTACGATAGTATAAATGGTTTCAAGTGAGAAGAAACTGACAGCACCTGAATAAACCTTAGTCTATCAGAGTGCCATTGGAACTTCTCATAAACTTGTTTGATGTTCTCTGCAAGCTTTTGTCTTTGTTTTACAGATGACACTAGCAATGATCCTAAAAGACTGGGGACTAGATGGCTTCTTGGAGCATACAGAGAAAACTGCAAAATTTTACAAAAATCGATGCCAGCAATGTCTGAAAGCAGCTGAAAAACACCTCACAGGTAAAAAAAAAATTTTAACTTACAGATGAAAAATATCTTATAGATGAAAACTTTTTCATATAAGGTTGAATTTACCTTTAATTACTGAAGTGATTTTGCTTTGGAATCAAGAAGTTGTTTGTGACATATTTTTAATTGTTTGCCCATGTCATCTTAGAATATCTATAGGTAGATCAAGGAGTATACTACCTAAATCAGGATTTTCAAAATATTGCTTTTTGTTTTTACTATTTGGTCTTGTTTACAACTGAAGCTGCTGTTACTTGATCTTTTACAGTCTCGAGACTATTGTCAATAAGAATGCAATGTTTGTCTGTTGAGTGATTGCATTTGTGTTTATTTAATATTTATATGTTCACATTTCATTTTGACATATTATTTTATCAAGTTAAAAATATTTTCCCTCCTTGTAAGTAGGGTTAATCACAATAATCTATATGTAATTGATTTATGTAAAGCTGTGTCATCTGATCAAACAACATGCATGGTGGCAAATGACGTCATATTATTGTCTCATGATCTACAGTTTATCTTTGCTGTGGTGAATACTATTCTGATTAACAAAGAAGTAATTGGAGACAATGGCAGAAAATTTAAACAAAATTCAATTATCATTATCTTATTATTGCAATTAACGAACTATTTCTATTACTGGTGTCTTTTAGATATTGATGTCCTTTATCGGTCATTGCTAGGTCTAGCTGAGTGGTCAGAGCCCTCTGGTGGGATGTTCCTCTGGTTGAAGCTCCTGAACATCACAGATGCTCATGAACTCATCACAAAAAAGGCTTATTTACGAGACGTTCTGTTTGTGCCAGGGAATGTGTTCACATTTGATAGCAGTGCCCCCTGCCAGTATGTCAGGGCTTCATACTCGACAGCATCAGAAGAGGAAATGAATGCTGTAAATAAAATTTTGTTGTATAAGTATCTAGTTCATAAAATTCTTTTCTAAAATAGTTTGTTTGTCATATGAACATTTCTTCATATGTGTTGTTGGTTGTTTGTTCAAAATGAGAAATGCTTACCTACATGCAGGTTCTAAAATTGTTCAGATATGTGAATAAAACTAAAACTGGCATATAAATTAATTATAGCAATGGTTTACCCATCCAATCCACCGAGAATTGCTGTATTTATTCTACAAAGTGTAAGGGACAAATACTTTACTCAGAATTAGAGTCAGGGAGTGTAACTTCCCTTGTTTCTGCTAAAAGCAGTTGTTATTTTACAGTTATCTTAATTTTCTTTATTTTTTTTTTTGTTGCAGGCATTTTCAAGATTAGCAGATCTACTCAAAGAAGAGACCTCAAAGAGCAATTAATGTTGACAAACTTTTTAACTTTTATGGAAAATAAGTTTACAAAAACTTTGTGCAAATAATGTAATCAGACAGATAATATATCTCAGGATTCACCAGTCAAAAGGTGATTTTTTACACCGGTGAACACTTTAGGAACTCAAAATGATATGAGATTATCAACATATTTTGAAATATATGAAACAGATGTTATTTACATTTATTTTAAATGTCTTGTTATCAGGTTTTTGGGTTTGGTCACAATTTTTTCCACCTTTTATCTAAAAGGTGTTTTAAAAATATATGTTCTGTCACAGACTTAGATAAGTCTGTGGTTCTGTAAACCTGTTAGAATAATTAGAGTAGTTTCATTTTATACTCCTTTTTATATTTGCGTAATCTGCCATAGTCTATATGTATTTTAACATGTGTATGTGTGTTTTCATAATATAGCTAGTATGAGGTTTGTCTATCTGATTGAAGATACAGGCATTTATCTTATTGCGTTGCATCTGATCAGGGTTTATTATATCTAGAACATAGTATACAAAGATAGGGTCCCTTGCAAGAGGGAAAGTGCAAACGTAAAAAAATTGTGAGATATTTTACTTTAAAATTAAACTCCTCGAAATGGCATATATGTCTGCATACATATTTATTTTGATTTTTTTTGGACAATGTCATGGTGATGATATTTTGACTACATTAATTCAATGTGATCACTTTTGCTGGGAGAGTGGATGTTCAGTAAAAAAAAAATGGGAATGCAGTTATTCTACTCAAAAATGATCTGCTTGTTCCATCTGTATACCTCTGTTTATAATGTAATATATCATGTCAATAGGTGAGATCACTGCTGTCAATTTATGCTGCATATTTTAAAATATATATATTTATGGGATGTTGTGATGGTGTAATGGTAAGGCAGTCTGGAATATTCTTGGCTAAGCTTTTCTGATGTCAGATTGTGAGTTTGAGACCCAGTCTTCCTTCGTGAATTGTGTTACAATGGCTAAAAATATCAATAAATTAACATAATGCAACGTATGCAGTAATGTTGTTGATACAAAGGGTCCTGGTTTGAATTACCTGTCATAATTGTACCCGAGTACATCAAAGGTATGCAAACAGGCCAAACTTTCAAGTTTTGAAAACCCTCAATAGATATGAAAAGTTACATAATTTCATAACTGATATCACTTTCAGATTGCTGTCATGGGCTTAATGTTTTTGGCTAAGAAATAAAGAGTGGTAGCCTATCTTATAAAGAAGAACAGAATCAATGTGAACATATACCTCTATAGCACAGAATGTTGAGTAATCAATAGTTCATTTGTCTCTACAAAATCAATAGCAATTAAGTGGCATTCCCACTGCAACGCGTTGAGGTTTTATACCGTATGATTGCAAACGCCTCAGCACAGTATCATGGCTTATTCTCGAATGATGTGTCCCTGGTGTCTCGTTTGCGGTTTTCTGTGCAGTTCGGAAGCGGTTGCGCAGATGATGAACCTCATGAAACGGTCCTGGCGTGGTGTCGTAACCTTCGGTCGGCTAGTTGTAGGGAGGTCAGCAGTTGTACCAGTAGTTTTAAGGCAGGCGTATAGTCGACTAATAGTGCTTTTATGGACATTTAATACCCTTGCCACAGCATTTTGAGTGTTTCCACCCAATAGTAACTGCACTGCTCTGTTACGTTCATCATTGGTTAGCCGAGGCATCTTGTCTGCGCAACAAAAATGTTAATCAATAGTGGGTAATTCTTACCAAATACCTGAAAGATAACAAACAGGTCTGATACTCACGAAGTGCTGCCATGTGTACGCGTGCACTTGCAAATCGGGGTATATGGCCGTGTCTCGCCCGTCCGTCCGTAAACAATTCTTGTTACCGCTATTTCTGGAAAAGTACTGGATGGATCTTTCTCAAATTTCATATGCAGGTTCCCGTTGGTCCCTAGTTGTGCATTGTACCTTTTTTGAACTGATTCGCATTCAAGATGGCCGACAGGTGGCCATCTTGAATTTTGGAAGTAAAAGTTTGTTACCGCTATTTCTGGAAAAGTACTGGATGGATCTTTCTCAAATTTCATATGCAGTTTCCCCTTAGTCCCTAGTTGTGCATTGTACCTTTTTTGGACTGATTCGAATTCAAGATGGCCGACAGGTGGCCATCTTGGATTTTGGATGTAAAAGTTTGTTACTGCTATTTCTTGGAAAGTACTGGATGGATCTTTCTCAAATTCCATATGCAGTTTCCCCTTGGTCCCTAGTTGTGCATTGTACCTTTTTTTGGACTGATTCGAATTCAAGATGGCCGACAGGCAGCCATCTTGGATTTTGGAAGTAAAAGTTTGTTACTGCTATTTCTTGGAAAGTACTGGATGGATCTTGCTCAAATTTCATATGCAGGTTCCCTTTGGTTCTAGGTTGTGCATTGTACCTTTGTTGGACTGATCTGAAATCAAGATGGCTGACAGGCAACCATCTTGGATTTTGAGAGTAAAATCTTGTTACTGCTATATCTGAGGAAGTACTGGATGGATCCTTCTGATATTTCATAGATATTGGTTTCCCTTGGTCCCTAGTTGTGCATTGTACCTTTGTTGGACTGATTTGAAATCAAGGTGGCCCACAGGCAGCCATCTTGGATGTCGACAGTAATACAACACAAGCATATTGTCCATTATCCACCTGTAACTGACTGCTATCAAATGATATTTGCTAATAGGTGCTTAATAAAAATATCTTGTGCCATCATTGAGTACATTCAATGAAGACCAGTTCATGAACATTTACAACACCTGTAACAAACAAAAAAAAATAAACAAATCTTCAAGAACTGAAAACAGATCCTCAAATGGTGGGCGCCAAGATCCCTCTGGGATCTCTTGTTAACAAAATAATTTCTGTGACATGTTGCAAAAAGCATTGTGACTCAGGTGACCATGAAGGCCCTTTGGCCTCTTGTTCTTGTCATTAGTTGCTGAATTTTGTGCCAAATTTGAAGACTGAAATGTGTGAAAAATAGGTATGATGCATTTGCACTTTTGCAAATTCCTCTGTAAATGACAATACTTTAAAACAAAATCGTGAAAAGTTCTCTTATTCTGCAGACACTGTCAACATACTGAACAGTTGATAATACTCGTGGGAATTAAATGAAGGAAGATCGTATGATAGTGTTACGATTTCTCTTATATCTCTTGGTCTAGTAAATAGTGTACAGTTTATTTCAGTTTGAGAATTGAAGATGAACATTTTAAACAGTTAATGGCTACAGGGCATTATTTCACCTTTAACAATTGCATACATGGTTATGGGTTGCATATCCCTCACGGAACAATGCTCACCAAATTCGGCTTATATTTTATAACGGGTATGTCCTCCATTCGCTCTTTCCACAGTCTGGATTCTCCTAGGCATTGAGTTCATGAGTGAGTTTATCCTCCTCATTGGGATGTTGGCCCATTGTTCCAGGAGAGCTGCTCTTAGTTGGGCCAAGGTAACAGGGGAAGGCTGGCGTCGTCGATCCTGTCTATCCAGCTGGTCCCACAAGAACTCAATAAACTACAGGTCGGGACTGTATGGCGGCTAGACCAGTGGGTGGACATTAGCTTAGCTTAGTGTAGCTTAGTAGTTACTGAACGCAGGCATTATGCCTCTATGTTCAGATCCGAAGCCTTATCAAAATCCATTTTTTTAATATTGTCACTTCTGGTTGGAATAAAGATGTTATATGTTCTCTCCGCACTTTTCCAATATTCATCAAGCCTAATTTCAAATGAGTTCAAAGTTGGCGCCTGTACGATAACTTCTGGTAGAGAGTTCCACACATTTACCACCCTTTGAGAAAAAGAAAACTTTCTGAGATCCAGACGTGATCTAGCTTTTTCCAGGCTTTTTCGTAGATCATTCATTGTCATGCAATCCTCTCAAGATCTTGAAAACCTCAAACATGTCCCCACGGTCCTGTCTGTACTTTAATGATGACAATTTTAATCTTATCATTCTCTCAACATATGTTAAATCTTTCATTCCTGGTAAAAGTTATGTTGCTCTTCTTTGTCCATTCTCTAATAAATTAATATCCTGTATGTGATGCGGGTTCCAAATACTAGCGCCGTACTCCAAATGTGATTTTACTAACGCTTTATATAGTAAACAGAATGATCGTTCATCCAGGTATGTATAAGTCCTTCTTATTGTGCCTAATATTCTGTTAGCTTTATTTATGGTTGTCTGTATGTGATACCTGAAATTTAACTTGTTATCTAATATTATTCCTGGATCTTTTTCCTCTTCGTGTACTTGTAGTTGACTTTGTCTTCTAATCCCATCAGTAACTTTATACAGATGCAAGTTTGGTACACTAGAGTCTTTCCCAATTCTCATTTGATGACATTAATCCGGGTGAAATTTTAGCAACCATATATCGGACCAATCTTGGAGACTATCCAAATCCTGCTGCACATTCATGTTTTTTCCTGGAATCACTGTATAGCTTAGTATCATCCGCAAATAATATTGTAATTGAACTGACTGCTTCTGGTAGGTCATATTGCTGTGTGAGAAAGTCGCAACAGATCCTCCCTATATAGGAACCGAACATTATCCTGCTGTAATGTGAAGTTATTTTGCTGCAATAATGGGACAACATGGGGTCGGAGTATCTCATTTTTATACCAAGAGACAGTTAAATTACCCGCTACCACAACCAGTGATGATTTAACTCTATGTGAAATTCCTTCCCACACCATAACTGATCCACCCCAAAACCTATCCGTTTCTACTACGCAGAAGTCGGTAAAACATTCTCAACGACGCCTGTATACAAGACGTCGACCGTCTGCTCGAAACATGGTGAACCGGGACTCATCAGTAAACAAGACCTGCCTCCACTGTCTCAATGGGAATATTCCGGGACATGTGAAGCCATCCAAGCCATCCGACGCTGGCAACGAGCAGCGGTAAGGGGGAGACCTACAAATGGGTGACCCGCAACCCGCCCAGTTTCTCTTAAACGTCTAACAAGACGTTCTATAGTTCAAATATGGAAATGTCTGGAAACCTGTATATACCTTTGACATTGCATAATTATCACAATGGCTTGACCCCTCTGAACTTCCGTCAGCCATGCCATTGTTTAATGTTATCAGAAATTAATAAAAAAAAATATCGGGAAATGATGTGTCTCTATGAAGACTACCTAATGGTATGAGCAGTGTAACTCAATATCACAACACTGCTGTGCACGAGATTTTTTCGTTTCGTGTTTTCCCCGGAAGACATCGTCACGCAATACAATTTATATCGTATTGCATTTGAAAAGATTCATATGATTCTGTTTGTTAGTACACGTTTCAATAGTTTAAATTCAAAAACGTAATAAAATAATTTTAGATTTGCATCAGCAACCACCTCCCCCAAAGATATTGATTACACATATACCTACCTATACACTGACCAGTGTCTTTTACACAAGTATTGATCTTACAGTTGATGGGGCAATTTTAAAAGCAGAAATCACCAAGCCCAGATATACACACTGAAATTGTTACACTTGCAGATGCAACAATTATTGTTAGAAAAGGCATGTAAAACAAATACAACATACAACGATATATATTTCTTGTTAGAGACAAAACAAAATCAATATATCAGAGAAAGACATTGAAGGACTTAACAAGGTCTCTGTAACCTGTGATAAGTCATTCGTTCAATTCAGCCTCATACAGAAACAACCACATATCAGCCAAGAGATGGTCACAAGTTGTTCACATTGGGTCCGTTCGAAAATCTTGCCGATCTCAGCCAGAAAATAATTAATTCTAATAATTTCATCTTTCCTATATTTCTGCTTGACTATAGACGTACTTTACACAAAATACGTCCGGTATGCTTCGAAAAGAGAGTTTGAAAAACCACATAAAGAACTGATTTTGTTATTTAAGAATATGATGCTGTGTTGCATAGTGTGAAAAAAGAATTACCCAAACTCAGATTCTATACAACTAGGGCCAAATATGAACAGAAGAAAGATTCACAGGAAGACACACTAAGAAGTACAACAAGAATAAGACCAGGTGTTCCGGAAGAGTGAGCGTCTTACAGACCATTGACGACACCCTCCATGTAAGCCTTGGTCTATCTAATTAAGTTATGCGACTGTCTCAAATGAGAAAGAGGCAAAATAACGAACATTAAACACATCCCGTTTCATATCACACAAAGAAATATTTCTCAATGAAATCACAATGACGACCGCAAAACTTCCTCGTAATTTTCATTAACCTGCATCTTTTGAAACCCAGTGTTATGAGTTTGTCCGTCAGTTGACAACTTTTATTTGGACTATGGTTTACGCTAAAACTTACACAGATAAAACTTAGACCAAATCACTGAACAATATCAACGCGGTATTTCCTATCAGTTGACATAATCAACAGATTTAAGGTTCTCTTACTTGAACAACAGGCTGTGTCCTGTGCACAGAAGCCATCAAGGGAATTCACGGAACATTCGATCTCACACTGGTCACCTCGCTTTCCTGTGATACACTCTGATTATATCTAATAATACAAAGGTATCGTATGCACTGAAAGAAACTACGACACGTTTTACTAAGTACTAAAAAGAGTCTTAGAGTGAATATTTCACACCTCTCGCCATATAGTGTTAAATATATGGTGGCATACTCACTTATCCGGTTATTAGTTAGATTGCGTAACTGTAACACGACTTTGCGCCATAATATTTGCAACCAGTTTTTCTATCATTAGGTTTAGCCAAACTACCGCGACTCTTTAGTTCAAGCTTAATTTTTTATCAAGATCCATTATAACACGAGTTCAATAACAACCGCAAAAAGTCGTGTAACCGTAATACAACAGAAAGTAATTGGATGGCGAAAATATGCTACCATAAAAATAGGGTTGGGTAGGGTTTTTTTTTTTTTTTTTTAGAAAACTCTAAATGTGTTAGTCTCCTAATATACTGATATTTCGTGGTTAAATAGCATAGGTTAAGTGGTTAGAACTTATTTTAAAGATGCGCAAGCAGTGGGATATGTTTCTGAGGAGGAATGATGTCTAACAAGAGATATATGGATAATAAAGCGAAAAAAACAAAACAAAAACATTATTATAACAGTTAATCAGGTATCAAAAAAGGTCCTCCAATTCGTCTTTTGGTGAGGTAACATGTACAAAAAGAAACGCTGGTTTCGGTCAATATGCTGCCGCATCGACCTGATAGAAAAAACATTGACCTTGCGTTCTCACAAAATGTCCATAATTGATATATGCAACAAAAATAGATGATTTCATTGCTCATTAGTACGATAGGTTGCTTCGTTTTTGTTTAGTTAATATAATGTACAACTGATTTGCATACCGAAATAAATGTTGAACATCATAACTTAAATACTCAAAGGGAGATTTAATAAAAAATGATATCCATGAATAAATAAATAATTAATTAACAGGTATTATTTGTATGTTCTACAATATTGAATAGTTGTGGTTAGATTGACTTTAAATGGCTTTTGAGGCAAACTCTATTTCTGTTATTTACATATATTAGTTTATTTGAGTTCGTAAACTACATGAATGTGATTTAACAATGTAACAATGTAGGTTGACTGTTGTGTTTGGAAGGAATGACACTTCCGGATTTTGGTTAAGATGGAATATGATATTTAGACTACTTATAAGTGTCAAATAAAGTCCTCACATACACTAGGTGTGTACACAATATTTCAAGACACAGACTACAACACTATCGAATTTAATAAAGTTTTCATGGCATATCTGCGTCATGGGAAGACATTAAGAGGGAAAACTGGTTCACATGATTAGCAGTTAAAGCGGTTTCCCACTAAATAGAATACTTACTTCTTATCAAATGTAAATATTAAGCGTGAAATGAATACACACACACACACACACATATATATATATATGTATGTATAACCCACACCGTCTCTCCTATACCAAACCTGTCTCAATATGAATGTATCAAAATACCAACACCGTCTCTCCTATACCTAATTTGTCTCAATATGAATGTATAAAAAAACCACACCATCTCTCCCATACCAAACCTGTCTCCGAATGTGTAAAACAACCCACATCGTCTCTCCTATACCAAACCTGCCTCAATATGAATGTATCAAAATACCAACACCGTCTCTCCTATACCTAATTTGTCTCAATATGAATGTATAAAAAAACCACACCATCTCTCCCATACCAAACCTGTCTCCGAATGTGTAAAACAACCCACATCGTCTCTCCTATACCAAACCTGCCTCAATATGAATGTATCAAAATACCAACACCGTCTCTCCTATACCTAATTTGTCTCAATATGAATGTATAAAAAAACCACACCATCTCTCCCATACCAAACCTGTCTCAATATGAATGTATCAAAAACCCACACCGTCTCTCCTATACCTAATTTGTCTCAATATGAATGTATAAAATAACCCACACCGTCTCTCCTATACCAAACCTGTCTCAATATGAATGTATCAAAAACCCACACCGTCTCTCCTATACCTAATTTGTCTCAATATGAATGTATAAAAAAAACCCACACCGTCTCTCCTATACCTAATTTGTCTCAATATGAATGTATAAAAAAACCCACACCGTCTCTCCTATACCAAACCTGTCTCAATATGAATGTATCAAAAACCCACACCGTCTCTCCTATACCTTATTTGTCTCAATATGAATGTATCAAAACACCCACACCGTCTCTCCTATACCAAACCTGTCTCAATATGAATGTATAAAAAAACCCACACCGTCTCTCCTATACCTAATTTGTCTCAATATGAAAGTATAAAAAACCCACACCGTCTCTCCTATACCTAATTTGTCTCAATATGAATGTATAAAAAAATCCACACCGTCTCTCCTATACCTAATTTGTCTCAATATGAATGTATCAAAAAACCCTCACCGTCTCTACTATACCAAACCTGTCTCAATATGAATGTATCAAAACCCACACCGTCTCTCCTGTACCTTATTTGTCTCAGTATGAATGTATAAAAAAACCCACACCGTTTCTCCTATACCAAATTTGTCTCAATATGAAATGAGGACATCTAAGTGTTATATGCTTTATTGTGTGAATGTCTTTTTGTATATATATATTATCACTAGTCTTCTGGGAAAAAAAAATCAAAATAAGGGTTGGCTATAGCAGCCGTCACCGTGTAAAACTAAAGCGTTGTCATTGAACATTAGTATACTTTTCTGTTCCGACATCTGTAACGTTTTTCTTTCTCTTACCTATTTTTTTGGTCGGAGCCCTTTGTGTTCTTGATTTAATTGTAAATGGCAAAATTATCCAGATCGCATTGCAATTTTATACATCTATATATTTCAGAATTAAATAGATATTATAAAAGGTCAGTAAGAAAGCCAATATGGACATTAACCCTATCCTAACATTAAACTTGCATTTGACAAGAACAAAAGCGAATCAAAGATGGAACTACCTCATATACAGAAAATGTGATAAGAACTATCTTTACAAACATAGTCGGTATCAAACTAAGAAGACAAAAATAAAAACTCCCACATACCAATTAAAGGGAGGTAGCATGGGGTGGTTGGTGGGACGTGTTGTAAAATATATCCAGGTGAATAATAAAGTTAGGTTGCAAATAAGAAGAAAACTTCTAGAGAAAATTAAAAAATCAATATGGCGTCGAAATGTCTGAAAAATACTGCTGAAGTGGGGTTTTCAATAGCCTCGCAGGGGCAAAGTGACCCCAGATCGGACAAACGGGGATCACCGAAGCCGCACAGGGTTCAATTATACTGACCAATCAGTGATCACCTGACTTAATTACCATACACACATTTTCATATAAACTGAAACATTATGTACATAAAACCTGAGTATGTGTGAACCTTTATTGTACGAATATATGTCTATAAATAGACATTTGTTTTCTCATTTTAAAAAGACAATTTCTGATTTAGAGTGTGGCTGAGATGTACCGGTTGACTAATTTCCTCGCAGTGTGACATGCATTAATTGTACTATATATATATATATATCTTCCTGGTTACTTGTAGTTGGTGAATTCAGACCCGTGCGGGTAACAACCATGTCTATCAGGAGAATTTCAGTCTTTTGTGGAGCTTGTTTCTTCATATTTTATACACATGTATTGCGATCCGAGGGTAAGTGCTTATTTTCACCGGGATATTGATAGTAAGAGTGAGGAAAATGTGTAGATTTTTAAATGTAGCTGGTAAGAAGGCGGAACTGTCATTCACATGTTTACGATCATATGTATGCATGTTTGTGTATCAGGGGTACGAGAAAATATGAGCTTGCCTATATGCTATATTAGCTGTTTTAATTATAACTCGTTTTAGCTCGTGATTAAATTTTATATCCATTGGGTAGACATGTAATCTATAATAATCTGATAAATTTCCGAGATCAGCATTATAATGACGACGTCGATATCATTATATATATACTTAATCATAGAATGGTATAATTATAATAATAATTAAATACGAAGTTAATTTAATTACATCTATGATGTGAGTTCGATTTATTTATTAAGCACAACATTCGGTTGGCGGAGGTGCTTCATAACTTTCCTCTCGTATCTAAACTTTTCCATCCGCGGATAGATATCATATCACGTGACCATCGAGAGCGTCACTTTGGAAAATCGACTTGAGTCTAAAGGTAAGAAGCACCGTGCTATTTTTAAAGTACCCGCCTCCCCCTTGTTTCCACTTTTCTTTATATTATGTATGTATTACGTATGTGTATTTATTATTGTACTATAGGTATTTAAGTGATAATATTTTGAGCCTTTGTAACATTGATTTGTACTGCATGTATACTACTTGCGTGGTTTTGCAGGCTGTTATGTATCACCTTGTGTAGGGGCGCTTTTGCCCCCCCCCCCCCCTCCTTCACATAATGAGTTAGTTTGTGTAATTATTTAGGCATACATGTAACTCAGTTCCAGTGTGATATAACATGGTCTTGTATACATGTTTTTATTTTATGCCGTTTTTTGTAATAAACGGCCAGTATCATTTCACACTTCTGTTTTACTGGTTATCTTTCACAGTGTTTGATGTTATCTATTATATCATATACTGATGTACATGAGAAGTGCTCTTCATAAATAAACATAATTTATATATGGTATCATATACATATACTTTATTTATGTCTGATATCATATACATATACTCAATTAATGTCTGGTATCATATGCTTATAGGTATATGATACCAGACATAAATTAAGTATCAATCCCTCGAGATGTGATGTACTTAAACAGGTCGTTTGTCGATTTGTCTTGTCAATATGTATTTTGTCAAACTTTACAGGGAACGGGATAAATATAGTAATTATTACAAAACATGTTTAAATCCTAGTCGGTACATTCGCCTGCACCACCTTGTGTGTTTGCTACCATATCTTAACATCTTGATGAAAAGCATTTCTCTTTAAAGCATGTGAGTCGGCTATCAAAAAGTGGTTGTCATGCAGACAAAATACAGTTTACAAGTGACACATTCATATACATCGATAATTCGTTGAAGTATTGGAAAGGCATATTAGTTTAACATATTTTAAATACAACAGCGACTTGATATAATCTAAAGAGAGGACAGGCCATTACAACGTGTTCTCATAATAATCACATTGTTTTATCATTTGGATCAACATATAAGTACACGGAACATACGCAGTGACAACAATGGTATGGAATTACATAGAATGGTCTTATTAGACCAATGACAGATACTTCTAAACAAACAAATACACGCGTTAAAGAAGAGTGTGCAATGTGAAGTTATATGATCGCAAAAGCAAGACACCGTTTAGGACCACGTCATTTCCTTTAATATGGGATGGATGAATTATCCTGCTTTCGGGCTATAAGCAAGTGAGAAAGAGAGGGTGGAGGTTAACATATTTAAAGATACTTAAATTCATTTGGAAGAATTTCATATCAAAATGAATTCATTCACGGGTCAGATTATGTAAATGACAATTATGTTTTCTGGTATCTAATGCAACTGTAATTTTAATGTCATGCAACTTGTCATGGTGAATTATTATGATCGTGTTGTGGGACAGAGCAAACAAATTCAAAAGTTAAATCAACAGCTCCTTTGCAGTTCACACTTTAATTTTGCCCACACTTGGCTGAAAGGATTGGACTCGGAATATATACTTGATACACCTTGGGGTTTTAGGGAGGGACCGATAAGGGTCAAATTGAACAACAGTTGAAAATTATGAATCAAACGAATCGTGGATCTCACTTTCCCCATTCCTTCTTTGGAGAGGGGCTAAAATTCGCTATGACGTATAGAGGAAAATTAAGTTCCATTTGGTTAATCCCCTTAGAATTCAAATTTGTTTGGCATTTCAACCATAGAAGAGTGTTTGGTGGTATGCATTTACTGACTCTGAATGAACTTAAGTGGCTTCGAGGCAAAACGGAACGAATTGCTTGATACTTTAAACGTTTCTTTTCATATTTGGATAATCTCGAACTATGGTCTAAATAAAACAGAAACAATTAATAAAAAGTGGCAAAATAAAATTGAATCTATCAGAAAGACAATTTAATGTTGGAAATGTAGACACCTTACAATATTTGGGGGAACTCAGATTGTAAGATCATTATTAATTCCCAAACTAACTTTTCTATTTTCAGTACTACAAGTTTCATTAAATGAGTTAAAAGGAATTGAAAGATGTGTTTTGATGAATATATTTGGCAAGAGAAAATAAAAAATCAAAAGAAAAACATTAATAAGGAAATATGAGGATGATGGAATAAATATGATGGACATAAGATCACATATCAATACAATACGATTAAGCTGGGTAAAAAGACTTCCAAGTGATGATGAAGCCTTATGGAAAGTTATTCCAAAACTATTTGTAGAAAAATTGGGCCTAATATGTATATATGTAAAATGAACCTAGCTAATCTTAAAAATCTTCCCGAAAATAAAGAGTTTCCTCCCTTCTATTATGACATTATTTCAACATGGATACTCACAACAGATACCAATACACAGCCTAACAATATTAATAATATACTCTCACAGATTATATGGGGAAATAGATACATTGAATATAATGGAAAGTACCTATGCTTTAAAAATTGGATTAATTCGGAAATACTTAGGAAAAACTATTGCAAATAACTAGTGGAAAACCAAATTAAACATAAAAGACAGTAGCATAACTTCAACAACATCATTAATATTTTTTCTATTTAGAAGACAACAAGTTAAAGGAATTTAGATGGAAGCTTTTAAACAGAATCTTAACAAATAAGCAGTTATTGTTTCAATGGAAAATTGTAAATGATCCACTCTGCAATGTTTGTAGCACTATAGAGGATTACCAACACTTTTTCATTACATGTTAATACTTGAAAGATTTTCACAACTTAATAAAGGAAATATTCATACCTCTGGGATACAAAAAAGACATGATCACTTTGAAAAATATTGTAATGGGATATGAAATAAACGTGTCTTTTTATACTTGGATAATGTCGAACTAACGTATGTATGTGGACGCAAGGGTCTTAAAACCAAAACTGGGAATTTTAGGGGTGAGTTGGGGTCGGGTAAGGATGGGTAGGGAGAGGGATTGTGGATAAACATAACATTTCTCGTTACGTTTGTTCATCATTACATCATTCGTCTTTGTTCCGGTTCCCGTATCTGTTACGGATGTTAATGAATAGGAGAAACAGAATTGTAGTTTCTTGGTAACGATATTTATTCATTTATTTTACCTCTTGAAACTCTCTTGAATGCAACCCGAGCACATTTATGATTTACTTATTTAATGTTATAATTGAAACAATTATAACAATTACGTATATTAATTACCCTTATTTAAATCCTTAAAATTGATCGTTGTAATCATACTTCATGATAGGGTTTTCCGTTTGTTGTAGAAAACCTCTCGTTTGGAAAGACTTCTACCCAGAGTAGTACACACGACAGATGGACCGCAGATAGGGCCGTAGACGGATGCTTGAATCAAGACGTGTTTTCAAATTGCTGTATACATACAGCTAATACTATAAAAGAAGTCTGGTGGCAGGTAGATCTTGGAAGTCTAAATACCATCAATTACATCACAATATACTATCGAGGTGGGTTCAAAGAACATTTAAAAGTTTACTTTTTAATATTACATGCGGTTCAAGAACGCAATAGAACATTTTTATGATAATTTATTTTGTGGTACAATAATAATTTTTAACACCTTTCAAAAACATGTCTAAAATTGGCATGATATACACACACTGTTCCTATCTGAACTAAATCACAAAATAGCAGTTAAAGAGTTCGAAGTGTACAAAGCATCAAAATATGAAGAAAAAATAAGAGTATCAATCATTAAGAATTGTCAATTATGGATACAAAATTTTGATCACCATTGAATCGATCCGTACATAGGTTCATGTGTAAAGTTTGCTTGAAGTTTAAAAACATTTGCGCAATTTGTATATCAAAACACCATTATACAAGCAGTAAGACTCACCTTGAGTTTTCGAATATCAACAAAAGGTGTTAAGTTAAATAGTGTGCCTGTTGGTTTCCTAGTAATTCACATTGATCTCATTTGAGAAGATGGAATTACGATCATGAACAAACCAAAGTTTAAGATCACATTATTTTAGTGGTACATTTTCCCTTAATGATCTATGGTAATTCTACATGTAAATATAACAACGAGATATCTTTTTTTTATCCGTATATTAAGATGTTTCCATTGATCGAGCATATATAAGCTTAAGGAACAATTTATTGGTTACCGCTTGTATATGTCAAATAACACTAACTGGACGAAGTCATCCTAAATGTTGCTAAACCATGAGAAGAAAATTGACTGACTAGAAATGATGACAATTTCAATTTTTGAATGATGAATAGTATAATGCACATGATTAATGAGATGGCTTTTCTAACAGGAATTTTTCAATGATTTATTATAGATGCGTATGAAAGACGATTTGCAGGTTACCAGTTGTATTTGTCCAATACCACGGACTGGACACAGGGTAACCTATGTTACGAAGATACTAGTAAGAATTTGGCTGAAGTAGAACTGATCGTAACGCACCAGTGCCCATATGTAGCTAGGTATGTTGTCGTGTACAACTACAGAAGCTATCCAAAGCGACACGAGTGGTATGATGACTTTGTTATACTAGAGCTTTGTGAGGTACAAGTGTTTGGTAAGTTAAATACTCAGTTATCAGTTTAAGATCTTAATATTGTTACATTTTTGACGTTATCCATCAAGCATTAAGAATACTAAAAAATTGGTCCAGTGCCTTCACGTGCACCTTTTCTGCAGTTTTCAAGACAAAACTTCGTTGGATATGTTTATTCTTCAATTTTTCAATTCCAGTTAAAGTAAATTGTTGAACACTGTATGGCATACTGGTGACTTGATATCATAATCTTGAGCTCTTGTCTCAATAAAAAGCAAGAAAATACCAACACAAATATAATCAAATTACAAATTATATAAAACTACAGTAAAACATTAACAAGAGAATGGTTTACACGGAGAATCCTGATAAAGTACAAGACCAGAGGTGTAAACGTTTTCTCCTTAATCGACGAAATCTGTCAATCAAAGTAAGTAATGTTACGCTTTCAAATGAGAACATGATATTCAACAACAGAACCAACAGGCAAACTAACTAGCATCAAACACATTTAGCTTCATATCGTACAAAGAAAAAGAATATTTCTCAATGAGATTGATATAACCATCATATAACTTCCCCTATAATCTTTATCAACCACTATATTTTGAACTCGTGCGTTACGAGTTTGCCAGTCCGTTGACGACTTTTTTCACGGAAGTCGTGATATTGGGAACATGTCTTTGATCATCGAATCAACTGCGACATGAAAACACCAGGTTGGAGTAGCAGAAATGTTACTATCCAGAAATGGAAGATTCACAATAGGAAAATTAAAAATTATTGCGCTAATCATAAAGTTTGTTGGATAGCTGTCCATGTTGGTTAAGTTGTAGGAAAATATATTTTCGTGTGAACACTTTCCTCCGATATCTTCATTTAATTTCTTTCATATTTCATATCGTGTTATGGCTTAGCATTGCTGAAATCAATATTGATGATATAATTATGCATTCCATTGTAATACATTGTAACGTACACATTTATAAGAAATAGTAATACGAAATAGCATTAATTATCATGATTCTGATAGTCACATTCCGTTGTTCTTAAAGTGAGATGATTAATAAAAATCTACAAATTCTGTGTTTGTAGGGTGTCCTATACAGAAACATGGCTATGGAAACTGCAACAAAAACTGCTCGCATAACTGTTATGGGGGCAACTGTAACGGAGTAACTGGTTCCTGCTTTTGTGAGTTATTTTGCAATTGATGAAACTTTAAAAAACAAAAAAAAAAAAAAAAAAAAACAAAAAACTTATACACATTTGTTTATTTTACTGAAAGTCATCAATTTCCTTTTCTATTTTTCGAGTTTATCTAATGATTTTTTTTATTGAATTCATAATTATTTTTGAAATGTTCTTGTTATGTTAACATGTTACATTGAATAACTCTAACTTCAACTTTGGTAATCAATCCCAATGAATTATTCTATTGGTTGAGTTATATTTTAGACTGTCTTCCTGGAAAGTGGGGTGATGCCTGTGATCAAGATTGTCCTACCACCTGCAAAACCAATACCTGTATACCCAATAATGGATCGTGTACAGGTTAATATACTTGTAAATTAGTTATTGCATTGATCTACATACAACTGACACACTTCAAATCTCCATGTGATATGTATCAAAAAGGACCGTTTAAAATAAACACGTTATAGGTTGATAATTTTAATGACAAACTGCTGATACTTGAAAAGCTATGATAATGACAACGACATTACTGTATTCATCTTTTTTCAAAGATAGCTCACTAATTTGGATGTAGTGCAAAAATCAAATTCTATTCAGAATGGTTAAAAAATTGTTTATACTTATAGTGGTAACCAATATATTATTTCATGCTTTACTTAGAATGTAAACCAGGGAGGCATGGAGATGTATGTGACAAATATTGTCCTGTCACCTGTAATGGAACCTGTGATAAAGTCTCCAGCTATTGTAGAGGTAAATATTTCATTTATCACTAACCTACTAGAATCATCTAAATAAACAGGATACACAACCGGCAAGTAGTAGTATGACATTTGCCTGTGCCCCTGTGCCCTCATTAATTTTTTTTTAAATGGCGGCACTTCCAGTTCCTGTATGTCACGTCCCCGTCGTCATTTCCACACGTCATGTCCGGTATGTCATTTTCCGTATTTCTCAACGGGTTGTCCTTCTACGGTTATCCTGTTCTTACACGACAAGTCACGCCCTGGAATTATCATAATAAGAATTCTTAAAACCCCAATAAATTGGTACGATATGATTTTTGTTACCCCTCTATGTTGTACTATCCTTATGTTATACAAAAGACCAGCAACAACCGTTCTTAAGTACAAATGTTGAGTATTAGCACAAGTTACAACAATGATAATATGTATGGCATGAGTATCGAGCTTAACAAGTTACTCCTTCCACGGCCACACCCGGACTGACTCTATTTGTTGTGGTCTTACAGTTTATCCTAAAGTAATTATAATCTAATTCTGATAGGGAAAAGTGTCTTCTACTGATCTACAATTAAACCGTGACCAGTTAATGTCTCACTGGTGGAGAGCATGTCCAGCCAATGTTTCACGGCATGATTCTGACAGAAGGTGACCGCAATTAAACTGTCTGATAAGCCAGCCGGTCACATTAAGATTTAACACAAATTATGTTCTACACTTGAGCGACAAATGTCACTATTAACATCCCCCTGCCTAAGAAAACTTTCACGGTCTAAAAGTTCAGAGATAGCAAACTGCTCATGATACTCAGGCTGAGATAATATTTAGTATGTACACAAACACTGGTAAAGTTTACTTGAACAACAGTTAATTCTAAATTCTACAATTAACACAGTTCATAAGTCTGATTCAGATACTGTTAACTTCCTTAGATAAGGTACTTCTGTCAGACTGTCACTGTTTGTTCTTAAGGTATACACATCACAAAACCTTAAAACACATGTCAAGAACTGATGATACATCCAGAGTCAGTGTTCGTCCTTTATTTTTTTTTCAAAATATATACACTCTTTATTCAATTCTGGATAGTCCGTCCGCATTGGCATTTTCCTGGCCCCGTCGATACCTGATTGTATAATGAAACTGTTGTAATGCCAGTGCCCATCTTAACAGTCTCTGATTCTTTTGCTTGGTATTATCAAGCCATTTAAGTGGATTGTGGTCAGTCAAAATGGTAAAGTGAACACCACTAATATAATAGGAGAATGACTCCACACTCCAAACGATAGCTAAACATTCCTTCTCCACTGTAGTGTAATTTTGTTCCCGCGGTAGTAACTTTCTGCTGATGTACGCAATAGGGTGTTCCTTATCGTTGATATTCTGACTTAAGACCGCTCCAATAGCCACGTTGCTGGCATCAGTCTGAATGATGAAGGGCTCTTTAAAATCCGGATTTGCTGGTACCGGTGCCTTGGTCATATCGTCCTTTAGTTGGTTGAATGCATTTACAGTGTCATCCGTCCATTTGGGTTGCCTTGGTTTGTCTTTCCTTAGCATGTTGGTCAATGGAGCCGATATCTTGGCATAATCCTGAATGAAACGCCGATAGTAACCAGTCATACCTAGAAATGACCTAATCCCTTTTTTGGTTTGTGGGAGGGGGAAGTCAACCATGGCTTGAACCTTTCGACTATCTGGTTTAAGCTTTCCTTTCCCGACAATGTGTCCCAGACAGTAAAGTTCCTCTTCAACAAACTGGCATTTTAATGGCTTTACTGTTAATCCACATTCCCGAAGTTTGTCCAATACAGTCTTGAAATATTCAAGGTGTTCCTTCCATGTGTCGCTGTCTACCACTATATCATCAAAGTAAGCGACCACATGTTCTTCTCCTGCTAACAGTCTGTCCATCATCCTTGCAAATGTAGCAGGCGCTGTTTTCATACCAAAAGGCATTACCTTGAATTGGAAGTGTCCCGATTCAGTTACGAATGCTGACTTTTCCTGTGAATCTGGAGACAGAGGTATCTGCCAGTATCCCTATGCATAGTGCTGAGGTATTGAGCTTTGCCTAGCTTTTCAAATATCTCGTCCACCCTGGGTATTGGGTACCCGTCACATACAGTTACGTCGTTGAGTTTCCTGTAATCCACACATAGCCGAGTTGTAGTATCCTTCTTTTCCACCAAAACTATTGGAGATGAGTATGGACTTGAGGAAGGTGTTATATAACCACGCTCTGTCATTTCATCCAACATTTTCTTCACCTCTTGTTTTTTGGCTTGAGGAATTCTGTATGGCTGTTGTCGGATTGGTTTCTCACACGTTGTCCTCAGGCTGTGCGTAACTAACAATGTTTTTCCCGGATTAGGATTTATGACATCACTGTATTCTTGACAAAGCTGGCGGATTTCTTGGCGCTGTGACTTATTTAACAGTTTGCCAAGTGTAACATCCAGCGTTACCTCCAATGTTGAATTAGAACCGTCAAAATCAGAATCGGCGATGTCAACCTTTTCGACAAACATGACGTTTTGGACAGCTCTATTGTACTTCCGTAGTAGGTTGATATGATAAACAACTCGTTTACGACGTCCTCCAACCTTGACCTCATAGTTGACGTCGTTGACTTTCCTTATGACCCTATATGGTCCTTTCCATTGGGCGACCATTTTTGACGTGATTGATGGTAGTAATAGTAGAACCTCGTCCCCAGGTCGAAGTTCCCGTTTTGTGGCGTTCCTGTCGTACCACTCTTGGATCTTTTGCCGTTTGATTGTCATTTTTTCCTGTACTGTTTCTCTAACCATTGCGAGCTTTTCTCTCATCTGAACAACATGGTCAATGACAGATTTTCTAAGCTCCCTCTCGCCTGTCATGGCTTGCTCTAAAATCTGTAATGGCCCTCTGACCGGCCATCCATATAGCATCTCAAATGGTGAGAATCCCGTTTCCTCATGGGGTACTTCCCTATATGCAAACAATGCATATGGCAAAAGCTCGTCCCAGGCTTCCTGCTTTGACGTGCAGAGTTTCTTTAACACAGCTTTGAGAGTTGCGTTAAATCTTTCTACCTTCTTATTAGCCTGTTGGTGATATGGCGATGTTGTTATGCCCTTGATTCCCATCACACGGTAGAGTTCTTGTATCATTTTTGAGGTGAAATTTGTGCCCTGGTCTGTCAGAATAACACGAGGCACTCCTACCCTACACTCCTACCCTATTGAACAGTTCCACCAATGTGTTAGCTATGGTTTCTGCGTCCGCATTCTTTAATGCAAAAGCCTCTGGGTACCTTGTTACGTCATCCATAACGGTAAGAATTAACCTGTTCCCCTTCTTTGTTCGAGACAGTGGCCCAACAACATCCATAGATATTTTGTAAAATGGCTCACTGATGATCGGTGGTTGTCCTAATGGAGCTTTCTCGTCACCACGTCTTCTGGCGGTCTTTTGACATACGTTACAAGTACTACAGTATTCCTGTATGTCCTTAAAAATACCTGGCCAATAGAACGAATTAACGACACGCTCTTTGGTCTTTTCTATCCCTAAATGTCCCGCAAGTGGTCTGTCATGTCCCAATTTAATGATATTGAGAGGTAGTGCCTCTGGTAGTACTACCTGGACTCCATGTTGGGCTCCATTACTAGACTCCCATTTCCTACGGAGAATCCCATTTTCCCAGTACAGGGCATTCCTATCTTCCTGCACAGATTCCTCTGAACTTGCAGCTTTTCTTCGAATGTTTGCTAAAGTTGGATCTTCCTGTTGAAGCTTACTAAGCACTTCAGCATTTACAGCAGAAAGTTCAAGTGGTTCGTCTGTTGTTAACTGTATCGTCCTCATTGCTGTGAGATACAGTCTCACTGATGTTGTCAGTGTCCTCACCAACGTCATCGCCATGGTCCAGGTCCACATCGTTCGCCTGTCCAACATCACTTCCCTTACTGACATCCACTTGGTCCTCCTCGACGTCCGTATCGGGGTCCATTCCAACATTTACATGGCATTCCTTTGCCTTGTCCTCAGCTAGCCTTTCTTCAGCAATGTTATTACGATGTTTTGCACGCGTAACAACATTCACAGCCTTTGATTGTCTCTCTATGATGTCTACCCCCAACAGAGCTTCAGCGACAAGGTCAGGCACTAATCCAACCTGAGCATGTTTACCTTCTCTGTTTTTTGGACATTTCCTCGCGAAATGCCCATACTTGTTACAATTGTAACACTGCACACTTTTCATTTGCTCTGTCGATTTCTCCTTTCTCTGGTCCCGATCAGAGGTAAAAGTTTTTCCATTTATACTTTTACCTTGCGTTGATTTGTTTATATTCCGTTTAGGTAGAATATAATCCTCTGTGGCTTCAACCACACTGCTCGACCCTTTGTTACGGCGTATCCATTGTGCTTGTGACACTGGCAATGCACTAAGAAAATATTCCTCTTTGAATCTTTCCATGACATCCTCTACTGAATCCCCAAATCTAGTAAGATATTGTTCAATTCTTGCCATAAGTCCTCTGTATGTTTCCTTAGGTTCCTTTTTGGCTGTCTGTAATAGCTTGAAATATTGGTAGGGCCTTTTCCCGTACCTGTCCATTAGGGCTTTACAAAGTTCTTCAAATGACCAATGTGCTTGAATAGCTACCTTCTCTGGCCTCACCTGTTAACAAGGCTCTCAGCTGTAGCATTTTTACTTCTTCTGTCCATCCAGCCTGTGTTGATAAAGCAGTAAACTCTTATAAGAATGTCACTATATCCTCACTCTCAGTATGATTATAAGGTTGAAGTTTCAGTCTAAACGGTGCAGGGTTAGAATTTGTCTCACTCCGTTCCTTTTGAAGTTTTGCTTTTTCAATCTCTAGTTCCAATTCTTTCACTTTCCTTTGATGTTCTCTTTCCTTTTTTCGGCGTCCATTCTTATCTTTTCTCTGTCCACTTCCCTTTGATGTTCTCTTTCTTTTTCTTCGGCGTCCATTCTCATCTTTTCTCTTTCCACTTCCATCGTCATCCTTTCTCTTTCGAAATTCATTTGGCGTTCTTTTTCCTCTTTCTCTGCTTGAATTTCGAGTCTTCTTATTTCCAACTTTGTTTGTGCTGCCGTCACCTTCGCAGTTTCCGTTTCTTCAGGCGTCGACATATTGAACAGTTCTAATGAGCGTTATACCTTTGATAACGGAGTCCTTCTCCTTAGAATGATCCTTTACCGCTGCCACCAGAATATGTTACCCCTCTATGTTGTACCATCCTTATGTTATACAAAAGACCAGCAACAACAGTTCTCAAGTACAAATGTTGTGTATTAGCACAAGTTACAACAATGATAACATGTATGGCCTGAGTATCGAGCTTAACAAGTTACTCCTTCCACGGCCACACCCGGACTGACACTATTTGCTGTGGTCTTACAGTTTATCCTAAAGTAATTATAATCTAATTCTGATAGGGAAAAGTGTCTTCTACTGATCTACAATTAAACCGTGACCAGTTAATGTCTCACTGGTGGAGAGCATGTCCAGCCAATGTTTCACGGTATGATTCTGACACTAAGGTGACCGCAATTAAACTATCTGTCTGATAAGCCAGCCGGTCACATTAAGATTTAACACAAATTATGTTCTACACTTGAGCGACAAATTTCACTATTAACACTTTTATTGATGAATATATTGACAACATAGTTCCTATGCTAGGACAAGTCCAGTTTCTTTGGGGTTTTTTTCACTTGACACAGGATGATCTTTAATGGTTCCGTTGGTACTCTGAATATGTAAACTCTAGTCGTCTTAGTGTTTGGCGAATTTTCAAACGTTTTAGTTTCACATTCTTGCGGCGACGAAGGCGGAGGTCGGTTTCACGTTCTTGGTCTTGCTGACCAGATACGTCTTTGAACATAAACTGATCATTTCGTCTCCTTCTTACTCCCTCTTGAAGAGACTCTGCGTCCTATTGCTGTGTATCACCGTCTCAGAAGCCAGTGGTATTCGTCATCGACTGCGTTTCGATTTTCCTTGCAAAATCCGAATAATTTTTCTGATAAACATTCCTCATGTCCGTATCAATTTTCAACAGTATGTAATCGGATCTGTCAACATAGCCGTCCAAAACATCGTAATTGAAGGCGAGCATCCATAACTTTACGTAATACAGTATGAAATACCTTAATTTTATGAGGAGATCTAAACTGATCTTATCCTTGGACAATTTAGTTTCGTAAAATGCCGCCTCGGGTTCGAGACAGGTCCGAATGTTTCGTGAGGAACTTATGGCGCCATATCATTGAAATATTGAAAGGGTAACAACTCCTCATTCTGAAAGTGCGGTACTTGGATATCAAATTCTACCTATGCGAAAAGGTCTCTGCTCTGTATGGCTTTTACTATTTCAGCTCCCGTGTGTGAAGGATGTACATTCCCTCGTACATGTTCAGATAATTCATCCAATGTTTGGCTTTCACCCAGTGATCTGTGTATTCAGCATTGAATTGATTCGCCGATCGCCATTTGACAAAGGCCCTTACGATCATGTTTTGTCGATGGATCACGAGTACACAGCGTTGGCATTGAATCCCAGACCTTTCAGGCAACCTTGGCCTCCCCTTATCTTCATTTGGCCCTTAATGTCCACGCGATGGTAAAAGATCGACTGACCTCCGATGATGTTTTTCTTTATAGTCAGGTGTAAATCTTTGGCCCTTTTTTGTCCATGAGTGCAAATTCGTTTCTCTGGCCTTTCAGTAGAGCCGAGCGCGTGCCACTCCCGGAACGCTGAAGGTCATCTTGAATACATCGATTTTCCGTTCTCGCAGTCTTTCACCGCTATCAGAAATGGTCCGATGTTCAGGTTACTGTACTAGACAAGAAAATTGCGGATGGTTGACATTTTACATTTAGTCCCCACGCGTTGATAGAACTCTTCTTCTTCTTTGTCCCCTCGGACGACTGCTGTAGAACTCTTCTCGGGCATACTCCGGCTAATCGTAAAAGAAGTACCCTTACTGTTCTTTGACATGATAAGCTTTGCGAGAATTTGGTGTACAAAGTACAAGGGGCCAGGTTGTTCGTGATATCCAAGGACTGGGCTCGGAAGCCCATCGCTGGAGGTCTCACGAGTTTCTGAAGGAAGACACCATCGTGGACCAGAGCCTGTAAATGAGGAACTTATGGCGACATATCATTGAAATATTGAAAGGGTAACAACTCCTCATTCTGAAAGTCCGGTACTTGGATATCAAATTCTACCTATGCGAAAAGGTCTCTGCTCTGTATGGCTTTCACTATTTCAGCTCCTGTGTGTGAAGGATGTACATTCCCTCGTACATGTTCAGATAATTCATCCAATGTTTGGCTTTCACCCAGTGATCTGTGTATTCAGCATTGACATTGACAACAAACATTTAAAGTGTTGGGAAATACCAACATACTGACAACTATACAGCTACAAAGTCGGTGGCTTGGTTACAATTTCCGACCGATGCGCAAAGGAAGACTTCTCCTGTACAGAATAAAAGTCTTTTTAGGAGAAACTCAATAAAGCTTACGGACAGAATGCATATCTCGTGGAAAAGTTCGTACGCATGCGAAGGAGAGCTGAAAAAGAGTACCCAGTGAGACGAAAATGATCGAGAGCTAGATACGATCCAAGGACTGAAGAGGCCGATATGGAGGATATAAACAGAACAGAAAAAAAACAACAAACAAACGTGATGAGTGTGCCCATTGTTATCTGGTCCATAGACAACCCGACCATTGATGGCCACTGGGAAGTTTCAGAAAGAACGGCGACCATAAACGAAACCATAGCTACTGGTGTCTTCCGGTAGGTACGACGACACCGTCGTGGATGACAATGATAGAACCGATAGAATTATAGATATCATATACGGCACACCCTATGAAGTACTGCTCCGCGTAGGATATGTCAGTAACGTTGATAACTAAATAAGGCACTGGAACATTGCATCTACCTGAATAATTAGCGGCGACGTCACTGTTACAAACGATTGCCCTTTCACTGAAGACGATAGAACCCATATGCATATCGCATCAAATGTTATGGAAATCGTTCTACAAACAAATGTTTGGTGGTACTTTCGACCCCGGAAAATAAAGAAGCGGAGAAATGGGACGAGGTGTCGCAAGGATGTACGCTAAGAAACAGTAAATGATTCCCGGCAACCCAATAGTAATTCAAAACCAAAAGAAAAGATTGCAGTGGGACGATAAGTAACCCCATGGCGGCGGTAGACTAAATCCGACATGACAAAGACCATCGAGGAAGAACAACTACACGTCGCTATAAAAAAGTGGAGATAGCAACGAAACAGATCGAATCGGAGAGATCTTCCCAGAAAGCGACCTCGCGAAAAATAAAAAAAAAATACTTCCAAAAAGACGACGTAGTAAGAAACATGGCATACCTTGATATTACCTCGATTCCCAGAAGTAGACTGCATTAATGGAACGTAAATGACCTATAACGATTTTTTTAAAAATAATATGACCTTGATTGAATAACATACTGTTTTACTGCAAGCAAATTTATTTTCTCTTTAATCCACTGACAATAATTCTGACGGAGATGTAATGAAACTACAAGAAAATACCAACATGTCAACATAATCATAATCTAATCACAACTTCAATAAAACTAAGGCAAAATTTGAACCATAGAAAGATTTACACAGAACTCCAGAAAAAGTAAAAGGAGAATAAGACCAGCTGTTCCAGGAGAGTAAATGCCTTCATTGTACCCGCCATGAAAACCCTTGTTCAATCCTAATAGAACATCAATGGATATTAATTGTAGCTTTTGTAAGGTGGATTGGGAACTGTATAAATTACAAATAACTTTTCTAATGAATGACAACAAATGTGGTTTCAATTTCTTTCTATTATTTTTGTAATCATATTACTGTTCCTCTGTTCTATATCATCATTTTCCTTACGTAAATTTTAGATTGCGTCTTTGGACAATGGGGTGGCAAATGTGATCAGGAATGTGCTTTGAAATGTAAAGACTGCATTCAAACCAATGGATCATGTATATGTAACTATATGACGTGATTGTATTACTGATATAATCGCTTATTGAAAACACCTTTGCTGTATACCTATAATACAAAACGGTATGTAAAACACTACCCAACAAAAATGTTATAAAATGAATAAAACATATCATAATATTCAATGGGAAACTATTAGATTAAGAAGAACAGAAAAAGGAACAAGTTTTTGTTTTTAATGTCTAATTTCGAAAATTGCAAAAGGCTGAAACTGAAACAATCTTCATGATATTAACTTTGTGCATATTCATTTCTCAGTGTTTCTGATTTTTGACAAACAAGCTTAGGCTATAGCTTTCAAAATCTACACTACATTTGTTATATGATATTATGTACATAATATAATCCTACTTTTAGTAATAAATCAATTAAAGCATAGCAGTAATTATTGTTTAGAATAACATTTGTATGTTACTTTTAAAAGAGGTTGCATGAACTTTTGCAGACAAATCAATTTCCGTAACAATTACCACTACAGATACTGCATGAAAGCGAATTTTACTTTCAGTACACGAAAACCTCATAAACTATCAGGAGATATCAATTCCTATTCGTGAAATATCTAATGTTCAACAGCAAATGATTAAATACGCTTATTAACACTTCTCCAGTTTGTGAGTATCATGATTACAAAAAATGACATTAATCATTGTTTTTAATTGTTAGACTGCAATCCTGGAAGGTACGGACAAACATGTGACCTGTATTGCCCTACTAACTGCGCAAACGACGTCTGTGATAGAGAAACTGGTTCATGTTTCGGTAAGGGTTTACATGTTATCGACATACCAATGTCCTGTTGGTTTATGTATATACCACCTTGTGATGTAAAGATTTTATCAGCTTACCTGTTTTTAATGTCTCCAATATTTGCCATATGGTCACATACAAATAAAATCCGAAATGAAGTAATCATGTATTGAGACAATAGTAAAAGGATATAATGGAAAGGTCGACATTAATGATAAAAATCTAGTGTTTATCTGATGATGAAAGAAAAGAACAATTTTGTCAACATTATCATTTTCTTACCTTTGAGATTGTAAACCTGGAAAGCATGGAGAGACGTGTGACCTGGATTGTTCTGTACTGTGTGAAGGCCTTTTTTGCGAGAAAGACACAGGATTTTGTTCTGGTATGTACATAGCTATACATAAGCGCTCATTAAATCTATAGAAATGACTTGGACGTCTTTTCAAGAATAAAATATTTAATTTTCCAGAATGTAAAGACGGAATGCATGGATACCGATGTGACAAGCCATGTCCTGCTGGTTGTAGCTCCAACAGATGCAGGCGATATGACGGGACTTGTGGAGGTAGGATGACAGTTTTGAAACTGACAGGCAACGTGTCAGTTTCAAAATAAAGGACTTATGGTCATATGGGCCTAGTAATTTGTCAGGTATAGATTGTAATTTACTTGTATTGATTATACTTATCGTACAAGTACAAGTTTTAAATGTAATTTTATAGTTCATTTGATGTGAAAATAGGAATAAATAATGTGGTTGTGACTTACTTGACCAGGGTATGCTTGACAAATTGTAAATGCAGTTCCATTCTCAAAGCCTTTGCGTATTTTGCACAAAACACTAGGACATTGAGCTTGTTAAAACATTAAAGAGAAAAACAATCATTTCCAACTTCTCACTTCGACCAAAATTTTCTACGAATCCACACAAAAACTGGTGTCTTGGTCAACATATCTAAGGCAGCTGACCTTAATTGATCTCCCTACGGAATATAGAGCTATCTTAGAGTGACAGCATTATGATCCAGATTATTGTTATCGTGAATATATACACGTGTCATTTGTGTTACTTTGTAGACAATAAAGCATACACAAAAGATCACTCTATATCGAATACGTCTTTGCTCTTTCGTCAAGGTTTTAAACAGCCGGGTGAAAGAAACCAGATCTGTGTATGTTTCATCAATACCAGTCCGGAATTTCAATTAGTAAATATTACTGTATATTTTGATTCATTATGTATACAACAAAACCAATTGTCAAACTGGTCATTTACTAGACGCTGTATTGGGGTTGCTATTTATATGCTTGTAGTTTTAAAGTACTTTTTCCAATTACAGAAACAAACACCGCTACAGATAGCACATATACGGACAACAGGACAACTGTAGCTGTTCTAGCAGCTATTACTTGTATATTTCTGGTAGCAGCTATTGTCTTATTTGTCTGCATGCTGCGGTACGTCTATCAAAACTCAAAACCAATTAATGATTGTTAAAAGCGAGGTGAGAGAGGAATATAGATAACATATGATAAGCGTTCATTATAGCATTTAAATCAGCGTGTTACCTGAGATTGCAAATTAGTGTTTGGTTTAAAGGCCATCCTTACAATTAAAAAGACGATGCAATCTCTTCAGTTATCCGCCATATTAACGTTGTAGTTCTGTTTCGAGATTAATAGAATATTTCAACCCCCCCCCTTGGAGGTATGATAGGTGGATCTCGGTCCAAGAGGAAATATGATTAAGTTACGAAACACCAGACTTTTTCAAATTAATCATCTTTTCCCCAGGGTTGAGATCACACTTTCTCAACATCAAGAAAGGTAAATGATAATTTTTGGTCTGACCCCGCAGGCCTTATTATGTACTTGTGTGTATTTTTGTTGGGCCAATGATTCGCACCAGTGACGTGATTTGATGGTTGACGTGACGTCATTATATTGTTACTGTGACGTTATATCATTGTCCTGACTGAGGAACCCACCCGTTTCAACCCTAGGCTTAGACATCTCATCCCGGTAAAAATGCATGGATTTACCTTCCAGGGCAAGAGAATCATTTTAATCATATTAATTTGTCTTTAATAAAAAGGCATTTGATACGAAAGATACTTTATTTCGTTGTAGATTCAGAACAAAAGCCAAGAGAGGGCAAGGAAAAGGTATGTACGATAAGATGTATATAAAGATAATAAGAGTAATAGTATATTTATTTATTTCGGTAATTTTGGAAGTATGGCTTATTACTTCTACTTACTTTACTCTTATTGTTCATTTACAGAAGAAGAACATTACACAAACATTGACCAAGCAAAGAGAAATGTTCCGAATACCTACGAGATGACGCAGCAGAGAAATGACAAAAACTGAAAAGCAATAATCTTCAGATCAACATGAACTCGTTCAATTAAAAAAATTGAATTGATGAATAACATGCAAGCATATAATTGGATTAAATAGCTGGCTAAGCTTAATATTCAGTTCAGTGCATAGACGTATTTCATACACGGACACAGAATTGGACTTAACCACCGCGGAGGGGGGGAGTCGTGTCAAAGATATTACATCGTAAGCACACTTGTACATTGCTAACAAATACGTAAAAAACACCCAGACTGGAAGCATATATTGTATATAGTTGCTTAAATATATCATTCTCTGTTTGCACATACATTTATCTGACATAAAATTGAAAATTAATACAGTCGTAATATGAAAGCACATCTATCTGTTTATTGCATGTCAAGTCTATCAGTCACTTAAGGAGGAAAATAATTGGGATAATTCCTATCACCATCACTTTTGCCGAATCTCAAATTCGACCACAATCACAGACCTCGTCTTCCCCGTGGTCATTCGATCTTGAATTCTGATCAGCATCGCCAGACGTTGTTGAGTCAACAAACCAGCTAGAAAATTATGTCACGAAAAAACAAATGATTCTGTGAACTTTCCCGAAAATATCTGACCGGAACCGACAAGGCTTTTGAAGCGGTGTTGTGCATCCGGACGAGTAATCAGATACGATGAGCACATATTGACAAC